CTTCTCCTCGGCGTCGCCTTCGCGGACGAGGGGCACTTTCCCGGATCCGGAGGAGCGGTTTTTCGCGTCTCGGGAGTGCGAGGCGGAGACTTGCTCGCGGTAGTCCTTGCGCGCTTCGCGTTTGACCCTCTCGGGGGCGTTGCTGTCTTCGACGGCCTCGACGCGGCTTTTGGGGTCCATCATGCGGATCTTGTCGATGAACTCGGCTTTGCTCATGCGGCGTCCGCCGGTGGTGATGGTGAACCGGAGTCGCGCATCGTCGTCGTCCTCGCCGGGTTGGGGTTTCCCTTCGCGGGCTTGGTCGGAGGGTTTCGCAGCGGCGTCTGGATTTGATGCGCCTCCGGGTTGAGCATCGTCGGGCTTGGCCCCGAGGCCGAGCATCTTGCTCATCTGTCCTATCCGATGTTGTGCTTTGGCGGGGTCGGCTTGGCCGCCGTTTCTTCCGGGTGTCGGGATGTCGTATTTCTTGATGACCTCGCCGTCCTCATCCTCCACAATGATCGTCTTGCCATATTGATAAGCACGGGCGGGACCGCGGGCGGGCTTCTGCGTCGGCTTCCCCGCCGTCTTTCGGGCCTCGTCGCGAGACATCCATTGGCCCAGGGTCGGGATCTTATTCAGACTGGCCTTCCAGCCATTCGCAGGACGTTCCGTCTTTTCCTTCTCCGGCTCAGGTGATTTCTCATCCTTTGGCGACCGATCATGGCTGCTGCCAGGTTTGGAATCATCGGAGCTCGTCTCATTTGCGGCACCGGCGTTGGGATGTGCGCTACGCATTAATCGACGAGCCTCCTGCCGCTCAAACTCTTCGCGGTCAGGTCCATCCGGCATGTGCTGATCTTCCACTGCGAGCACCTTTCCGTCTTCGTCTTCAAATACGGTGTGGTGTCCTTCTTCAAACACCTCCCCAGGACTTGTGGCACCGTTTTGGTCCTGGTTCCGCTCTCCGGTACCCTTATCATTCGCCGGCTTTTCTGATTTGGTCGCTGGCGTATCAGAACCCGCCCGACTTCTGGGCGGATCTAAACTACTCGAACGATGTGTCGGGCCGAAAGCTGAGCGCGAAATAGGTCCACCTGGTCCATGGCTATCCCAATTTCGACTGCGGCGTGAGCGATGGCGGGACGACGCACGACTTTGAACACGACTCGGGTTTTCGTCTTCTTTCTGCCGTCGCAGGAAAGTCCCGGGTGCACCGTACGGCATCTGACCCATCGGGACGTTCGACTTCTCGTCGAAGGAAGTGTCCGATCGGGCGAAGGACATGGAGGTCCTCGACCGGGACTGGATCCGCGGCAGACGATCGGTCCAGTGGTTGGCATCGTTCGCCTGGGTGTAGGACATGGTCAACGACAGCGTGTTGATATGCTTTCCCAGGGTGAAAACCGCAATCGACGAGCCGTGCACGACGATCGAGACGATGACTAAAAAGCAGACGATGGGCCAGACGAGATAGATCGTCTCCGAATGCGGCTCAGATTCCGGCGGCAGCTCCGCGAGAGGGGTCGTGTCCTTGTGCTCCAGTTCCGCGCGAGCGAGGATGGCCACGAAGATGGCTCCGACCCCGATCGGTCCGAAATGTCCGGCGAAGAGAGCTTCACGCCAGGTCTTGATGTCTGGAATCACCGGCTTCAGCAAGATCATGATCGGGATGCGGCGGAACAGGATCACGAGGATTCCCAGGACCACCAGCTTCCAGACGTCCATGCCGTAGTGTCCGTTGTTGAACTGCTCCCACGGGATGATGGTGCCAAAGTAGACGAAGAAGGTCAAGTTGATGAGGAGATCGATGACGTTGGAAACGTGCGACTCCTCCGTCTTTTCCGTGAACCAACCGTCGTTGCTGAACCCCACGCCGGCTGCGAAGCCCACGAGCAGATCGTCCAGGCCGAGCATGGATCCGGATCCCGCGCAGAACAAGGCCAGAACGAAATAGAACACCAAGAAGGATTCCCTGTCGATGAGCTCACGCTCGTGCGCGTACCGGATCAGGCGACGCGCGATGTATCCTATCGCGACCCCATAGATCGCTCCAAAGATGCACTCATAGAGGACCGTAAAGCAGAACCAATGGAGCGCGACCTCGTTGGTATCCGGTTGATATTGGATGATGTATATCGCCAGGTAGATGAAAGGGAAGGCCATGCCATCGTTGCATCCGGATTCCGCGGAGAGCAGGTCACGAAGATGCTTGGGCACCCGCTTGGCGAATTTGCCTTTGCCGACCACGGACGAGGCCAGGACCGGGTCGGTGGCGGTCACACAAGCGGCGATGGCCAGGCTGTTCAACCAGCTCAGGTTGTTGTGGAATAGGCCCCAGATGAATAAGGAGGTGATGAGCCAACCAAAGGTCATGACGGGTACGAGCAACAGGACGACTGATTTCCAATGCTTCTCCATGTACGCCTTTGGCAATTCGACTCCGACGGCGAAACATTGCACGACCAGGACGATCCGCGCGAATTCGAGCGTGATCTGATCGGTGTTGCCCCAGGTCCCGGGGTCGATGAGGTTGGCCGCATGGGGTCCGAAGATGATGCCGCAGATGGTCGCTACCGTCGCCTCGCCGATGTATAGACGCTCCTTGATGACCGAGGACGTCAACATGAACAGGCTGGTGAAGCCGCCGAGGATGATGTACACCAGGTGCGGCTTGTTGATATTCAAGTGCTCCCACGCCATGGCTGCGGTGGTTGATGCGATCGCTTCCTACAGCGAAAAGCGACGCGTGTGCTGGGTCTTGGCTATGGCGAAGGTCGCCAGGCGCCCGTCCGAAGGGAGTGAGGTGGACTTGGCACGCCGCCTCAGGTGGAGAGCAGACGTTCGTCGTACGACTGCGCAGCCGCGCGTCGAGGGAATGCGAGGTGACAGTTGCGCCTATGATGCATACAGGACGTGGTGCGCCCAGTCGCCGCTCCGGTGAAGCCCTAAAACGGCCGGAGGTGGATGAGCGGAGGGGATGTCTCGAAGGCTGAAAAGCAGTGGGAAACAATGTCGTCCCCGGTCGAGTATCAGGGCAAGACAGGCCCGTGTGTGTCGGATGTGGTGTACGGTCTCTGGTCTATGAATGTCGATCTCGGATAGGGCAAACGGTTTCTTGAGTGTGTATTATTATGCGGGATGGAGTCCACTCGAATGTGCCGTGTCGTGTGACGAGAACGCAGGTTCGGTCGCCACGTGCGTGAGGTGTGTGCGAATGTCTCGGGAGAGTGGAACGGTGGTTGCGCCGTCTGCAGAAAGGCGGCGGAAGAGACCAATGGGTATAGATGGACCCAATAGAGACAAAAGCGTTTTTTTTTTATCCGCTTCCCTTTAACAACGATCGGTACGTGTGCGGCAATGTCCGGGATATGATCAGGGCACCAGTGTTTCGCAGCTGGCTGGAGCAAACTGTGTCTCTTATCGTCCCCAGTCGCCTGGCTGGACGATGATGTAGAGGAAAAGAAGAAAAGATCGTCACGGCGGGTATGTGATGGAGAGGAGAAGAAGAAGAAGAAGAAAAGAAGAGATGAAGTGAGCGGACGGGGAATTTTCGGAAGCCAGAGAGATAGACAGAGAAGGAAGGGAAGGGATGAGGTGGTGGTGGTGGTGGTGGTGGTGTTGGTCATGGTTAGAGAGCATCTTCCGTTCATGCGCATAGATCTCGTGTGGACTAACTAATAACTAATAACTACTACTGCAGCATTATACTACTGTACCTAGGCGTACTGGCTGACTGGCTGGCTGGCTGGCTGTCTACCGGTTCTAGAAGAGCTGGACGGCGAAGATGACGGTGCGATTTGTGATCGCTACCCTGTTATTACTGAGCAGTCTCCAGTATACCAAGCAATGGCTTGTTTTCCCTCGCAGCAGAAACGCAGGAAATCTTCTTGATTCTTCTTTTTCAGTAGTGGTGCTTGGCGTGGCTCGGCTCATGGCACACATGATCGCGGACTTCTTTCATCATCATCATCATCACTCACCGAGCGCCCGCTAAGAACGACAGAGTCCCATACGGATGCCACCTGAGAGTATTACAATAGCAAATAGCAGGTCATACATACATACATACATACATAAGTACGTAGGTGTATCCCACCCAAGCAATCATAGTAATAAGTAGGTCATAGTACGTCAGGTATATCCCACCACCCGGCGACACTTCCGCAGCGATTCCCATGGTTCCGGATGCAGTATCATCGTCATCGTAGCGTCCATCAGTAATGAGTGGTACCTAGGTATATAACAATAATGATAATAATAATAAGCGAGAAGAGGCGAGAGAGAGAGAGAGCCAGCCCTACACGAGACGGAACTGCCCTACACGCGACGAAATCTCCAATGACCACATCATCTGTACGTATGTATGTATGTATAATGAGGATGCGGCGAGTCAACATGGGGGATCTCTCCGTCTCTGTCTCTCTCTGTCTCTCTCTCTCTGTGTCTATGCCACTCCTCATATGCCGATGCCGATTCCCATCCCACTCTCAAAGGATACAACGAAACAATGCAGCATATGTATAGCCGCAGTAGTTCAGCCAACCTGCATGCCACTCGTCAGGGATTTCCCCAACGCTCGGGGGGCTCCCGAGTGAGAACTTGACAAGCAACGGACGGGACAGGACAGGCGGGAAAGTCAAGCGGCATCGACCACAGGACTAATGACAAGAAGAGAAAGCAAAAAAAACATGTAGACCGGTGCGCTCCGTGCTTCGTTTTTCCAGTATGGTTTCTACAGCGCGGGTGGGGTTGGAGGCGGAATGGGCACTCTCGTACTGTACTGGACTGTTCTGGGGAGCCCTCGGATGCTCGGTCCGAGGGCAGGTGTTTGGAGATTCTTCGGGATCGTGGGGATCATCATCACCACCATCACCATCACGTTGGGGTTTGGGGTTGTTGGGATTCACCTCGGCGTCGAATCGTGGTTTATGATGGTTTTTATTACAGGGAGATGATGACGGATGAGAGGCCCAGTCTTCGGAGGAAGATCCTATAGTGTTGTGGGTACAAAAATGAGAAATAAGAATCTGTCTTATGAGTACAACTGCGACAAGGCACTGAGATGCCGATGATTGAAGGCGATCACCTGCACTGCACCGACAGTGTCATGCCCGGGTGAGTACTGTACCTAGGTCGGTGAGAACCAAACGGCCAATAACTTTTTCTCCCGCTGTGCCCATAACAATGATAAAGTTCTCACGGACGGCGGAACTCCGGAACCCTGTCGTCATCGGAAACCCGCCCTCTGTTCGAAAAAAAAAACGCCCTCAACGGCTTTTCATCGGTGGCGCGCGAAACCGGCGCGGCACGTAACTGTCGTGTCGTGTTGATCGATGACGATACGCTGTAGATCCGCGACGGACGTTGGCCTTTGAAAGAATAAACAAACGACCTCGTGATCCCATGATGATCGGGATCGCGATCGTGACTGGCGAGGACGAGAGGACGACCGGTCAACGACTGGCAAGAGATCACAGCCCGCGACGTGGTCCAGGGTAGGCACGTACAGCCCAGTACGTACGAAAACATCATTTCGGCATCTTTATTTTTACTTTGTTCAACTTCCAAGTCGTCCATTCCCCTTCTCCGCCCATTTCACGAGATAGACACACCGACTCGGCGCAAGCAAGGGAGCAGAGTTCTGAAGCGCGGGATCAAAGACTGGGCACCGATGAAGGCGTGGGCGAGGGAAGCATTCGCCAAGCCTGACGCAGTGACGGATAGGTCAAGACCGACTGTCCTGCAAAAGTTTCTCACGAAGAGCAAGGCAAGTGGCTTGTGAAAGACTGTACCGTACACAGTTACTGTACCTCGGGAGCCAAGTCCGAACTTATCAGAAGCGAGCAAGCAAGCAAACCAACATCGACATTCCTGGTCCATAGCACGTGATTGTTTTTCCGTCTCAGAGTGAAAAGGTTCCCTCGTTAATCATGCACTTCTACCCGCGTCCAGCTGCACGACCTGCATCGCAAACCAACGGCGGCGGCGGTGGTGCTGGTGGTGCTGTAGATGTACCGTAGATGTGCAGCCGATGGTTAATAATTAGGCGGATGAACCGACCAAGATTCTTCACCCACGCCCGGTGGGCATCGTTCTTCGCCCGGGATGTCTGTCCTCAACGCTCACGCATACATACATGCATACATGCGTACAGTACAGTACTAAGAAGAGCTCGCATATCCCAGGTTGGAAAATTTGAGTAGGAGAGACGGGTAAGCTGTAGATGAACAGGTTTCGATTGAAGATCTCGTTGATCATGTAACGTTCTGCCCAGACATACTAGGGAACTTCTATGTGAATGCCTGGTCTTGTATTAAATACCCGGTTGGACGTCCAGTAGGGCGAAGTAGCGTGAGTTGTGTTTTGGGTGGCGGGAGGGTCAACCATTGATGACTGTAGGGCTCGCTTTCGGGCGGAAAGTCTCATGCGGGTGGGTGACTCCCATCATCATCATCAAATTGAAAGAGCTGGAGAGAGAGAAAAAAAAAGAGCCCTACTCGTTACAATCCTCGCACCTCTCGGCGCAAACATCTCCTACATTCGCAAAGGTGGAGAAGTGAAACACAACATCGCGAAGGAAAAACAAGAAAGAAAGAAAATTCCCATCATGCCCGCTCGACGCTCGGCCGCAAACCCCATCGATTTGGCCCTCTGTCGGCGCTGTCAAACCGTCGACCCAGCCATCACGGTCCGCAGCGAGCCCCTCTGCGAATCGTGCTTCAGCCGATATGTGCACACCAAGATCGTCAAGCGCATGGAGAGTTTCCGCGTCCGGTACGCCGACCCGGGCCAGCAGCGTCGCCTGCTCCTGCCCGTCACCTTCGACGCCAGCTCCATCACCCTGCTGCATGTCCTCCACCATCACCTGAGCGGCCGCCAGATGCAGAAGACCGGACGCACCGGCTTTCGGTTGCTCCTCGTGCACGTCCGCGACGACTCCCGGCGAGACGTCGACCTGCGCCACGACGGCCGCTCGCCCATGCTCGATCGGCTGGAGCGGGCGTACCCCGGCCACGAGTGTTCCGCCATATCCCTCTCCGACGTCCTCACGCAAGCGGGCATCCGCGAGCTCTTCCCGTCGTCGGTCCCATCATCGGAGGGAGGCGGAGGAGGAGACTCCGGAGGGACCGCTCCGACCGGCTCGACCCCAGCCGACCGCCTCCAGCATCTCCTCGGCTCCCTAGGGTCCGCGACATCCCAGGCCGACGCGCGGGACCTCCTCGAGCGCCGGCTCCTCGTCGCGCACGCCCGGGCGCACTCCTGCGAGGCCATCCTGCAGCCCGACAGCACGACCCGGCTGGCGGAGAAGACGCTGGCGGAGACGGCCAAGGGGCGCGGCTTCGCGCTGCCCTGGCTCATCGCGGACGGGGAGTCGCCGCACGGCGTGGCCTTCTACCACCCGCTGCGCGACCTGCTGAACGCGGAGATCGCGGCCTACATCGCGTTCCTGGGGGCCGCGGCGGAGGGGCTCATCGTCGCGGGGCCGGCGGTCAAGCCGACCACGGTGAGCGCGCGGCGGGCCACCATCGACGACCTCATGGCGCAGTACTTCGCCTCGGTCGAGCGGGAGTATCCGTCCATCGTGGCCAACGTCGTCCGCACCACGGCCAAGCTGGAGGCCGCGCCGTGGCGGGAGGCCGAGCTGCGCTGCGAGTTGTGCGAGATGCCGCTGGACGGACAGGCGCCGGAGCGGAGCCGGTTATGCTACGGTTGCATCCGGACGCTGCCGGCCGTGGCCGCCGGATGATGTCTCCCCTTTTTTTCTCTCTCGCATCGGGCAGTAGGACGCGAGAATGTGGGCCGACGGTGAAAGAACGCACGCGTGGAAGTGCGTCGAACTCGAATCATTTCGATCTCTTCCGATCTCTGAGCAGACAGGAAGAGAGAGAGAGAGAGAAAAGAAAAAGGCGATTTTGCTCAGACGGGATTGGGCTTCATCATTAACGGCCCCCTCAAAAAAAGGTTCTCTACCTAGCAAACCTCATCGAAACGATCATACATCGACCATGGTATCATCACCGCCGTCGCCCGTGTCCTGCTCCGCCACGACGCCCCTCCCCCGGCCCTCCAGCAGCTCCCTCCTCACCTCCGGTCCGATCTGCCGGTGCCCGCGGATCAGGAGGAGGTCCAACAGGGCCTCGCGCTGGTCCTCCGTGATCTCGTTCTTGTACCTCTGGGCGAAGGCCAGGAGCGACTGGTGCCACAGGACGGGCAGCTTCTGGTTCAGCGCGCCGTTGCGCCCCGCGCTCCCGACGCCGCCGGCCATGCTCACGTCGTCCCGGCCCCCGGCGGCGTCGTCCAGCTGCTGCTGCATGGCGCGGAAGCGCAGGAAGTGGAAGACCAGCGCGTCCACGACGCGGTAGGGCAGCGCGTACTTCTTCTCCAGCAGCGTGCGGATGAAGATGTTGCAGGCGCCGGCGCTCTCGACGTCCGTCATCATCTGGTCGGCGCCGATCTCGCAGAGGCGGTACAGCGCCGTGGCCGAGTGCAGCACGGGGATGGAGACGCGCGCCAGCACCGACGCGATGATCGTCGCCTCCCGCAGCGTGCACGTGCCCGAGCCCGCCAGCGGGAAGAGGAAGCCGCGGAAGAAGCCCGCGGGCTTGTAGAGCGCCTTCTTGAGCGCCTTGTAGAGGTGGATGTTGAGCTTCTTGGACTCGCGGATGTCCTCGCGCACGACGGGCAGCAGCACGTCGGTGCAGAAGGCCTGGGCCACGGCCGGCCGCGACGACGTGAAGATCTTGGTCGCCTCGTAGGTCGCGTTCGGCGTCCAGCTGTCCGGCCGCGTGATGGACACGAGGATGTCCCACTGCGGCAGCGTCGGCAGGATCTTGAACGGTTTGGGCAGACGCCCGGATTTGTAGCGCGAGAGGAGCAGGCCGACTTGGGAGTAGACTTCCACGACTTTGGCGGGGAGCTCGACGGCGTCCTCGGGGGCGCCTCCGCCCTGGACGTGTATGGGGATCTCTCCCCCGCCACCACCGCCGCCGGATCGCTGCTGTTCCTCGTGCGCGGCGATCTTCTCGAGAATCAAATCTGCTAGACTCGTGCCCGCGCCCTCTTGTCCTTCGCTGTTGTGTTGTTTCCTGTTATGCGGGTCGTCGTCGTCGTCCTTGTGGGGCTCGAGGAGCGTCGCGGGGTCGAAGGAGGGGTTGAAGCGCGAGAACATTTCCAAATCGTTCGGGTCCACCTCGATCTCCTCCGTCTCCTCCTCCTCCGATCCCCACGCCTCGTCGCCGTCGTCGTACTCGCCCAGTTCCGCCCCGCCGTCCTCTTCGTCTCCCAGCCCTAGCGGGTCATGTTCGGGGAAGCGACTTTCGAATGAGAACGCCGATGTCCCCTTCGCGGCCGGCTCGTGTGATTGTCTCTCGGCCGCGTCCTCGGCCGCGAGGTCTTGCCCCAGATCTAGAATCCTCCGTGTCGCTTTGCTGCCGACGTAGCCTTCCTGGTTCTTTTCGTCCTCGCCGGAGATGGATTTCCGCTTCTTGCCCGCTTTTTGCTTGAGCGCTGCTGTGGGGGAATATTCCTCGCTGAGGGGGTTGTGGCGCCGGTCCTGCCGTGCGGCGGCGGCGGACGAGTTGGAACGTGCCGCCTTGGGCATCGTCGCTCTGGGTGGAAAACCGCGTGTGTCGTAAGGCCGGTCTGGAAAAGTTTTTTGACTGCCGAATGTTCGACGCAGCTTCTGGTCACAGTTTGTGAAATCTCGCGGGAGAATTTATGGGAGAGTTGCATGGCGCGGCACGAGACAATAATTTTCTTATCGATAGCGTGACGCTTTTCTTTGCTCGGCCGACCTTCTTTCTTCCCAATGTTGGACCCTCGTCAAATTTATTGCGCCGAACAAGCTGTGCCTGCATACATGTCGTTACGACACTTGAAAGTCGCGTGGTCCTGGAGATCTCGACTGGACGACATCACGACATTGTGAAGACACACACTTCCAGGACACATCATGGTCGATTCGCCAGGAGCCGCGCAGTCACCTCTGCATCTCTCGGTTGGGGATCTCGAGCATGCGCCCACCGTACCATCACCGCTAAACCCAGCCTCGCGCCAGCCGTCGAAAACCCCAGCTCCGCACGCCGCGCCGATCCAACGCGAGCAGAGGGAAAAGAAAGACTCGTTGAAGAAGCGCGAGAGCGCGGCCAATGGCTCAACGGCATCATCAGCAAAGCGCAAGGCCGCCGCTACGCACACATACCCATCACCCCAGCGATTCAATGTGCCTCCCCCGCGGGCGCAGGACTTCGAGGAGCCCAAGGACGACTCGATGATGTCCCACGAGCCGTTCCCGCTGTACATGCCCGACAGCGAACGACAGCTCTACAAGCCCATCGACCTCGCCGAGAACAAGCGTGGCTATCGGTATTCCCGCGCCATCGCCGACCCCCTCTTCCCCCACAAGCAGTACTATCGCGCGACCTCGCCGCCGCCGCATTACGCGCGCATGAGCTTCGAGGACGCGGACAAGTGGATGCATTTCACCACCAACGCGCTCATCACTACGAACGAGAAGGGGTGGAGGATGGCTCGCTCGAATGTCTGTGCCCGGGAGGGGAGCCTATACTACGAGGTCAAGATCCACCGCGGCGTGCCGGCGGCGGGCCCGAATCTCGGAGAGACAGGTCCGCAGCCATATGTGCGATTCGGATGGGCGAGACGAGAGGCTCCGCTGGACGCGCCGGTCGGGTTCGACGGGTACAGCTACGGGGTGACGGACGTCCGGTTCGAGACGATGCACCGGAGCCGGCCCGGCAAATTCTTCCATCCCAAAAAGGCCAAAGCAAAGCCCTCCGTCAAAGGCCCCGCCGCGGCACCGACCACCATCACCCTCGCGCCCGAGGACCAACACGTGAAGGAAGGCGACGTGATCGGCGTGGAGATCCAGCTCCCCTCGCTCTCCCTGCAGCAGAAGATCGTCAGCGGGGTCTACAACCCGGCCGTCGACGCCGGCGACGGGTTCGACCACGCCTCGTCCGCGCCCGAGGCCGGCACCGAGCCCGCGGACGTGATCCGCGACCGCATCCCCGTGCCCTACAAGGGCAACAGCTACTTCGAGGTCCTCGACCACGTCGCCTCCAAGCCGATGGAGATCTACTCGGACCGCACCACCAACCTGAACAACCTGCCCACCTCCTCCTCCGGCGGCGCCGCCCAACGCGACGGGATCAAGGCCGCGCCGAACCCCAACCACGAATCGCCCTCGCTGCGGACGCTGCCGCACAGCGCCATGCGCGTGTACAAGAACGGGAAGCTGGTCGGCACGGCGTTCGAGAACCTCCTCGCGTTCCTGCCGCCGGCGAGCGCGCCGGCCAAGGGCGGCGGCGCGCGCGAGGGCTTCGACGACGGACTGGTGGGCTATTTCCCGGCCGTGTCGTGCTTCTTCGGCGGGATCGCCGAGGTGAATTTCGGGGATACGGGTTCCGGGTTTTGGTGTCCTCCGTCGCATCTCAGGGCCACGACGGCGAAGGCGACGGCGACTGCTGTTGGTGGCGGTGGTGCTACTGCTGCTGCAGCCGCTGCTGCTGTCCCGGTGGATCATCCCCAGCAGCAGCAGCACCCAGCATCGTCGTCCGATCCGGGGATGGAAGGGGTGGCGACGCAAGATATGGCGACGACGAAAGCGACCTCGTCGTCCACCACACGCGGGTGGAACCCCGGGAGGCAGTTGCGCGGGATCGGCGAACGGTACAAGGAGCAGGTCGCGGAGGACGTCGTGTGGGACATCATCGACGAGGTGGACTTCTTCGTGCAGGACGGCGGCTTCGAGGGCGAGGTCGGCGCCGGCGGGGCGAACGGGTATGGGGTCATTGGGGAGAAGAGCGGTCGGTTGAAGTCGGAGGATTGATCGGGGAAGGGCGTGGAAGGGAGGGAGAAGAAGACGGAGTGAGGTCGGTGAAGAATCAGAGCGGGAGGCTTTTATGGTGTTGTCCCCTCGTCGCTGTGAGGTCGTGACGATCCGTCGCTTTGCTGGTCGTGGTCGATTGGTAAGATTCCATATCCTCCGAGAATAGTTCCGGCAGCGGAGCTCGAGACTAGACCGTGTGTGCACCCGTCGCTTTGAGTAAGACGAGAGTCTCTCGGACTGTCGCACTGGTTGTTGTGCTGGGCGATGGGATGGATCCATGGATACCTTCATCGTTAGGGTTGGTTTGAATTTCCACAACCCAAACCCTAATGAGATCGACCGCAACCCCATGTGACATCGAACATCAGCGACGAGCGAACCACGCGAGGAGCACCCCGAGCAGTAAGAACAGTCCCAGGGCGGAAGGGGCCATAGCCCTGGCCGCCTTCACGGCCTTCTCCCGCAGAAACATCCGATCCAATTCCCCGACCAGCAGGATGTTCCGCTGAAACAACTCCCGCGCCATCTCGACCACCTCCCTCCTCTCCTCCTCCGAGAGCAGAGTCTCCGCCTCGAGCAACCTCGCCTTGAACTCGGCCTTGACATCCTCCCCGTCCTGCTCCCCGTCGAAGGAGAAGAAGGTGAACCCGGGCAGGGACTCTGTCGTCGTCGTCGTTTTCGTCGATCCCCCGTCGTCCCTCGCAATGCTGGAGGAAGAAGGGGAGGGAGAGGGGGAAGCGCGTCCCTCCAGCCAGAACTCCGGCCCGACGGAAGCGAATCGCGCCCGGATCCAGCGCCCGCCGGAGAAGATGGCCATGTAGAAGACCCAGGCGAAGGCGATGAAGAGGTGGGGCTTCCGGCGGACCTGGGCGCGCATGCGGTCGGCCCAGGGGTCCCCCAGCGGGACCGTGGCGTAGGCGTGTTTGCCCGCGACGCGGTGGAGGTGGTGGAGGTCGGACTTGATGCGCGGGGTGCGGACGAGCCCCTCGGGCCGGAGGGCGGTGATCCACGTGCGGAGCTCCTGGGCGTGGAGGGCGGCCTGCGGCGGGAGGTCCTTGTACCGCGGGGAGCTGGACGGGTGGCTGAGGTTGTGCTCGACGTGCCGGGCCAGGAGCTCCCATTCTTGTTCGAAGAGCAGGATGATTCGCAGGAAGGGGACCAGGCCGCGGGAGAGGACCAGAGGGGTCGTTTGGTGAGGTGGCAGGGAGAGCGGGAGGCGGGTGGTGATCAGGCGGTTGAGGTCGGTGTGGTGTTTCCGGGTCGCGGTGTTGATGAGGGCCGATAGCGTTGCATTTCCGGCCGCGTCGGGAGTCGAGGGAGGACTCGGCGGGTGGTGATGTTCTTCCATGGTTTTGTCGGATCGGGTCTCGTATACAGGTGGATATAGGGTTGATCTCGTGATGATGAGGACGACGATGAGAAGATGTATATATACATATATATATATGTATGCGCAAGGAGGAAGACGAGGGAGGGATTTTTTTCTTTCAATATATCTATGACAGGATGATATCAGGGAGGGAGGCCAACAATTTGCTCACACAGTGGATTTCATGTTCTGCCCTCCCCGACCGACACCGGGCCACATGGATCCAGTCACGGCATGAGAGGCGTCGGGTGGCGGATGTTCACATGTTCACATGTTCAAGGGTGATGTTGGCGGTGGTGGTGGTGGTGATCACGCAGACGGGGACAGGACAGGACAGGACAGGACAGGATGACTCTCTCACACTTCCGGACTTGAGAGGTGTAGTAATAACACCAGGCAGCTACAGTATATCATATGTAAAGCTACCTGTGTAGTCTACATACAGCCGACAGGAACATCTCCTCTCAGACACACAGCCACGTGACCTGTCGAACATGGCGCCTGTAAACGATCGTCACCTCCGTATGCCTAGGTATGTATATATCAGCTGGCCGCGCCTACCTCGTCACTTATTATTATTATGAGTTGCACATCTCACGCGAAACTTGCTCATGATGGGGTATATACTAGGCAGCTCTCTCTCAGAGATGGTCGGACCTCAGGCAGCTTCTCGACGATTTCCAGATCTCCAGTAGATAGATATAATAAGGGTTTGTCTGAATCACGTGACACTACTACCACTACTCCTACCACTCCTCTTCCCACCAATACTATTACTACTACTACTACTACTACTACTACTACTACTACTACTGCTGCTGCTCCTCCTACTACTCCTACTCCTCCTCCTCCCACTAACTCCTGCTACTCATCTTCCCACTACTACTACTCCTCCGACTATTCCTACTACTACTCCTCCGACTATTCCTACTACTACTCCTACTACTCCTACTACTCCTACTACTCCTACTACTCCTACTACTACTAACTACAGTCCTGTGTCGGTCCTCTAGAACTCCCAGCTTGGAGCTTGCCCCAGGTGTGTTTCGTGTGGGTTTTGTGTGGGTTATGTAAGCCGACTGCGGGGGTTTCCGTCATGTGGGTGTGAGGTTTCGCTCCAAGTTTCATCGGACTGCATGACCGTTGCTATGGGAGACGGCATGTCCGACCCAACAAGGTTTAGCGACTTGGAGAACATCAAACAACCGTTGTGGATTGGATGTGATGTGTGTACTGTGTGTACCCCAGGCCTGTATCGGATGCGTATGTTCGGTGATGTGAATGCATTTCGGCATATAACAACCGACGAGGCGCGTGGATCTGCCATGTATTGTACGCTTGTTGTATATACAGGACATACATCATTCGACGATAGCCCGTTCCCGCGCCTCACGTTCAACAACTTCCGTGTACTTGTTATTATTGTGTGTACATACACATCTCTTGCACAACCTAAACGCCCATCAATCCCCATTGCTTCCCACCGCTCTCTCGCTGTTGTTGTTTCTTGTTCTGGCTCGCGTTGCTCACCTGCAGCGTTTTTTCCGACCGCAACCACAACCACAATCGCATCGCATCACATCACATCACCTCCATCACCAGATCCAGCCGGAACCCACTCGCGCATCAGTACCAAACAATCTCATCGTGCCGCCCGCATATCCATCCCCCCTTCCCGGGCGACCCTGAATGGTCATTTGATCGGTTCTTGCGCTGCTCGCAGCTGAACGATCTCCTTCGCCATGGACACCAGCTACCTGTCGCAGCAGGTCACCACCATCATCGAGCGTCTGCATGGCTTCTTCGACGAGATCGGTGTGCCCAGTCATGAGCGCGACTCGCGGGAATCCGAGGTGAGTTGCGCGCGCGCAAACAGATGGTTGGCCTTTGCCGCAAAACACAGCTCACGCATCATCATCACAGCTATTCTCCGCCCTCTCCGAAACCCTTCACAACCAGCTCAACATCGTCGCCAAAGAGAAACATGAGCTCACCGAAAAGGCGCAAAGCCTCATCAAAACCATCCGGCAGATGGAGCGTTCCCTAGACGACTCACGTCCACAGAGCGAATTCGAGCAGGAGGCGGACGGTCTACAGATCACGTTCCCATTGATCACTTGCATACAAAGGCTGAAGGAGAAGCATCATGCGATATCCAAACTTCATCGGGAACGCTTCGAGCAGGTGAAGAAGCTCGTCGAAGCTCTCCAATCCTACGCGTCGCACCTCGAGCCGTCGTTCGTCAAGATCAAACTTCCACCAACAGCGCCGAACGCCGAAATCCCTCCGTCGTTTGACCTCTCTCCAACATACGTCGGAAAACTCGACGGCGAGTTCACGCGAGTGTACGAAGAGTACAACAGACGTATCACGGCCGTCTCACAATATGCAGATGAAATCATCAATCTATGGTCAGAGCTGGGAGTCCCACAAGCCCAGGTCGACAGCCAGATCGTACAGCACGCACGCGAAGCGCCGGAACAATTGGGTCTCCACCAGGATGATCTCAAGCGACTTGTGTCGAAGCGCGACAAGCTCGTGGCCGAGAAGCAACAGCGAGAGCGAAAGCTGAAGGACTTGCGTTCGACCGTGGACGGTCTATGGGAGAGGTTGGGAGTAGATGAGAGCGAGCGGAAGCAGTTCCTCGCGGCCAATCGCGGCTGCGGCCTGCGCCAGATCAACGAGTTCGAGGATGAGCTATCACGACTCAACGAACTCAAGCGCCAGAACCTCCACATCTTTGTCGAAGATGCGCGGTTCAAGCTTCAGGCTCTATGGGATGATCTGTACTACTCAGAAGAAGAGATGTTGGACTTTACTCCGGCCTTCTCAGATGTATACTCTGACGCGCTCCTTTCTGCACACGAGCAGGAAATCTCCCGATTGGAGACCCTCAAAGAACAACGCGCCCCGATCCTGGCGGTGATCGACAAGCACCGCAGCATCATCAACGATCGGCAGGAGCTTGAGAAGAGCAGCCAAGATGCATCACGGTTGACGTCCAAAGGCCAAAAAGGCGAGAAGCGTGACCCGGGCAAATTGCTACGAGAGGAAAAGATGCGAAAACGCATCACGAAGGAATTACCCAAGGTCGAGGCGGAATTGCGCAAAACCCTCGAGGCCTGGGAGGATGAGTATGGACGTCCCTTCTGTGTCCACGGTGAGCGATATCTCGACGAGCTCGAAGCAGCAGCGGTCGCCAAAGCGCCACCGCCGAGAAGCAAGACCCCCAGCGCACTTCAGCCAGCGAGGGAGGCGCCCAAGAGCGTTGGCCGAAGTGGTGCGCCAGCGAGCAGGGCAGGTACTGTTCGCGGCCCTCCACCACCACGAAGTAAGACCCCGACTATGGTACGGAGTGGCGCGACGAGTTCGATGGCCGGCTCTCATCTGGCACGATCCAATGTCCCTGTCTCGTCCGCCAAAGTCAGCCCGTCCAAGATCCCTGGCGCCTCGAGACTACCCATGAGCGCTCTTCGAGACGGTAACAACTCTCCCGAGCGCCGGCAACATCCTGCACGGAGTCAGACGGCTATCGGACATCGCCCAGACGACATGAACGGCACCATCCGGATGCCACCTCCTCGGGCTCCCCCGCCGAAGATGAAGGATCTCTTCCCGGATACTCCTACACCCATGACCGGTCACCACCCCAACAATAAAGAGAACGGATCCGACCCCGATCGCAACATCAGCATGGTCCGCCACGTCGACTCGGACGATCCCTACACACATTCCCACAACTCTTACCTCCACTCGTCGATCTCCCAACATCAGAATCACAACCAACATCAACATCCACAACCCCAACCGCCCCGCCACCACCCTCACGACTCCCACCACCCTCACTACCCGCCTCCCCCGCGCTCCTACGACTCCTACAGCACCACCTCCACCCGGCCCCCGAGCAACACCAACAACAATAACACCAACAACAGCCGCCAGGACTACCCGGTCGCCCCACCCTCCCGGCAAACCAGCACGACATCCTCCCTCCTCAGCGGCGGCACCGCGGGAAGCAGCATCACCGGCGGCAGCGGCTACGGCGGCGCCAGCAGCACGACGGGCACGACCGTCAGCGGCGGCGGCGGCGGCAGCGAAAACTGGGAGTCCTACACCGACAACTCCGAGCTCGACGACAACGACGACGGCGACGCGGCCTATTACGCCCACGTCCAATCCCAGCAGCAGAGGTCCACGCTGTCGAAACGCCCCGCCACCGCCAACGGCATGCACCTCGGCGCGGTCAAACGCGTGCGCGAACACGCCCTCGCGGAGCCCGACGGGCCGGCGGGGAGGGGCATGACGATGATGATGGGGAGTCGGGTGGGCAGCGATGTGGCGTGGTCGACGGAGGACGAGGGCGTCGTCGGGGAGACGTATTGATCTCTGTTTTTTTGGACGATGGATGGGGTTCATGAGGGCTTGTCCTCCTCCTCCTCCTTCTCTTGCTATTCTTGTTGACGACGATGATGTTGATGAAAAGGCGGTGTTTTGTTCTTCTCCTTCTATTCTCCCACTCTCTCTTTTGGACTGAGAGAGGGAGAGAGAGGATTGATTGATTGATTGGTTGGTTTGATTGATTGGGTTGGGTTGATTTGGTCGGTTGCATCATTATACCGGGCGGCGCGCCTTTCACGGCTGGCCCATTGCTTGCTTGCTTGCTCGCTTACTTGCTTATTACTCTTCTGCTCGTTGGATCATCGCGCGTGGTTTCAGGAGTGATTTATTTGTTCATCTCTCTCTCTCCCGCCTCTCTCTCTTGTGGAGGAGAACGGGACATGGCGAGACCAAAACGAAAACCGGCCCGTGTGTATAGCAGGGAGAAATCGATTCGGGAAAAACTTCCATGGATCCCCCCTTTCTTTTGGGGTTTCCTTTCCCTTTCCCAATGCGCTGTCTGTTTCGTGTGTGTGACGCTTTCCCCGTGAATGCTACTGCGATGACGTCGGAACCCTTTCGGAACGGGAATGTTTTTTTCCAAGAAAGAAACCAGCAGGCGAGGGATCTCGATCCGCTGCGTCCGGGTTGGCTCGTCGGAAAGCACGTGTGTCCTGCCGTTCCTTGTTCACACACACACGCACGCACACACAAAAGCACACATAGAAGCACAAAAGGCCCATTTCCTACAACTTCTCCTCTCTCTCTCTCTTTCTTTCATCGAATATGTCTTTCCGATCGATTTCTACATGAGAGGAGCAGGAGGAGCAGGAGGAGGAAAACCGGTTCAGAATGGGCCAAAACGATGACGATCTGCGTTTCGAAACAAAGCACATCGGAGATCGCCCCGGCTCTCTTATTTTTTCTTTCATGTAAGGCAGGCCCGAGAGACCCAAAAAGGCCACGGTCGTGATTCGCGACGTGCGGCAAATCCGTAACAGGTGACGTTGTTTCCCCCCGGGAGTGGGGATGATGTCGGTTGACGGACCTACAATACTTATTACACGGGTACCTAGGTAGGTAGGTAGACTTCGCATCGATGGGAACCTCGGAAGGCGGAAAATCATCACCAAAAGGGAGATTTCTTCGATCGGAGGAATCCTTCCAGAAGGGAAAACCCTCCCTCCCTCCCTCACGATATGCACGTCTGAAGAAGAAATTGTGGACCTTTTGTTTTTGTTTAAGAAAGTGCTTCTTATTTATTATCATCACTGTGAAGGGGCGCAGGGGAGAAATACAAAGTGGTTCTGTTGATAACCTTGCCGCCGCCAACGAATTCGTTTCCTTCACTGAAAATAGGGTTCTTTTCTACTTTGATCTCCTCCTCCTCCTCGTCGTTCTTATCTGCTAATCCGCCGTCGATGACTGTCGCGTGTAGTGCCATGCAGTGAAGTGTCTACACGACAACGGGTCGGAGGAGGAGAGACCTTTCGCCTCTACTACAGCATGCGTTCGACATTATTCAACCGCCTACATATTTCATACCGCAGTTGTTGAATCATCGTGACGATGGGAGAAACCGTCGCCCTTACAGGAGAGAGGATCATCAGTCGATGTGTGTGCGTAAGAATTGCGATGCCATTGCGCACGGATGGTGGACCATCACTGTGGTAGCAAGCGAAGAAACAACGTCATAGCCATATCTTCCCCTCAGGCATGTTTGGAGGGAACTTCACTGGTGCCGGTCGTCAAAGATGCGAGAGGAGATGCGATGGATGGTGATGATGATGATGGCGGTAGATAGATAGGCTGTGGGAGTTCAAACCCACCGGCGCCTTGCGTGAGGGATATGTCTCCGTCGATTTACCATCGTAACAATTGACCGAGATGTTTGAATTTACCTAGGTACTATCTGAAGTTGGGCACAGAAATCCCCGTCTTCGCCGCAGTAATCAAGATAGTAGCGTGTCATCGTCGTCAACACATCAGCGAGATTCGAACCGCCCCTTTTCCATTTTGGAGAAGATTTGTTTATCTCTACATCCCCCCAACTTGTCATGATATACCCATTCCGCGATAGCACCGAGAGAGACAGAGAGAACGAGAGAAAGAGAGCAGAATCTGGACTATTGCGCCGAGTTTTTTTCCACAGACAGTGGTGAAATCGAGCCAACGGAAACGCGAACTTCTTCGCCATCGTCCCGGCCGGTGCAAAACCTTACCAGAGAACGAGGAGAGGATTTATTAGTCCTCAGCGGTAGTCTTGGTGAGGTGGTCTCTACAAATGCAACACCACTCAAAGAAGAGATTTCCTTCTCCCTCAGCTAGACACAGCAGCCCGATCCCGTCCGCATTATTCTTCTTCTTCACAGAAGTGGGAGCGTGTTGGAAAGGACGTGGGATGGAACGCTTGAGACCTCTCTCTCGCTCTCTCTGCGACGTCGGAGTCTTCTCCTTTCCAATCGGTCGGTCGTTGAAAATAGACGAAGCAAATTGACGCCCAAGGTTGTTCATGTACTCCACAATTTTCTTTCACCTTGTAATGTTCGTCTCGCATATGTTTCTCCCCTCCCGCGTCCCCGCACGAGATCATCCCGGGATGATGTTTCTTGATGATGGCATATGGTTGTCCCATCACAAACGATCACCGTCTCGCCGGGAGACCCACAAAACGAAAAACGTTTCTTCCCGAGATGCAGATCCTGACAGAGGTGATGTGTTGTTGCTCTTGTGAGCGCGAAAGACTATACTTATTACAGTTATGCAGGCGTTTCTGCCAGATAGCGCCATCGCATCTCGTTCATTCCTGCCTTTGGCCTTGGCATAGTCGATGGTTGCTGTCCCCTCTTTCTACTGTCCCTCGCTCGATGCTTCCTTCGCGCGCGCGCCAGCTAGAGATGTTGTCTTGGGAGGGAGAGTTTCATTCGCTTGAGACGAGATGAGATGTGAAAGGGCACGAGCGCGGCACCGCTCGCGTGACTTTATGATCATGAATGTCATTTACTTAGTGTGAACGCCTCTTGGGACCCTTCACTCGGCATCTGCTCGGCTTTGGATCTTGATGGTTCTCTCGCTCTCTCTCGAGGGGACAGACTGAGCCGAGAGCAAGCGTTGTTTGAAAGGCATATAACATCTACTGTAGGAGACGGGAAGAAGCGAAGGTACCGTATAGAACAACCACGAGACTAATGATGCTCTCACGTGCTGCTCCCCCGGATGGAATTGCCCCGGTGCTCTACTCCTCTCTCCTCTCTCTCTCTCTCTCTCCGCGTGGTCGCGTGTCCGACTGACGTGTTGCCCTCACATACATAGCCGAGAGATCCCACCGGTCACCGGTCACCCACCTGTCGCATGTCGCATGTCGCATGTTGCGCATTCATCGCCCCCTCATCTTCATACTCCGCCTTCCTGCCTGCCTGACCGTCTCGCAGCCAGATGATCACGTGCAGGAGGAAAAGCCAGATCTGAAGGACCAAGGCAGGCAGGCAGGGCAAAAGGTGGCAGCACACACACACACCGATGTACGTACTCCATCTCCACGTTGCTGTGGGAGTTGCGCCAACTACGTACAGGAACAGTCCAGCAGGAGTAGTAGTAGTAGTAGTAGTAGTAGTAGTAGTAGTAGTAGTAGTAGTACATTTTGGACAATTTGTACCGTGAAACTCGGTCATCGGGTACCGGATTAAGCTATTGGAGCCTGCAACCTTATCTCCAGCCAACCCCAGGTCATGCCCGATTGTGATGTCGTTGTCGCACACGCACACACACACTCTCTCTCTCTCATTCTCATTCTCATTCTCTCACTTTGTCTCTCTCTCGTGAAATGGTACATGCACGGATATGGTGCATACTGCAGGCGGCACCGGTCGCAAGGGAAATCGCCACCGCGCCTCAGTGGGATCATGTTCATCGTGTAGGAACGGATATGCATACGTTCTCTAGTGATATGTAACAAGCGTCATCTGGTGTTCTCGCGATCCGAAATTGTTGTCCCTTCAGAACCTCCTCCTATGGCGCCTCAGCTACAGTAGTGGACGAGAAAGCCGGTACTGCGAAGACCCTGGGTTCTGGGCGTGCCGAGAGAGAGAGAGAGAGAGAGAGAGAGAAAGAGGGGAAAGCACATCCATCTCGTGTTTGACTATTATAATACAGTACATCCACCATGTCTCACCCGAGACTGTGGAGAAAGCGGTGTTCCTCCAACACCATCAGTAGTAAATTTCCAATCCCAAACTGGTCGATGCTTTCCCCATCTACGTAAGAGAAAAATCAACCCCGCCGATGTAGCCTCTCTCGTGAAGACACGATGGGAAAAAACATGCACAACGGAACAAAAATGAGTCATCGTTCTCGTCCGTATGCAGGTGCAAGTGATCGCCTGTCGGGGTGTGGTTGACGAGAGATCAACACAAGGTAATCAGCCTGCATCATTACCCAGATCACATGCCATTGGCGGGCTGCCCAGTGATCTGACGGTGGAAAGCTGCTGGAGCCTGGCTGGAGAGGTCTTCTTTCTGGGATCCCCCCCCCCCGCCAATCGGGGCATCGCGTCTCTAGAAGAACCTTGGAAAGCACTACTGCATTGGCATCTCGACCGCCGTCGCCTGCGCATCCGGTCTGTTCCTTCCATCATTCGCCGGGATATCGTTGCAGAGAGGAAACGACGAAGGCACCTGTGCCTGTGTGTGCGGGTGTGGGTGTGTGTTTCGGGAGCTAGAAGGGCTGTCGAAGCAGAACTGGCAGGCTCCTCAGCTGAAGAAAAACTCCGCCCCCCTGGTTCGAGGCCACCACCACCATCCCGGGGCCTTCAAGGTTTGGCTTTGACGTAGAGATCTTCACTCCCCATGCATCATTCTCGCTTCTCTGCTCTATTCGTCGCGTGCAGCGATTGTATGTCGCTGGCGGACGCATGTTCTCAGCTGCACCTCTCGTCGCCACTGTGACTCTCTTCCGTCTGGCGCGAGGCTGACTGCGCATCAGATCATTGGCAGTCTGCGCTGCAGGTCATGTTGCATTGTGGTACTGTCGCAAACGGTGAACGCGGAGACTGCAGTACTTGACATGACTACTATATTGTTTTGACCGCCACGAGGAAGGATTGCCACATCATATGGAGGCGGGTGGCCGCGCGAGTCGTCGTCGCGGATACGTCCGATCAGTCAGTCCCTCTCAGTCAGATTAGATGGGAGGACCAGATCGCAACGGCAATTGTGGCACCGGCATTATTGTAATCCACATGTTTCGGCATTTGCTAGGTGAAAGACACACACACGCACACGCACACGCACACCGTCATCCAAATGAATGGATATGTAATATATACTGTTTACAGCGTGACTGGGATACGAACAAGGCACGAGCGCAGGTGCAGCGGGCGGCGGGCCAGCGTATATGTATGTGCCCAGGTGGCAGCTGATTGATGATAGGCGTCGGGCGTCGACGCGTTTCCGTCCTTATCGTCGCCCGGCTTGTCTTGACAAGCGGATGGGAGGTGACGACTGTTTCCTCTGTACTCAGCACGCTGGCGAGAGGTTTGAGATCATTCAAGAGAACGAGAATGGTCTAGATGAGGCTGTGAGGATGACATACGAACTACGCATCAACGGAGTGTGTGTCCTCTTCGTGAGATAGAGGGAATCAGAGGGAGTCAGAGAGAGAGGCGTGTGAAGAAGGTGACATTGGCCGCGCCGTCCGCCCATCCATCTCTAATCCATCCGTCCATCCGCCGCGGCGCGCTGTCCCAAGAAGGGAACGACACCTGGGCACCTGGAAATAGACGGTGACCGGGACCCGGAGATAACCCATCCATTCCCGTCCGCTTACCACACCGCCAGTATATTCCTCTGCAGAACCGACAGGAATGCGTGGTTCAGTCTGCAGCTGGGAACAGGTGATCACTCTCTCTGTTTCCATCTCTGGCGGGTTCCACGACCGACACGGACACATCACTCGTCAGTCAGCGCGAAGAGGTCCTGTCTCTCTCCACCGCGACTCCCTCCGAGCGACCCGATCACTCCCTCTCTATCATAGTAATCAGCCAGCAGCAGCAGCAGCAGCACTACGTGGTAGTAAGTCCCACACATCTTCCTGTAATCCATGGATGGCTTCTTATCAGTGACTCTCGGTTACTTGTCCTACACTCTAATCCAAGACATATCTGTTTCTTCTCCTCTTTCCAATCCTCCATCTCTTATTATATTCTGTACCACAACCAGGAACCATACAACGGTCAACCCAGCCCGATTCGGACGCCAGTCAACCCCTCCAGCGTTGCCCGGTAGTCGACGCACTGCACCTCACGACCCTGTGAGACCGATCAGCCGGGCCCTGTGAGCCTAAATTCCCAGCGGTATTACGTACTTCAAACTCGTCCCGACGCGCCGTTGCAGCACTTGGGTCCACACACTTCACTCGATCCGACCGGACCTGACAGGCGGCTTTGGCCGCAGCTCTTGGTAACTGGTGATCATCTCAGAGGAGAAAACCACTACGCCGGCCTGCGAACATTGGCGCCGATTGGCGGACAAGGGAGCGTCCAGAGGGAGCAAGTGCGGGCTCGGAGGCGCAAACACAAGACACGCGCACTGTTTCCCTTTGCATCCTTTCCTGCTCGCTCACCCAGACCCCAATTCGATCCGGGACTAGTCCTGACGACGAGGGTCCGGCTACCGAACGAAATGGTCATCATGTCTGGACTCTTCAAATACCCAACGTCGCCGCCGCACGCGGACGCCGCAGAAGCCCCATCGACTTGCCACACAACTATGGGACACTCTGCCATTCCGGCGGCGATCTCGACAACGACCACGAAAACCTCGACGACGACGACGACGACCATGTCGAAAACACATGCCACCCCCATGCCCGCCCGCCCGGAAATCTCACCTCTGCGGGCAAAGGCGGAGCCTGTAGCGATTCCTTCCGCCCGGACCCTGCAGATCTCCCACTCCCGCCAGAAACACGCGAGCGATTTCGTCGAGATGGCTCCCCGTCGGAGTCGCACTGTCAACGGCGGTGGTCGGAACAGCAGCGATCGCAGCAGCATGAAAACCGGCCGCTCGACGCATGATCCCAACTCGCTGCCGCCCGCGGTGGCGGCGCTGTTGGCCATGACCACGATCCCACCGCGACGACCGCAGCAACGGCGCCGACGGCGCCCCGAACAGGAACCGCCCGTGTCGATTGAGGAATTGGTCAGCAGTTGGAAGAGTGACGACTCCCTGCGGTCTACGAGTTATGGGAGTCCGAACCTCAGCATGCTGCTCGAGGACGCCGATGACGATGACGAGAGCATCGGGCAGTCGCGACGGCCGAGCGGCCTGGACGAGGAAGGGTATTTCAATGTACGCTCGTCTTCGAGCGAATCGATGCCATCGCTCGAGGCCGATGATCGATCAGTCCTCTCATTCAATAGCCTTGCGACTCCCGATTCCCTGCGGAGCCGGAGATCCATTTCTACGCTGAGGAAGGACAAGCAGCGCTCGGTGCCCGCGGTGGAGGAATGCCCATTAAACCATCCGCTCGCGCCTCCGTCGGACGACGACGAGGAGGGAGAGGAAGAAGATGTGCTGCAATTGTCCCTACGGAGCAAACCCTCCAAGACTCGCAAAGCAACATCCTCGTCATCCTTCAAATCCAACCTCACCCTCTCCTTGCAGTCGTTGAAAAACGCCGCCTTGAGTTCAATCTCGTCACTCCGCAGCAGCAGCAGCAACAATAACAACAACAACTCCACCACCACCACCACCTCACCACCACCCAGCCGCAATCCGTCCTCCACCGCCCACCTCGACGACATGCTCTGGTCCCACCCCTTCCTCTTCCCACGCTTCTCCTCCGAAGTCCGCCCGGCCTCCCCCGAACACAGCCAAAAATCCTCCTCCTCAAAGTCCACCAGCAAATCCGCCAAACAGTCCTCCCCGGGCTATCTCAACCCCATGCCCCTCACCTTCGAAGAACAAGAAGCGCCCTTCCAAAAAGCCCTGCACGAGCCCTACCTCCTCGAGGGCGCCGCGGCCGAGGAGTCCTCCTCCGACGACATGCCCCCCGCGACCATCCAGATGCGCACCTACACCTCCCGCCAGCAGTCCCGCCGCGCCGCCAAGTCATCCCGCCGTCCAGCCGCCGCCTCGCCGGATCCCAACTCCGAGGCCGGCCGCGCGCTCCTCGGCGCCCCGCCCGCCGACGCGCCCCGCACGAGGGAGGTCCGCGAGAACAGCGACTTCCTGCGCATCGTCGTCATGGAGATGAACATGCGCCGGCTGGGCAAACTGGAGAGCGCGGGCCGGGCGAAGATCTGGCTCCCTCCGCGCGAGGCGGCGTCCTCGGTCGTCGCATCGGGCGGCGGTTCTCCGGCGGTGCCCCGGCGCTGGGTCGGGGTTAGTGCGTATTGAGCGGGATCTTCTCGGCTTTGCTTATTTCTTCTGGAAGGTGTTTGGCGAATTCACAGCGAGGGGGGTCTTTCCTTGGGAACGGGTTTTCTGATTTTGCATTGCGTCGGGTACTCGTCCGCGGCTGTACGATTCTTGGGGAAAGGGGTCATTTTTGGACGGATTTTTGGATTTTGCGAGTGACGGACGGCGTGGATCCGGGAAAGGAGGAAAGATTGGACCCTTTTCTTCTAGCGTTGCGACTTTTTGGAAGGACTTGGAAGTGACCCACGCGCAGGGACGTCACGGGAAAGGAGCCCGCGCTCAAAACTCCTGGCGAACCAGGATGGCGAGATGGGCCTATGATGGTAATGATGAACGACCGACGGAAAGAATTCTCTTGGAAAAGAGGAGAGAGAGAGAAGGGAACGTAATGAAAGACTAGACGAAACAGTAAGAAAGAAAATTCATCCTTGAATCTGACCAACCTCGTCATGTTGCTTTCCTCTGCATATCTGAAGTGAAAAGCTCGCCCCCAGAGCCGTTCTGCGATCACGATGCCGCGTCCGACGCGCGGACGAGGAGATCTCGAGAGTCCTCGCGATGGTGGCAAGCGACATTTCGAGCGTCAGCAGGGCCCCTCTGTCGTCGCTCCACCGCTGCATGGCTTGTCCTGATCCATGCTCTTCCGTCATAACTTGGAAGACAAGCACAGCAGCTCCGAGTGTCGGACAATGTCCTCCTCGTCTATGGCGGCGCCGTCCCGAAGAGAAGGGAAGGTTTGCCCTTTCGAGGGGATGGGAAGGATAGGGAGAGAGGAGGGGAGATCCGGATGAAATGTATATGTATATGTGTGTGTATTTCGATCGGGGATCGAAAAGCGAGTGATGAGAGCGGCCGTCCATGAGGTGGTTGCGCGAGAGGAATGATGTGATCTTGTTGTTGTCATTATTCTGGGTAATGGTGCTGGTGGTGGAGGTGGAGGAGGGAATTATTGCGCAACCCTCTCTCTCTCTCTCGTCACGTCCCTTCTTCCCCGTGGGGAGAGGGCGAGGGCCATGTTCGCATGTATGGATTATTTCTTTGCTTTTGGATTGCGGCACGAGGTCATGATATACCATGATATATCACATTTACTATGTTGTATACATGTCGCCTCCCTCCACATGGGAAACATTAAATGCCTCATAGTGGAAAGATATGTGTGTGTATGTGTGATGATCTTCATTTGCTCGACCATAATATCGTGAGTAGGGCAGGGCAGACGAGCAGGGACGGGTGGAGAGGAGGCGCCCGCCCGTTCTCTTGCGCGATTTATTTCACATGCGAATGCCTGCGTGACCCTGCCATAATTGCCTCAATACTGTGCACCAGTGTTGATGACACACATTATACATGTCACGCACATATCAAACGATCCGATGGCGAAGAATATCATCTCATTTGATCGAGTCCTTCGCGGAGATTGGACCGAGTGATGATTCGCTCGCGGAACGAGAATCATGTTGATATATCACAACACGTGCTGGGCTTGGGGAGTTGTTCAAAACAGCGAAGAATACTCCGATGGTTGTACGTAACGTTTTCCTCATTACGAGCGGCACAAGCTGCAAGTGTATAGTGCCTGGGTACATGGATATATATATATATATATATATGTACATGTATCAATTCGTGGTAATGTTCCGACTTGAATGCGGCAGTTTTGGGATCTGGTCGACGGATTGACCCAACCATTCACTCGCCTCGTGGAGACGAGCTGTAACGGACGTCCTCTGGTCATGTATGTCAGCAATGGAAGGATCTGGGAAATGATCTTCGTCTGAGAGGAAATCACCCGACCTGGAGAGACGGCTGGTCATCAGCGTATATTTCACATGGATGGGATCGCGCTGCATGTGCATATGCACGTCTCTGGGAGGTCGATGATCTTCGTAGACGGCCGTTTCATTATTGGCACAGCCGCGTGGATGGAGAGCATGATGGCCGTCTGCTGGGAGTTGTAAGACACTGCCGGATATGCAATCTTCATCCAAAGGTTTGACAGGATTGACGACCAACCGGGATGAACGAAGGAAAATGGAGGAGGGGATGGGTAGAGAAGGGGGAGAGGAGTGGAATCCTTTCGTCAAATTTCATTCTGAATATTCTTCTCTTGTATGTCATAAAAGACCTTGCGCGTGGAAAAAGCATCAAATCAGTTCTCAAACTATGCAGACCTCTCTTCGCTATACGCCTTCGAACGCCCCATTCTGTGCAGCGACACAATGACCCATTCGTGCCCAACGAAACAAAGAGAACAGGGGGAGGAGAGTGTGATTTCTGCTTTCATTTTTTTTTTCTCGAAGAAAGAGGGATTCCTCATCCCGCGTTCATTATACGATAAATACAGCCGTTAGCGTGAGCATTTTTCGAAGCTGGGAATAAGGTAAGATGGATCGTCATAATCGGAACGTCATGTCTAGGATGCAAGGGCGCGGCCACCAGCGCGGCCCTTGTTCTTCACCTTGCCGCCGGCGGGGACAGTGCTCCATCCATCGTCCTCCAGGGCTTCGGCAGTGGTCTCGGCATCGGGCGCTCCGCCAGCGGGCACCACAGGCTCTTGCGGCTTAGTCGCCTTGTCGTGGACGATGTTGCCGTTCGCGGATGCATCCACGCCGTCTGTCGCACCAGCCTCTGCAGTGGTCTCCTCGCCATCTTCTGGGTCGTGGCGAAGCAGCTTGAAACTGGGACGGGCTTGCTGAGGGACATCTCCATTCTCCTTGGATTGACCGCGGCCGCCGTTGACAGGGCGCGAAGGTCGGCGGTTGTCCTTGCGGGCATCTGAAGTTGGCGACGTGATCTTGTCAGCATCCTGTTCGGCCTGACCTCGGTCCGCACGATCGGCACGCGTGGTGCGGTTGGCAGCATCGGCTTTGGCCTTTTCTTCGCGAGCCTTGTCATCAGCTTCCTTCTTCTCGCGGACAGCGACCTCTCGCTTCTCCTCGACCTCGCGTTCACGGGTCGCTGTGTCGATGGGACGGGCAGCTCCGAACGGCGAGGCCTTCGAGTCCGTCGCCGATGCAGTGGCATCGGGGTCAACTGTTGATACGGTTCGCTTGGCTAGGTTAAGTCTCGGTCGCTCCTTGGGTGCTTCAGGGGTTGGTGACGTGGGTGTAGATTCCACAGGAGCAGCGGCAGGAGGAGGTGCGTCGGGGCGCATCTTCGATCGCCATTGGTTGTCCTGTTCGGCAGCGGTCGGTGCGCGCTCGACATGAGGACGGGCCTCAAACTCTCTCCGCGGGGGCCTCGAGCCAGCGTCTGATTGACCCTCACCCCAGCTTGCACCCTCCCGTTCGCGAGGTCCACCCTCTCTCACTCGGCCACCGTCACGGTTTGGCGGGGCTTGTCCAGGTGGGGGCGATAATGGACCCTTGCGCTCCCAATTTCCGAGGTCGCGTACTTTACCATCGTTCTCGAAGAAACTCGGCTTGCGTGAACCAGGTCCCGCACGCTCGCCTCCAGCATCGGAAGCATTGTCCAAACTCCTGTTGAAGCCCCGGTTTGATGGCTGACGGGTGTTCTGTGGTAGTTCCGGAAGGGGACCACGACGAGTCCAGTCGGAGAAGTCGCGGGACGCTTCAGGGCGATCCTTGGCTGCACAAACAGTCAACAACAGAGCTTGTCGGCTCAAGACTCCATTTCGGAAGACTTACGTGGATCCGCAACACTGATCTTGATGTTCCGCCCCATGAATGAAGACTCGGATTTCGCCAATGCATTACGGAGACCCTCCGGTGTTGCAAATTCGACGTATCCGAATCCTTTGGGCTTTCGATCAACCTTGTCTTCCATAATGCGCACAGTCGTCACTTGGCAGTCCGACAAAAATCCCTCAATGTCGACGGATGTTACATTGTAGTCGAGGTTGCCGAGATGCGCAGTGTACGGAGGCTTGGTGGGAAATTCCACGGCTTCGCGTGTTGGGTATCGTGGTTCTGTCTCCATGTCAACTCACGCTCTGATGTAGTGTGTCCGAACCACTGTCTCTTACCGTAACTCGCCTGGCGGTCGCCGAAATTGTCGCCGCCACGAGGCTCACGTGGTCCGCGAGCCTCGCCCCAGGATGGCTGAGTGAAGGCACGCCTCTCGCCCGGAGCGTCGCGGGGGCCACTGCTGTACGAAGGAACGGCAGGGATGGGCTGCGTCTCCATCTCGTCGGCCCATGAACCAAGGGCTGTGATATCCTCATGTCAGTCTCATGGATTCGAGGTGACTGCAAAGTGCGAGGAAGATTGATCGGGCTGCTGTTGCTAGCGATGAATTTCGGGATCGTTGCGCATACATTGATTATTGAGAAAATCGCCCAAGGCCATCTTCTCTTGCTTTTTCTTGGGAGCTGTTGCCATGATGTCAGCGTGGGAGTCTTCGTAGAAAGCATTTCGACATCATCGTCGCCTGTGGAGAATTTCGTCGGCGAACAACTGCAGTGTGCGTACCCATGATTGCGGTTGTGTGTGGACCACGCGAAAATGCGACGCGTGGTGGTAGAGGCGCGAAGTTGCTTCACGCCGGGATGTAGTGGTGATCTCGGTGGGCGGTAAATGTGGCGGGCGCTGTGGTCACCCGTGTCGCTATTCGCAAGAGCGAGGATGTCGTGGATTGTAGTGTGTGGTGGTGATGGGTAGTGGTCCTCTGCGCTGCTGCACCCAAAATGCTGCTAGTGCTCCTCACGGCGAAATTGTCGCTTCCAAAGTGGCGGATGATCCCGCTGAACGGGTGGAACTAAAAATTTGACCTCAGCAAAGCCCGCACCCGCATTGGGATGATATCCTGCAAGGGCATGATCGACGCGGCTTCGATGTCATGGAGTATCGTTGCATACACAGGTAGAGGAACGACGTTCATCTACAAGGAGGGACGATATTTGCCCGCGCCAAATGCAATACTGTTCTCCGTCGAAGATTGAGATGATTTGTAACAGTATCAAGAGCCTTTGAAAATACCTGGCAGGAACGAAGATGCGATCAAACAATTCCAAAGCAAGCCATATCTCCTGAGTCTGTCAGTGTGAAGTGAAATACGCTTCATCCACTCCACGCGTCGTTTACAGCATCCCATCGGGATCCATACACGATGGATCGGCAACAGCAACGTCGACAGGAAGCGTCATCCTCCGATCCCTTCAAGACCTACGCTCTGCCCGCTGCAAAGTTCGGTGGTGCATGCGGTGGCCTAGGATTTCTCACGGGCGGTTTCGCCGGCATCGTTCAAGGCGTACCCAACGGCTTCACATATGCCGTCGCGTGTAGCGTACAACCCATGATCCTAGGGACAGCCTTTTCATTCTGCCGCACCACTATCGTCCGAGAATCAACACTCCGAAATGGAGACCTCAATCCGAACGACCTGATCAAAGCCAGTGCCATCGCTGGGGGCGTTTCTGCTGCTCTGGTCGGGCTCGTGACGCGAGGTCGCTCACATGTGATCCCAGGGGGGATCGCGTTCTCAATGTTCGCTGCTGGTGGGCAGTACTTCTACAACGGATGGACGGCGCCGCGGCCCCTCGATGATACGGCCAAGAAGGGGTTTTGGAAACGAATGACGGAGAACAAATGGAGTCCTGTGAAGCTTCTGAACGACGAGGAACATGCCAACCTTCTGCGGGAGAAGCTTTTGAATGTCGAAGTGGAAATTGCCCTCATCGACGACAAGATTGCGGCGTTGAAGGCGCAAGAGTCGAAATCCGAATCATGACCATGATTCATTGCACCTGTACAACACTGGAACAAGACACCAATCTCATTTCGAAGTAATCTTTCAAACAGGAAGAGAATACTTTAAGTGCTCAACCGGAAACGCCTGGAGCGAATAACGGGCGAAACTGGCAATTTGGGCAAAACCTCAGTCCGAACTGCACTACTGTACATTTAGTAAATTTCCACAACACGACATAGACTTCTTTGGGCGTACTTTTTACATGAAGTCATTCTCCCATGACTATGATATCTCCTGAATCGGTTTCAAAATCATACCTCATCAGCGTCGTTAGAAATATATCACGCCACATAAGAGTACATATTGCCGTCCTCGCGCTCCATATAATCCTTCTCGATCAAGCGATCGATGTTCTTCTTGATATCCGCCACACCCAGCACGCCGCGGGAGATGGTCGCCTTGATGACCTCGGCGACCAATTCGGAATGAGAAATGGTCTTGCGGCTCTTCATGATACGGACAATCGCTGCTTGGGTTTCGAAATTGCGATCTTCGGCCACGCGCATGTGGGTCTCTTGGTTCTCCTCCTTGGTTTCTTTCAGTTGGACTTGGTTGATTTTGACGCGGTATTTCGGATGATCGAAGCCGAGATTGATGGAGAAGGTGTCGGTGTTGTTGACATCTTTTCCTTTGGGATGCTTGGTGAGTGGGCGCAGTTTGGCACAGGCGAGGGACTGGAGGGTGCGTTTGACTTCGGCTTCGGCTGTGGGAATGTCAGCAAATGCGCTCTACATCAGAGTACATCGTGTTCGATGGGGGAAACACTTACGCAGCCCGCTCTCGGCGAGAATCTCCAAATATGGCTTCTGCTCATCCTCGCCCATGTCGTTGAAGAGAAGTAAGACAACAGCTTGGAAACTCGACACAACTAGCTCCTTGACGCCCTTGTTGAATTTTGCACGCATTTGACAATGAGCGAGGGCGTGTTTCCAATCCAGCTTACGTCCCGTATGTTTGCTTTTGTAATGTAGTTCATAACCATCAATGGCGCGCTTGACATTAGCTGGAATGACAACTGGAATGTCGGGATACGTTGGCCAGGCGGCAGAAGACAGGATATTGACACTCAAGTCGAGACTCTTGCCCTTTTCATAGTCCATGCGATCTTCTAGGCGCTGCTTGTACGACTGAAGTTCTTCGCGGGCCAGCTCCACGTCCTTGAACATCTGTTCGAGATTCTGTGTGAAGCCACTGCCACATTCCGTCTTCAGTCGTGCAAGCATGCTGCGCTCCGCATCCGCAGACGCGCTTCGTCCCATGAGTAGACGGCGGGCGAGGTCTTTCTTGTAGAATGCTTCGAACACAGCCTTACCCTGCACGAATCGGAACAGGTCGAGAACTTGATCGAGCTGAATGTTGACCTCTGCGTCTTCGTCCACGTCGGGGTCTTCATTGTCTTCTTCTCCAGCCGCAGGAACCTCAGCAGCGGCTGTCGATGCCCGCCGTGCCGTCAATACATCTGGAATCGCCTTGGCGCCACCTCTCAGGAGCTGATCGACGTATTTTGCAATCATCTCGCCCACTTTCGTGTTGTCTGTACCCCAGGTTGCGTCACCTTTCTTTGTCTTGTTCATGAAGGTCGCGAATGCATCCCTCAATGCGTGGCCGAGGCTTTCGTTTCGCTGAAACGCAGTCCGCCATGCCAAATCTAGTCTTCGCTTGAGTGATAGCAAATGGATTATCATGTCGTCTGTATTGCTCGCAAAGACGATGCTGGTTCCTGTGGATTCGACCCATTTCGCAAATGGCGGGCTGAGTTTCTCCCCCAATCTTCGACGTTCAAGCAAATCATACAGTCCGGCTAACTCAGCAATGGCATTGTTATCGAGAAGAGATGCCAGTGCTTCCTCCTTTATTAATGCCTGCTGCTGGCGCTCAATGATGTGGTCTTCAAGCATGATCAGGAGATCACGCTTTGTACTGCTGTCCAGTTCGAACTCCTCACATCGCTCCACCTCTCGTGCGATGAGCTCACCCGCAAGGGTAACGTACTGTGGGACAGTCATTTCAGTAATCGTCCGATCCGACCAAGCGACGATGTAATCCTGCGCCAAACTCAGGAATCGAGGCTCAAATGATGAGGTATATGTCGAGAGTGCATGAAACAGAGCGACCGCTTGTCGGAATAAATCCTTGTCCAGTGCCTGATCTTGACTTCGGGCGGCAGAGACCAAATCACATGCACCGTCGACTATCTTTGCCTTGAGAGTGACGTTTTGAAAGATGATCTCGCGAAAAAGCTGAGAGGCCAACTGATCGATTGTAGGTTTGCTGGAGGAGAGGAGGTATGAGCGTTCGAGAAAGAAGAAGATGGCGCGGATCGTGGTCATCTGCTGAGCCCAGCGAGTCCATTGCTCCAAAACCGCTCGTAGCAACGCAATGTTTTCCGCTCCCGCTTCTTCGAGTAGAGCCGGGCGTACTACGAGCTCCATGTGTGCCCTGCATAGTCGTTCTAGTCGTGTGAATATAGTTGAGGCACCTCCCTGCCGACAAACGTTCTCTACGCCACGATATAAGTCCTCTTTGCTCGCATTGTTGTGCCGCTCCGTGAAAATCAGCCCCAGAGCCACATCTAGTTGGCCCCAAATCTGCTCCAAATATGCCTTGCTGTCCCAGCTCGTATTCGTTTTGAGATTCTTCACCACCAGCTTTTTGGCGCCACCATGGGCAAGTAGACCAGCTCTGCCAGCAGGTCGGACACCATTGTTAAATCTGCGAACAGGGGACGTAGTAGGCGATTCGCTGGTCAAGTCTACGGTATTGTTTGAAGCGGCATTGGCGTTGTGAGATCGCGACGGGAAGCTGTACATGTCTTTCGATGAAAGACACCCTGGTGGCGTGGTAGTCGGGGCGGCCTCGGCGGGTTTGTTACGTTTGTTTATCGTCGAGGAAAGCTCAGAGGATACGTTCGGCTTTTGTTGAGTAGAAAATAGAGCATGAATGGTGCTCTGGTCGGAGGGACTGCGAGATGGCTCTGTCCGACTTTGTCGCTTCCGCTTGCGATCGTTTGGCGATGGACCACTCGAGATTGGCGTCGAGTGCTCGACGGAGATGGATGGAAGCATATGCTTCGCGTCGCGCGTCAGCCGAGTCAAAATTTTAAATGGCGAACAGCAGTGCCTGCGGCGAGTTCAAATGCAGTTGGTGAGAATATGCTTGTTCGATGACTTGCTGAAGCAAGCTCGCAACGATAAGGTTCACGGACCCCGATAGTGACGCTCACAATGCTTACCGAGCCGACTGATGACACCCCGCCACGGGCCGACCGGCTTCAGGGACACGGCAGGACTTCCTACCCTCCTCAAACATGTATCCAAAGTCATTTTCACGGCAGAGATGGAGTGGTGGTAATTGTCAATTTGTTCATGAAGCTCAAAAGGCAGCAAACTTGCGCTGCGTGGCTCGCACATCATATATGCAATGTATTGATTTGACCACAAAGAAAGCATCACATTTGACGTCACCAAGGGAGCACTGGTACTAGTGTAGACGGCCATGCTTGTAAGAGCTTTGGCAATCATGCAATTTAGCTGCCCAAAGGCCTACCAGCATGGGAGTTTCCATCGGTTAATTGATATTGATTGAAGCGATATCAGATATTACCGTACTCTACCGATTCTCGACTCCGCAGTCTCTTCCTCATCGACGCCGTCAGCAACCTCCAGTTCCACAGTCCATGCTGCAGCCCTCCGGCGACCTCCGCCACCCACAAATGCCAACCCCTCCTCCTTTCTGAGGGCAATGTTAATACCCACGTCGGCGAGAGAGACTGGCCATCGCTCTCCTGTGAGAAGCATGGCGCGGAGCAAACCACTCAGCGGGGCACCCAATGCTAAAACTCGAGCAGGACGGATGGCAAGAGGCTCGCCATCAACTACGGTCGTGAGTCCGGAGAGTCCGTCCACGCCAGAGGGTACTGAAATTGAGAGAACAGGTGCTCGGCTGCGATTCGCCCAGTCTATCATGGCACGAACTTCAGTATGTTGAGTCGAAGAAGTGTCAGCAGAAGCGGCCAGCGGGGTATGCTGAGCGCTCTGTAGGATTGATGCGACCGGTGTGCCAGCAAGGAGAGCGTCAATGATGACGGTAGGCGGACCAGGTAGGTGCTTAATATACTCTTCGGCGCGCGCCCAACGACCGCGACGCACTGGAGCGCCAGCTGCGCGCATTTTGCGAAGAATGTTGGTTTGCGTTCGGCGCTGAGGATTGACTGTCTCGGCTGTCGAGTTGACAGTCTCGGCAGCAATGATTTGGAACCCATGTGTTACAAGGTGACGAGCCGCAGCTAGAGCACGTGCGCCGACCGCATGATCTCCTGCCAGGACGACAATGACAGGTGTGGCGGAAGGAGCAGGAGATGAAGCTGGAGGCTGGTTGAGAATGGTGCTGGAGGTCATGCTACCACGAACAGTGCTGGTACGCGATGGCCGGCGGCGATTGTTGTCTTCGGCGAGATGAATGGCAGCTTCGGCGATGCAGCGCGCAGCAGACTCCGTCAAAGCATCAACAGATAAGCCGAAAGTCTCCACCGCGGCGAGTTCGAGAGCGTCGAGCGCGCCTGGCAGTAGTGTGGGGCAGATTCCCATGTCTGGACGGATGACAAAGTGTGGCTCGGGCGACGCTTCAGGTGCTGCAGTTGCCAGATCAGTGATTGAGCGCGAAAGCGGAGGTGTGTTCGACCGGTCTGGCCGGGGTGAGATCGCAGCCATGGAAGATGCATGTCTGCTCCGGCTGACAAGCGAAGAAGATGACCGATTCGAGATGGTGGCGGATAGTGGGAGCAATGCATGGGGGGCGATTCGAGCATCAACATGCTGGCTGTTTTGCCTGCTGGGTTGCTTCTTGTTAAGAACAGATCGTGTGTTGGAGTGCCGAGACGAGGAACGACCATTGGGAAAGTCGAGCTCGGTGTCGGCATCACTCGTACTACCGGCATCGTTTGAAGCTTTGACTGGCAGTTTGGGGCTCAGGACCGGCTCTGTCGGATGCAGGTTCTTGCCACCATATGTGCCCGGACGATGAATGCGATTATGGCTCACCAAACGATCCTCATCGGCAGTGGTATCTCCCTGTCGGATCTCGTCGAAAACTTGCTTCTTGTCGAATTTTTTCAGTTCGCCCTCAAAATCGAAGTCGCCCATGTCCTGAATATCGGTAGTGTCACCTTGCGCGAACTCTTGCTCTTGATCCCGCCTTCGCCGACCCTTTTTAGAGCTTTGTGCGTCCGTAGATGGTTGGGGAGACGGCTGAAGCAGTGGAGTGTTTCGCCAGCCCTTGCCTCTCTTGACGCTGACATTCATATCATTTCCATTCCGTGAGACTTCGGTATTCATTGTTGGCGGTGGATCTGCAACTGCAACCACAGCTGGTTCCCGCCGTTTCGGCTTCTTAGACTTCTTCTTGAGACTCGCGTCTCGCGCAGTGGAGGTGTTTATCGTTTCGGAGGCAAGCTCTGCGGGTTGGGCGGCTGGAGGCTTAGTACTGACTTGCTGGGTCACGATTGGTCGAGGCTTCTGTCCGGCAGCAGCAGCGAGTTTCTGAGTGAGGTTTTGACGTGGCACATTGCTGATGTCGCCGATGAAGGGCGAGCTTGGGCTGGGCAGGTTCTGCGCAGCTCGAGCGAGCATTGACCGAATCGGCGTCTCAAAGTCATTGCGTGCGGTGGTGTTCTGTGCTCTAACAGGCGATGCGCCGAAGCTGAGTATGGCAGGGTCCACGAATGCTGGACGTTGCCGTTGTGGTGTTCCCTCTCCTCCTTTCGTGTCGTGAGATTCGGCGGCGACTGGCAATGGGTGTGCGTGTACGTGAGTCGATTTAGATGGCCGACTAGCGATTGCTGTGGGCGGAAGTTGAGAACTCTGTGACGAGCTCTCTATGGGTGGTCGTTGGGGTGGAGCGGCAATGGGAGGCGGAATCGATGAGGAGGGGGCATCAGTAAAGGGCAATGGTATCGTCGACTGCACTTGTTGCGTGTGCTGTACTTGATGCTGCTGCTGCTGTTGCTGTTGCTGTTGCTGTTGCTGTTGCTGTTGCTGTTGCTGTTGCTGTTGCTGTTGCTGTTGCTGTTGCTGTTGCGCTTGAACGAAGCCGGGCGGTAGACTATTCGGATCGAGCACATTGAGATCTTCAATGACGTTTAACGGGAGGGATAAGTGGTCGCGTGTTGCACCACTTTCCGGGATGAATACTATCAATCGTGCGCACGATAGTCAGTCAATGGTTGCACATTTGTTCGATACTATATCAATGATCACATACCACCTCCTAGAGTAAGATGCGAATCTGGCACAGCTTCGCGGACAACACCGTATACGATCGCGTTTGGCGCGTGGTTGAGCTTGACAGCCACAGGTAAGCCGAGAAAAGTGTCCATGATTGTCAGGTAAGAATGAGTGATTGGCGAATGTGATCAATTTCGTGAGTCTCTAACGGATAAGCGGTACGCGATCGGTGTATTTTTCGTGCAGACTCAAAGAATAATGAACAAAGACTATGGACTTTTCGTTGATGAAAGAAAGTCAATCCCTAGGCGCATCGTCATCACCAAACAGCAGGAACGTAGTAGCAGCTTTTTCCTCGCGTGCTTCACTTGCACATGCCACGCGAAAATATCGTTGTAGCCAAATTCCGAAAGCGCCGCATGCTGCTGCTGCAGCTGCTCCTATCAATTTTGTTACTTAGTACCCCAGCATTTCGCGGCTTCTTATCGATACAGTGCGCATGGCGACGTCCTTGCCAGTCTTCGAATAATTAACCCCAGGGTTGGCATTGACAACCCGAGTTGACAGTTTATGGTTACAGTGCATGTTTGAGCTTGCCTGATAATGAACCGACTGAAACCAAGTTTCTTGAGAAGTCGGCGACGTGTTTCCTTCATGTTGTCGTCCTTTCTGCTGTTGAATATCACTGCCTTCCCCACGGACTTGGTGGATCGCATTGGTCGACTTTGAGATTTGGTAGACGACTTAATTGCAAGACCTGCGACGGAGATCGGGCATGTTGCGTGCGGTGTATTTACCTTTCATAACAGTACCCTCGTGCAGATTAGTGATTACCTAGGTATAGCTTCGACCTCGAGCGAAGTACTACGTCGACGCACAATTGCGACCTGGTATCACACCACGGTAAATTCCCACGAACCTATGGCAATCCAGATCGTCAGATAGAGCGAGATGATCAATCCATCGCACCAGTTGTCCATGACTTCGAGATGAATCATTTCTACCCATTCGCCTAAACGCCAACGCTTGAACGCAGCTCGAAACCCCCATGACCCACAGTTGTACTGCGCGAGAACTCCTTTCCACCAGAAGTGTGGTGTCCTGTCGATGGGCACGAAGCAAATAATAAAACATAAGACTGTTGGCCGGCTAAATCATATCCGGATCTGGAAGCCACATCACAACATCCCGATCCGCGCTTGCTAGTAGATTATGTCGCGGGTTATACGCGACCACCTTCGCATGCCGTGGGCCCGGCAGGTCGGTCATGGGCGCGGTTATGCTTCCTTCTTCACCACCCTTGGTCGTTGCCTGGCCCATAGCATCCCATACCAAAAGTCCAGTTTGCGTACCATTTCCGCCGACCACATAGCGACCGTCTGGTGAGAAGCATGCGGAAGATTGTATATATGTTGGCGTGATGTTACCTGAGCTGCCGTTGCTTCCAGCAGGTGCTGACGGAAGGTCATCACCAGGCGCATAATGTGACGGGTCCGAGCCGTTTGGCCGGTGTGCGTAGTGAAGGAGGTCACCGGAGAAAGCGTCGAGGATGTAGTGACCGGGACCGTTGGTGGCAAGTAAAAGGAATTTGCCGTTGTTGCTGAACTCCATACCGGTCCAACCAGCACCTGGCGTCTGTCCATGCGACTGCTGCAATCGACGTTCGGTTGCGAGAAGGTCCCAAGTCGCAAAGGGCAGCTTATCGTAGTTGCGCATGTCGTAGAGGCTGACCGTCTGCGCGAGCGGGCTCGCAATGGCAATAACACTCGCAGATGGATCAAAGGCCGTGAGCCACGCGGACTCGAAGTTCAACGATCCTTGTGCGTTTGATGATCGACAATCCCAAATCTTGACGGTGTTGTCCAAGCTGGCGCTGAGAAATTTGTCGTCGCTCGGACTCATGCTCAAGCTGGTGACTCGATCGGTGTGGCCGCGGAAGTAGCGGATGAAGCTGTTGTCATGCATTGAGAGATATCGAATGCCATCGTCCACGGTGGTTGAGGCGTAGATGATCGAAGTGCTGTGATGTGTGAAACGAGCCAGTGCACTGCCATATTTCTGTGATTTCAACTCTTTCGCATGAGCACCAGCCCATGTATTGAACAATTGGATCGTAGCATCGGTACGCGACAGGAGCAAGAATTCGCCGCTGTCATCGAAATCTATTGAAGTGTAGCTCGTGCCGGCAGGCGCTTTGAAGAGGCGTGTGGGACGAAATGCGCCAATGACATCCTGAACCTTGGCCACCGGATGTGAAGCCAGGTCGTTTGTGCCCATGGTTTGTGTTCGAATGATCGTCCTCGTCGCGTAACGTCAATGGGAGGATTGACAAAAGGCGCAGGTTTCGCGACGAAAACCAGTGGAAATGCAGCAAAAGTAACGGCAGTGAATGAGCTTGTGCTGCTGCATGTGCGTCGGGTGCTCCGCGGGCATGAGACACGTGCTTATTACACGCGTTGCTGTAAATTTCGTCACCCGAGTGCCAAGGAGAGCAGCAATAAAAAAGCCTGGAGCTCAGGGTCTGTACTTGTGTACAGGGATTCACGTCTCAGCTGTTATTGGCTGTGGCAGCTGCAGACGAAATCCGTACAACGGCCAACAGGTACGGGAACGGCCATGGGAAGCCAATGCGAACCACAGAAAAAACCACCGATAGCATATGCCACTATAAGGACTTGAGTGATCACGTCGTTCCTTTTTGTTCTGCGATAGCGACTTTTGGAATGATTCCATTGCTCACTGAATAGCGAAGGTGTCATTCCCACTACAGAAGAACAAGCTGACCGCACCGTCAGCCATTGGGCTAAGCGCAGACGGCTCCTCCGACCTCTCCTCCGAAATATTCGCAATATCATCTTGACTCGCACCTTTCACATCAGCTCGCCATTCATTTTTCTCTTTCGCCAACATAACCTCTCGCCAGTATCTTGTCGACATATCTGCTCCGCACCACAATATCTTGCATACAAAAAATTGCACATATAAACAGTCATTGAGAAGGTGATTTACCATTGCGATCCAGGGTTCGGCGTCCACCATTCATTGATCAGCGGAGAGCGAAAGCTCCAGATCATTTATTCAACCCCGGACTTCATTTTTCCTCGAAGTGCCAGAATGTCGACGACGGTGGGATCCTTCATTGCTGGTGGCATTGCGGCTTGTGGCGCCGTGTCCGTTACGCACTCTTTCGAGACGGTCAAAATTCGACTTCAATTGCAGGGTGAACTTCAGACGAAGCGCGATGCTCCGCGATTATATCGAGGCGTCCTCCACGGCGTCTCGGTGATTTATTCAAATGAAGGTTTCAAGGGACTTTTACGAGGCCTCAGCTGCGCAGTACGTACCCGACATTCAAGATGAGATCCTAAGAAGTTGGAGATCTCGTACTTCGTCGCGGCTGACATCTGACGCTCATCCGCAGTACATCTACCAAATGACGCTCAATGGCTGTCGACTCGGTTTCTACGATCCCATCCGTACCACCCTCAACAACCTTGTCCTTTCCTCCTCAGCCACTGCGACCTCAGCGCAACGGCAAAGCCTACCGATCAACATCGTCGCCGGTGCTTCCTCCGGTATCCTGGGCGCTTTCCTCGGTAGCCCATTCTTCCTCGTGAAAACCCGCCTACAGTCCTACTCACCCTTTCTACCGGTCGGAACACAGCATCAGTACCGCAACGCCGCCGATGGTCTCTCACAAATCTGGCGCTCAGAAGGAATCCGCGGATTATGGCGCGGTGTGGGACCCGCCATGGTCCGGACAGGTTTCGGCAGCAGCGTGCAACTGCCGACCTACTTCTTCGCCAAACGCATGCTCACCACCCACGCGGGCTTGTCCGACGGCGCACCTTTGCATCTCCTCAGCTCAGCGGCGTCCGGAGTCGTCGTCTGCGTCGTCATGCACCCGCCGGACACGGTCATGAGTCGGATGTACAACCAGACGGGTAACTTGTACGCTAGCGCATGGGATTGTCTGTACCGCACGGTGAAGGCCGAGGGACCGTTGGCGGTATACAAGGGCTTCTTTGCGCATCTGGCACGGATCCTGCCGCATACAGTGTTGACTTTGAGTCTGGCGGAGCAGACGAACAAACTGATGCGCAGGGTCGAGGAGCGGGTTGTGCCGTCGCTGAGGAAGGAGCGTCTGGAGTAGTTGGACGGGATGTCATGGAGGGCGATGAGACGGAAAACAACTGCGGTCAAGACAACCGGTCGACTGGAGCGGAAGACAAGTCTGGGACGGCAGTCGCATCACGCGCAGGATATCAAGAGGGAAAAGTGAATAACGTTCCATGGCTTGGGAACGTTGGGAAGAACACGGAGAGCGAATACCCTAAAAGTTGATCCGTCCATCCATGGATCAAAGGAACATCAATACGTTAAGGAAGGAATATATCCATACAAAATAAAATAGACAAACCGCTCCTTGGAAAAGACTGATGAGGACTTCTCGGCCTGCACGTGGTTTGCTCAGTCTGTGCCTCTTTCTCAGCCCCGGAGCCCATCGGTATGCTGCAAGTGTGCAAATCATACGATCGATGTTCGAGGGTCGCGACATTGTTTCTCCCTGCCTTCGTTGACCCACTGTACAAGTCATATCGGGAGACACAGCGATAGAGACGGACTTCACAGCCCCGATAGCTGTGTTAAGTGAAAAGAGCATGTCGTCGCACGCAGTGTGTAACACCTGATGCCTATCACAGAAAGTGGTACATGTCGCATACCGGATGAGCCTCGCGTAGGATTCTCGATAGGATGTCATTCGTTGTACGGAAACCTTCTCGCTGCGATGGCGGATGTGGGTCGCACATGCTTACCTACCCAGTACTAGACATGTCCGGACATCGCCACATGCTAGTACTGATCTCGAGGCCGTGAGTTTGGAGATTTCATCATGAGACGCGACGAAGACGAACGATGATGAGATGTGGGAAACAACCAATCAGACAGACAGACAGACAGAAAGATGGGCACAAATTTTTGCATTTCTTTGGGATAAAGGATTACAATCTACGACAGACATGATACCGTACAAGTGGAATCGATCCGCCGTACTTTGCCAAGAACAGAGAAAGAAATATCGAGGACGAAACCAATTAATTGGACGAAAAAGATAGAAGATTAATTTTTCCTTTATTTCCCAACTCCTTTTTCTGTAGGAGAAAACGGGACTCTCATTTGTAAGTTTCGAAAATAAAAAAGACTTTGAATCGATCAACCTCGCACTCAACCTTGAATGTTCGAGATTCAGATCGCACTAACACTCGTCGCTCCTCCGTCTCAGTTCTTAGTACATCGATTGGGTATAATTCATCTACAAGAGGAAGGCAAGGGCAGCGAGACCGACGACACCGGCGGCACCGGCGACCTGGGCCTTGGAACCAGCACCCTGGGCGGCAGCGGGAGTGGGGGAAGAGGCGGCAGCGTTGTTGGTGGTGGCGGTGGCGACGATCTGGCCGTTGGAGGTCTTGACGGCGCCGGTGCTGGTGGGGAGGAGGTAGACGCTGGTGCCGGTCACGGGGGCGTTGTAGTAGAGCGAGACGGCGGTCTTGTTGCCGATGGGGTCGGAGAAGGCGGAGGTGGCAGCAGTGTTGGTGCTGGTGGGCTCTGGGATACCGGCGAGGTAGTCGGCGAGACCGACTGTCGGGGTGCTGGAGGCAGCGCAGTAGGCGGAGCTGACGGAGGAGATGTAGGAGGGGGTGACGTCACGGGCGGACTGGTCGCCGTGGCCCTTCTGGCAGGCCAAGCAGCCGTTCACGGCGTTGAAGAACTGCGATGAGCAGATGCAGTCGCGCTGGGTGGAGTTTGACTGGTAGGCGGGGAGGGTGAGCTCGCTGCCGGTGCTGGTGGTGCTGAAGAGCTGGTTGACGAGGTCGAGGCCGGCGGCGGGGCCGAAAGCGCACTGGTATTGGATGGCGAGCATGCCATTGCAAGGCGCGTTGAAGTCGGGCTTGCCATTGGCGAGCGGAAGGCAGACGTCGGTGAGCTCGTCGTAGACGGAGTCACAGCCCCGGATTGGGCATTGAGCGGCAACAGCGGCGGCGCTGGCCATGGTGAGGGCGGTGGAGTACTTCATGTTGTTGATGGTGGATTGATAAAGTCGTGGTTGTAGGAGTAGTTGGAGATATTAAGGATATTTGAGTTGCTCTAGTCACACGAGAGAACGAATGTGTTGTTGGTGAGAGAGGTCGCAAGAGCAATGAGATGGGCGAACGAGCAGGTGTTTATTCATTTTCTGAACTGACGAGTCTCTTTGGCGAAGGAACGAGAGAGGGCCGGACTTGGAGGCGCCCGCCCTGTAGTGTGTGGTTGGCTGCAGTGGTGGTGTGGTGGTAGCGATATGTGTGTGTGTGTGTGTGTGTGTTAGAGCGTGACAAAAAGAATCCGCCTACCCGCCCCGGTGCAGTCCCACGAGCGAGTCGGAAGAAGTCTAACGTGACGGTTACTTAATTTTAGTCATTCTCCAAGACCGGGCGAAGGTAGGTACCGAACGTCTCTCTCATTGCCTCTCTCTCTCCCCATCACGCTCGCTGCATGACCCTCACCTTCGCCCCGAATTCTGGGGTTGGAACCCTTTTGGTCGGATGTGGCATGGATATTTTGAGCGCGAAAATCGCCTCTCGGTCAGGGACATCCACGCACAGAAAATGACATAGATGGGATATAGGCACGTGTGGTACGTACAGTAAAAACGAACTATCACAGAAGAATCTGTAATCCGTTTGCAGCAAGGCGTTTGCCGCCCCGGGGAAAATCAAATAGCGCGCCAAATTGCCTCCCAATCTCACACGCACGTCGCGTCGTCGCCCGGCCATGCCCTGCTCCGGGTCTAGCTTGGAGGAAGGCAGAGAAATGAGCATTTCTTCTGGCAAAGGACGGAAGAGTCATCGTCCGCGAAAACACGCCCTCGTTCCCCTTTCGTACGATGCTGTGACCCGCATCATATCGATCGCGTTCCCCAAGATCCGGAAGCTCGTTGTTGCGCTCCTGTTCTTGGCGCTCAGCCCTCAGCCCGTCATCTTGGCCATTGCCCCTCGAGCCAATGCTCGGCGGTCACCCCGGTCGACGCGGATGGACGGATCTCACGAAACAACAGAGCCTGTCGGATGGTAGAGGGCTATTGCGAACCGCAAAGATCACCTTCTTTGAAGAACAAAAATAAATTCGAGAAGAAAGGCGCATGGTAGGAGACAGGTTCGGGATCATACGACGTGCAGGCATGTAAGGTGATGCAAGTGTTCGTCTTCCGGGTACCTATTGACCACCGTTGGCACGGCTTTGTCACATCGGTCCAGTGACTACAGAGGAATGATGCGGTGTCTAGAGTTGCGGCAAATCATGTCCTGTGTGTAGGACGACGAGATCATTCATTGTTCATCATTCTCTTCCTGACCTTGGCAGGCGCGTATTCTCGTGAAGCTCCATCTGGCACAAAGGCGTATTTTCGTCGTTGCGCAAAATGATGTAGAAGTTAATTTCTCGACTTCGTCGATCGAGTCTACATATTCCACACGGCTCATCGAATACTGTTCGTTGCGCACACGTGCATGCAAGCAAACGTTTGCAAGGCAGCGGCTAAATGGAAGTCATGAGGAAATTAGCATTCCGAGAACGAAGCAGTTCAGTCAACCCCTGCCGCTTTCGCCTTGAGCTAGCTCCTTTTAAAGGGTGCTCTAGACAGTCCATGCATTCCCGGTCGAACTCATTGAGGTCATGTAGCCTTGCAGCCTCGAAGCCTAAATTCTCTCTTTGTGTCAACTGCAGTGTTACACTGTCGCTAGGGAAGAACCTCATCTGCTTCTGCACTTGTTAAGATTGGTCTAGATAGTCTGGAACCTTATTCGACTTCTCAGCGGCCGAACAAAGGCAGGACGCGATGATGGATATGACGCTGCTGATGAACACATGTCTTCGGACGTTGGTGCAGGGCCTACGCGCTCGCCGAGATCAACGGCAAGACCAGACGAGACATCCCAAGACATGACCATCTGCATGATACTATTCAGAAGCAGCCAAGCGCTCCAAATGTTAGGGAACTGCGTGTGCCGTGCGCTTGTCGTCATCGCTCTTTGCGACAGCCGTGGAGCCCGAAGGAGAGAGAAAGAAACATGACTTTATTAGTCGTCCAAAAGCCTAGATTCAGAGCTTGGATGGGTTGCCGCAATGGAGCATCATGCCATTGCAGTCATCATCCTGACAGGAGTCCCTCTAGCACCACACGCTCCTCGGCAGATCGCGTTTCCGACCGATCTGGTAAGCTCGGAAGCATGCGACTCCCCTCGACGACACACAGCGCGGTAGTAGCTTTGCTGCGCAAAATCACGTCGAAGTGGCACGATATGGCTGGACCTCAACGGAAACAAGCGTCCGTTCAATCTACTGTATAGTCGAATGTGTACTCATCCACGTCTCTATCGTACGTTTGTGACCTCCTGAGAGGCTGATGAAGGCCGCTTGGTGGCGATTACCATGGACGTGAACCTGAGAGAAGCCGGAAGATCGACCATCCGTCACCATCAACACCCCATCAACGGAATGTCGCGTTGTCGGCGCTCAGCGGATCTCTGCGCTTGTGGCTCCTTGAGCGAGTTTTCTGTGATTGCGACACCGTTTACAGCACGATGATGCGATTTTCGTCTCGCCTCGCATTGCTGCTGAGGCATGTTCATGCGGACGATGATGCTTCCGGCTTCCATCCCTCGCGCGCGCAGCACTGCAGCTTTGAATATGTAGTAGCTGCTGGCTTCTCGCGAACTGTAATTGTGATCAGTTTGGTAGTGCGGTCGAGATGGTTCATCGACACTGCATGTCCCTTGCGGCACTGCCCTGCCGCGGCAGACGTCTATCCGGTCAGAGCAAGAAATACCCTCCACATGTTTGGAGCATTATGGACCCGTTGATAATTGTCAGGACAGTCACTTCAGATCGCACCGTCGCACAGCAGATCTCGAATAAATAATCCACGACCTACGCGTGTGATCGGTGATGCTGACGAAGAGGGAGGAAATGACGCTTCTCTGTACCGCGATTGATATACCAAAGCCGTTTCCAGCAGCCGTTGGCGGTCCAGAAGCTAAGGCACATTTGAACATCTGCTAAAGTATTTGAGTGAGAAATAGTGTCGAAGCAGCTCCATACTTTGGAATTCGGCTCTTCGATGTTGCTCGTCTCATTACGGCTACGCGCATGTTCCCTTCACGTGGCATTCTCCTGTGGTCATTTTAACGGTTTCGTCAGCTTCTGCCGAACTGTCAAGCCATCTCCAATCTTCGACAGAGCATGAACTTGTATTCCCAGGCCCGAACCCACGGTCTACTGCATTGACGATTCGTTGGTACCATGGCCGTTTTATGTTCGTTGTCGTTGCTGAACCTGAAGAATCATCACCGCAATGACGACGCGAGCACAAATGGCCGTGAAACGTCTGTCCATCCCCACGCTATATTTTCAAGCTCGACGCGAACCACAGAAGACGAGCCACCTAAGAAAGGATAATCACAAGGTCGTAAACACACAAAGTCACCGCCTGGGCATACTCGAGTGTCCAGACTAATCGCTCTTTCTGCGTGATCATCTCTATTTGCATGTCGTTGGAGGTAAGAAGTGAGTATAAAGGCATCTTGAGACAGGACCGAGGAGGCATCTTGAAGGCACATATCGCCCATAGCGCCGTCACGGATTATTTCGGAAGTCATTGATGTCTTCCAACGTTTTGATGCCTTGCAGGGTACAACCCTAATGTTCTCATCGATCCATATCCTCGCAGTTCATCGATGAATGGAACTACGATGAGGTTCTCTGATGACACAAGCCCAAATGGTATCGCTCGTTTCAAGACTGTCCACCGTGGCACATCTCTCCCTTCGCGATTCGATTTAGTGAAGGAAGCCGAAGCAAATATTTAGTTGCATTGCCATCTTCGGCCTGAATTCTCACAAGCCGTTTTCAACGATTCGCATCGACTCGCATGCTTCATGTCAAGCGCTCAAGTATCCGCGGCCGACCCTCTCGACGGGTGACATGACGATTGTCAATAGCCGTATATACCTTGGAATCATCGATGTTGCCTAGAATACTGCTGGTCTCAATAGAAAAAGTCTTGTGATCATTGAGAAGGGCTGGATTTCTGGCCGCCTCAACACTTCCAAGATTCTCATTCAATCCCACTTATCTAATGTTACACGTCTATCCTCTTCCACTTTGAGGCTGTTCGGCCAAAACCTTCCATATCTGTTTATTGTCCGAGAAAGTCGAACCGAATTGCGGGATGAGACACCCAGATGGAATCGTCCTAGCCACTGAACTCATCATCATCCCCGACTGATAAGATCACCTTGGTCCAAATCGACGCATAAACCCTAGTGCACTCAGCATCATCTCGTACTACACCCAGAGATTTGGTGAGAAACAATGCGAGTTCGGTTGGGATTCCTCTTATCGCCCAGCATGCATGAAAGCAGACATCTGGTGGTACACCAAAGGGTGAAATTTCCATGGTAATAGTGATTCATTCTCACTGCATCACTTTGCTCAACGCTTTCGGAAAGCCTCGTCAGCGATCCCTAGGTTTGTGTGCCCCTCGACCGCCCGATCCATCTCCTCTCATCACTCTACACTCGAAAAGGACCACTGCATCTCGTTTACAACTGTTTGACATTCGTCGATACCCTCACTTCACGGCATCACTCAGATAGTGAACCAGCGGGAGAGGTCTACGATTCCAGTCTCGAAGAAGAGCAATACAGCAATGCAGCATTACACCATCATCAACAAACCTGAAGTAAAAGACCCAACCAAGCAAGATCAAGAAAGTGCAAATCATTTTCCAAACATATGCCATAGATTCATACACGCTTTTTGCTCCCAGCGAACGGCAACAGTCAGCGCCCTCAATGCAATACATGAACTCCCGAGATGCCGCTCCAAAAACCAATCCGGTTGCGCAGAATACAATGCCAATTAAGGCGCCAAAGAGAATTCCCCAAATTATTGTTGTGCTTTTTTTCTTCTCTCCCTCAGGTTCTCTACTCTTATGAGGACCCTCGGATGTATGCTGAGATTTGTCTTCGCTGATAACAGAAGCTGGCCGAGGCGTGCGTTGGATCCAGGTGATCGGGTCCAGAGGGAAGATATCACAAAGACGTTGTGTCGCTCAAAATTGGCAAACCATATGCATGGAAGATGCGAGAAAAAGTGGTGAGTGCCAAAAAGAATCGAAAGAGGTTTTGTACAAAGACCCAGCTCAGGGCCAGCAAACGCCCAACGAACTTGCATCTCGAATGAGGATAGCCTTGGATCGGCTCTCAGCTCATGCCGGTCCTCTGAAATCGATCGAGCAGACCGTCGAACAGGGCGGCATCCTCTTCAGCCTCGGCATGATTGACTGCGGGCCCGTTCGTCCCGTTCGATTGCACCCGAACCAGCAGCGGGCTACGCAGGGGACTAAAGGATTCTCTAGCACCTTCGCCGCCGGCTCCAGCGCTCCCGCATTTGGACCCGTAGAGATGTTGGCTCAGCTCGTCGATGCTCCCCTGGAACCAGCCGTCGGGGGTCATGCGAGGCGAAGAAGACGACAGGGAATAGTAACCTCGCCAGTCGAAATCGTTGTCGTCAAAATCATCGAAGTCGCTGTCGTCATCGTCATCATCGTCGTCCTCCTCCGAGGTGGAGAATCTCCGCCGCTGGCCGCCGCGCTCGTCGTCTCGGGCTGCCGAACCGAACTGGTATTGATTGATCTCCTCGAATTGCGAAAAACCGGAGTCGGTGTCTTCCGAGGAGCTGGTGGTGTCGAAGTGGTAAGGTACATGTGCGTTCGAGTCTTTGCCAACGAGGGTGTAATCTAGGGCGTCGCTATCGTCATCTTCTGAGAGGCCGGAATCGTCGCGCGTTAATCGTTCCGCGCGTTGGAGTGCGAGCTCTCGCATTACGGCAGAGTGCTCATCGCGAAGCTGTTGTCGGAGGGACGCGTTTCTCGCCCGATCGATCTGAAGCTCAAGCGAAGTGACCTTGGCAAGGAGTTGCTCGAGTTCCTCGTCGCTGTGTCGGCGGCGAGCATCAGGTGAGTTCGAAGATCGGGAGGGTGTCGCCGAGGGAAAGTCGGCAGCGAGGACATCCTCGAACGTTGCACGGAACTCGCGCGCCCGCTCGCTGTTGGGGATGGCAAAAATGACCTCCTGGATGCCCTCCCACTGTTCCGCATTGGCACGGCGCTGTCGAGCACCACCAACCAGGACTTTCCTCCAAAGCTTCGCGACTTCGCGGACGGGATGCCGCAAAGGGCCACAACCCCAGTCTCCGAGAATGAGCTGTTGGACGCCCTTGCTCTGTGCGATGCGCAGGATGGCCTTCATCTTCGAGGCCATGATGTCGCGATCCTCGTCGCAGTAACTCACGCCGCAGGAACAACCTTCCTCACCCTCGCCGCTGCGGTCCACCGGATGGCGTGCGACACCGGCGGTGATGACATCGACGAAGAAGCGGTCCCGCCGTGCCAGCTCGACGCCGTCGGTGCCCCGGAAGACGAGAACATCTGGTGTGTAGATGCCACCAAGCTCCGGCAGCGGGTAAAACTTGTCCCAGAGGGACGCGTAGAGAGTCGTTCGGGTGCAGAGGAATTCTTCTTGGCCATTGGCACCGGACATGAAGCCGCCGCCGGGTCGTGTCAGCGATCCCATGCTGTGGACTGCAACCTTAGCGGTCTTGCCGTTGGATGATAGCGCTGATGATCGACGTCGACCATCGCCGACTTGCTTTGTCGAGCATCGAGCCGCAGCCTGAAGCGCATCGGTAGGCTGTACGCGGATGACGAGGTCATCCCTAGGTGAGTCTGTGCTGTTATGTGAGAGTTTTTGGCTGCTGGCCGAGGGATCGCTAATGAGCTCTGTCTTGGAGATGCCCTGTTCAGCTCGTGGTATCGCTCGGAATAATTCGGGAATGTCTCTGTGAAGTGTTCGTGAGGCCCTCTGCTCGCGCTCGTGGCGCTTCAAGGGCTCCATTGTGAGAGATGGAATGTGAGATGGCCTCTGCCGTGAGTTGTCGTCCTGGATGGAAATTGGAAGGATGTTTCACGCAGACGGTACAGTGCTTCCAAACGTGACGATGTAGAAATGTTCTGTCAGATGCGTGGAGGCGAGTTTGAAACAGAAAATCTAAAGGACTAGCATGTGATGGGCCGCGACTAAAGGTATATCAGAAGCGTGGGAGCGTTGTGCTGCTCCACCTTTGGTTAAGGAAGTGTGCCTTGGCCTGTCGATCGTCAGGGTGTGGTGGTGGAGGAGAAGTCCCGGGCGAAGATGGACAACACCGTGCGGCGACAAGCACCACTGTCAAAAGTTCGGCGAATGAACTATGCTAGTAGTACATATGCAGGTAGCATGTGCTGCAAACTGTAAATGGTCGCGCGCCAGGACCGACAAGCCGACGGGCGTGCGTTTGTGGGAGGAGAAGACGGCCGAGGTGAAGTCGGCTTTCGAACGATGTCGCGCGGAAGACTGAATGAGGATATGCAGCAGCAACAATACTGATGAAGAGGTCAAGGGACGGGGTGGAAATGCAGACACAGATGAGCGATTGGCAATATGGCAGTGAGATATCACACGATGATGAAGAATTGGGGAAATGCGACAGAGATCATCAGCCCAGGACGCAGTCAGGCCATCTCGGCCGGTGTCCGGTGCTGGCGAAGGTGGAGGGAACACGACGCTTGTTTCGCATAGACAGGCGCGCGTGACGCCGTCGCCGCAGATGATGATGATGATGCTGCTGATGATGTTAGATGACTTTGGGGGCGTATTTAGCAGTAGTGCAAGACGGAGCTGGAAGTGTGGACTGTCACAGACTAATAAAATGATCACAGTGACGGGGTGAGGAGATGTGTACAAGGCCGAGAACGCACTCTTTGCCTTTGCGGCTGCTGCTCCGCTCTGTGTGCGGGCTTTGTCCGGTTGTTGTGAGCCCAGGTGTTTGTCACAAGGAGAAACAGCCTCCACTGCCTAGTATGGACTCGAGCCTGGGCTTATTCTCCATCATGTCCATTCCACGCATCCATTGATATCTCCCGTCCTTGACTACTGCAAAAGTCTTGTCTTCAGAGTCAGCCCACCTGGGCAATCCTTCTCCATCAGCTGCTGCTGCTGCTGCTGCTGCTTCTTCTTCTTCTCATCACAGATCATCACGAGCAGCCAGACCCGGTCGTGGTTCTGCATGTGAAAGCCCCACTAGACACGGATCAAGCCTAGCGCTGGGGTCGCATTTTGGCATGTGAGGGCGCGGGCGGGCACCGAGTTTCAAGGAAAAACCGTTTCGTCCAATCCAATCCGATCCACTCCAGCGCATTTTGATTTCACCATGCATCGTCCGGGGATCTGAGCAGTTTTTAAAAAATCTCTTACTTTCCCAGGTTAATCATAGTCTTGGAGATCTCATCTTGCGATTGTTCATTTCGGGGTCCTAGCATCTCGGGGTTTGACACTGACACTGACACTGACACTGACGTCTGATGATCTCAAAGGGTCTTCTCGTTGCCCGATAACGTCCGCAAGCGGGCCTGCCAAAGGTTGATGTAATGAAAGATGATTGCCGATGCAGGTGCAAACCGGCCGGTCTGTCTCCCGCTTCACATCATCGTCATGATCGTCACTTCCGACGATACTACATCTGCGCCCTGAACATCCAACTGTAAATTGTCAATACCACCAAGAGAGCGCGGAGACCTTGGCAATGGATGGACACCGCGGCTCCTGCTCGACGGATTGATTCATTAATTCAGGATGATGCGCACCAGCTTTTGGGGTTACGCGCGAGAAGAGTTGGGTGCTGGACGGTGCACGAGCCTAGGCAAAAATGACGATACACAGACACACGGACACAGACATCGGATCTGGGACTATTTGTAGGATGCGATGACCTTTCTCAGCTAGAAGCTCGCCCGCCCCCGAGGCCAATCATCATACATTCTTGTGTGGTACGGTACAGCAGCTGGAGAGCGGACTCTACCGTTCGGTGCATGCTACCCTCACACCACCTGCACAAACACACCCACACCCACACTCACGACACCACCTTCTGCACCCTACCCCAAACTCCGCCCACATTCTTTACTGCAAGCCCAAGGCCAAACACACGAACATGTACACACGAAAGCCCCATCGCAACGCATCACATCGTGAGATCGTTCCCATTGCGGCCAGCCTCCCGCCCTGTCACCAATGCTTGATCATCGATGCGGCTGATACCCAACATATTGGAGAGAGAAGGAAGGAATTGCCTTGAATCCACTCTTGCCAGTCGGTTGCAAATGCTGTAATGCATAACCTTGGAATGCAACGAATGAACTACTCCAGGTGCAAATGATCTCGGCATCTGCCCGATCGGGTCCGCCGCGGTCGAGAACTCCACTTCCGCCGCCCGATGGCAATTGTTATACTGTATCCATCTGTGAATCCCAGTATGAAATAGAAAGGACTGGGTGCATTGCCCCAAGTGGTCACCCTACTGTATCCCTGTCGGTTGCAAACTGAAACCTGTGCCACCTTTTTTTCCTTCCATTCGGTGCGCCTCTGCCCCATGGAAATCTCCCTCCAATGCGGAGAAGCACGATTTCGTGGCGGTTTCCTCTTTTCGTAATGTGTGCATGCGATCTCGGACGCACGAGTTTTTCTCCACCCGTTCGAGGCTTATTTCTCCTCCTCTCCTCCCTTTCGATCCAGCGGGCTGGGAAATGAGGAGAAAAAGGCAAATATCATCAATCATGAGAGGAGGTTTCGGCGCACATAGGAGACGAGTTGAATACAAGATTTTTCCGATGGAGGTTTCCTCGGACTTTTTGGTAACGATCATCTCTCCCCGCCTAAATCCACCACACACGCACGACACATGACAGTAGCGTTCCGCCCCGCACGCGCCTGGGACGATCTGAATGCGTGATCTCCGGCTTGCATCGTCGAGGATGGAATTCGGGATATACACAGTCCATGGCAATTGCTTGAAAACTCCAATCTTTGCGACGACGATGCGGAGAATTCTCGCGATCAACAGCGTATCCTCATGTCCAGGTGCTGTACACTGAAAGGCAAGATCAGGCCATCGTTCCTGGCTCCGCCGCCGCGGCTACATGGTTGCAAATTTCTGCCGTTCGGCGTCCCGATTTCCATTATTACAGTATCATAATTCTGGTGCAATTTCGGACTCCCGCTTCCACTCACGTTCTCCGCTCAACAAACGCCGAGAGATCTTTCGAGCTGCACCGTTGATGATCATGTTTCATGTAAATTCCTCTGCAGATCTCCCTCCCCACCACCGAACTGCAACCTCCCCGAGGAGCACTGTAACTTGGAAAGAAATGTCCGAGCCGCTATCTGATACGACGACATACATCGGTGCCGTACTGAACCTGAATCCGCATTCTGCCTCGCTACCTACACAGAAATCGGATATATTCTTCATGCAAGATTCAATCACACACACCCGATACACACACAAATGCGGGGCCCCAAAGTGAAATGATTGAAGCCACGTTTGCCCTTGCATAGCGATCGTCACTCACGCGTGCGCGGGCAGCAGGGTTGAAACCTCGAAGCCGACAAGGTGCTGTAGTCGTGTGCGCAAAATTTCGCGGCATATACCTAGGTAGGTTCTTAAGTTTGATGAAAGCTTGATGACCGGCCATGAATTACAGTACCTACCTAGGTAGGTATGCACGAAGGAAGATCACTTATTTCACATGACTTGTTCCCGTAGAGACACTCTGATAGGACAGTCACATTTGGGATTGGATATACCAGAATTGTACTGCAGGAAATCAAGCATTCAAGACCCACCACGCAATGGCCACTGCTTCCTCAGAAGAATACAACAATGAGGCCGAGGCGAATGCCCTTTGACTCCCTAGTCACTGAAGAAATCCTGGCTCGGATCTGCAGTAGGAGCGGAGTGTTTACTTTTATGATTCGCATTGTCCGTGGGCCTATCCGAGTCGCGAGATTCCTCGTCCGGCAATTTCAGTTCTCGAATGGGTATTGAGTATCCTCGGATTCGATTGTTGTTGCGCGCATTGCACACCTATCGCCATAATTGTTCTCAGATCTCTTCGTTAATCCTCGCGCTTTCTGCTGAGCATCATGATATAGAACCGCTCTTTGTACATTGCTACTTGACGACCCTAGCTGGACATCTTACAAGCCATAGCATGATCTTGCTGTGGGCAGGACAGATGGAAGGCTCCTGAATATTGAATGTGCTTTGATGTTGTTGATTCACTGACCATCACGTGCAGGATCGGCGTACCTTCCATAAAGCCCTGGCAGTCGTGCTAATGAGGGCACCTGCTCATCGTCAACTACAGCGAGTATATTGTAATCGAGCTTCAATGAATGTAATCGAGCTAGGCAGGCAGACAGATCTCACCATCTGCCTCTGATTTAAGTCAGTGGGGAGTTACAAGGTTCAGGAGGCTTCTCTACCGACATATCCACGTAAATCAAATCCGAGAATCTCACAACAGAGTCACCAATCGAGAGATCATACAGAATTTTGATAGCCAGTTCGAGATAATGTCAACAGCCGGCGAGCCCGCTGCGCAAGCAGCAGCGGTCGTTAATGATGCGCCGACATTTACTTCCTTGGCGCCGACAAAACCCTTCGTGTCGACACTCCGCTATCCTAGCAACCGGAAGACCATCTACGACCGAAACCTCAACCGAACGAAGACAACAGAGATCTCGCTCGCGTCCTTTGCCTATCTTTTCAACAGCTTGATCACTTATCACCACGCGAAATCCGGCTCCGTGAGTGAAATCGAAACCCGACTGAATAGAGCTGGCTATCCGATTGGCATCAAGCTGCTCGACCTTCTCCTCTATCGAGCCCCACCACGAACAGCCAGTCGATCAACACGTCTGCTCGACCTCTTGCAATTCATTCATGGCACCCTCTGGCGGTCTTTATTCAATCGTAGCGCCGATGCTCTCGAACAGAGTAACACTAAGAAAAACGAATACATGATCGTCGACAACGAGCCGATTGTCAACACTTTCATCAGCATCCCGAAAGAGATGAGTCAGCTCAATTGCGCGGCCTTTGTGGCGGGTATGATCGAGGGCATGTGCGATGCCGCAGGATTCAGCACGGATGGGGTCAGCGCTCACTGGGCCGGCGAAGGAGACGAGATGTGGCCCGGCAAGACCATTTTCCTCCTACGATTCAAGGACAGCGTTGTGGAACGTGAGGAGGCTATCAAAGCGAGCGGAGGATGATTTTACAAAAATAAGCACCGTTGAGATTTAACAGGCACACTACACATCGTTCTAGTTGCCAATCGCACCTATCTCGCCAACAGGACGCATCACTTGTCGAGTCCAGCTCGCCCTCATTTTACCGGCCGCCTGATGGTGCTTAGGTGAAATGATGCTTGACTGCTCATCATCGATCTCCATGTGGTCCTGCATCGCGGATGAGCCATCTGGACTTGCCCCATCGAGCCCCGCGAGTCCAGCAGGCAACATTGATTGTGACTCGACATCTGTGTCTGGGACCTGGCCCGATTGCAGAATTTCACTCCATACCGTTCCAAACCCTTTGCCGCCGAGTCGGATCATCGAGGTTCCAAGATGTTGTGCCCAGTGCCCAGGATGTGTGCAGCACCACATTACGATATGGGCCTGGATCAGTTGTCGTTCGGATGGGGTGATGCTGCTCGTCCAGCCTTTGGGATCCACCATATGTTCAAGCCAGAAACAGCACGCTTCAGCGTTTCGATCGTCAGCCTTTTGTGAGAGATTAGACTCGCCAATGGCATAAAGCATTCGCTTGATCAGGATCTCAAGGAACTGTTCCTGTTCGTTGAAGATTTCCTGCAGAAATCGGTCCCACAACAGAAACGCGCCGTCCAGGGAAGTCCCGAGCCTGTTCTTCTGTCAGAATACAAATGCAAAATGGTCATTGGGACGGTCAACTCACTCTCGCTTTGATGGGAATAGGAGCTTGTCGTCCAGGAGGACCTCCGCAAAAACCTCGATGCGATACGTACTGTCCGCCATTAGGTCTGCACAAGATTTGGCCGACCTCCAGATTTCCTGCTCCCGGTCGGCAGGTGCAGTGACCTTGGCCCGTAAAGCCTCTCGTCGCGTGCTCCGGAAGTCTCGAAGTTTCTGCTTCGCATCCGTCCTGAATTGCGCCATGGCCGCCACGTCTCCATCCACAACCGCCGGGTCGACCAATCGACTCCAATACACATTCCACAACCAATCCAACGCATCCTCCGTCGCGCTCACCAATCGATGGACCTCGGGCAGTTCCTGATGAGTAGCTTCGTGTCTCAGCGTGACAAATTCCACCGGCATATCAATCTGCTTCGCAATCTCCAGCATGCTGCTCGGCTCCAGCATGCGCTCCTTGTTCCGCCCGATGTCGCAGAAGCCTGTCACGAACCGCGTGAAGGCTGCGCTGTAGACGGCGCGCACGCTGAAAATCGACGTCTCCGGAATCGCGTGGTGCAGGATCGCATCCATCAGCAGAGCGGTCGACTCCACCGCGTGCGGAAGGTTTCCTCGCACTTTCCACGCCATGACGCGTTGGACCGCATGGTGTCGTGGGTCGTTGGGTTGGTCGTTGTTGGTATCGGGGCTTTGGTCTAGTCGATAGAGTTGTTTGCGGACCTCGAGGAGGTCGCTGTGCGATCGCCAGGGAGTGATGATGCCTCGCGCCATGATGTAGCTCAAGTTCAATTCGTCGCTAAACCGAGATTCGGCTTCTTCAATGCGTGCGCTTCGGGTGATTCTTCAGCGCAGTCCTGCCAGCCAGAAATGAATCTGTAGATGTGCTCTATTCCGCGTATGTTTGCAATTATGAGTGACGTCTGAAGTTCGCACTTCCTTGATTATTGCTGGCAATGTTCGTGAACCTTCAAGCCATGCACCAATGTGGATCGTGAATCGAGAAGGTAGCTGCTGGGCACACTATTGTCACTACAGCACAAACTCTTGTTCGTCCCTGACTGCTGCTTCAAAAAGACCAAATTAGGTATGCTTTACTGCATCGGGAGAAAAATGTCAAATATTTCGCTCGGCTGAATAGCTTTCAGTCCAGGGCTGCTATCGATTACTAGCCGCGAAGAACGTCGAGTTGCGAATTGAGGGTGCCGGAAGCCGCTGATTGGTCATGCCAACGTCATACGCAACCAGCGACTAATGCTCGTCTGCAAGGAACCCGCCGACTGTCTCTGCAGATCAAGTGCAAGTGATGTCGACAAGTCCTCGTCCCGGCAGTGTTTCTGGACTGCTCAAAAGTATAAAACATCGCATCACAGGCTCTAGTAATAAGTCAGAGGACAGTCGAGACATGTCGTCGGAAGCTTCAGGAGTGGTCGACCTCGGAGCTGCTGATCCCTCCGATGACAAGCCTGTCAAGGTAGAACCTTTTTCGAGGCGTCTATATGCTCACTGTTCCCCGCTGATATGTCTCCAAGAATGAATGCCAAGCGGACCCAGATGAATCGGAAGGACTTTCCGAGCAATTGGAGGTCGTGTTTGACAACCATGATTCGCACCGAAGAAAGGCATCGCTTACACAAGAGAAATCGAAACCTCAACACGACACGCAAGATGTGACTTCGTGTTTCGTACACTCTTTGCTGCACAACTGTCACAAGAAACCCGATCAGTCAGATGCCAAATCGTCCGGGACAGACTTCAGCGAAAAATGGAGCGAGGTTTTACGCGATAGTAATGATTCGCAATCCCGCTTGCTGTCGAAAAGGCAGCTGGCCGACATGGCATACAATATTCGAGAGCTGTCTAAGAAGCTCGGTACAATACGGGTCCTCCTCAAAGTCCGCAATGTGTTTTTGCTCACCAAAGCACATGACCGGAAGTTGTTTGCAAAGACTCGAGAAATGACCAAATGGCTATTACGGCAAAAGAACGCACAAGGCGAGCCGTACACAGTCTGGGTAGAGGAGACTCTAGAGGAAAATGAAATATTCGATTCGAAATCCATCACATCTGAGGATCCCTCGTTCAAGGACCGCCTCAAATATTGGAACAATGAGCTCTGCCGCAAGAAACCCCACACATTTGAGATCTGTCTTGCGCTAGGTGGTGACGGAACTGTACTCTATGCATCTTGGCTGTTCAAACGCGTGGTGCCTCCAGTCATGTCATTCGCTGGAGGCTCACTCGGCTTCTTGACCAAATTCGACTTTGACGACCATGCCAGAATTCTCGAGCGCGCTTTCAAGGAAGGCATCACCGTCTCCTTGCGCCTCCGGTTCGAAGCGACAATCATGCGATCTGTAAAGCACAAGGACAAAAACACCCAAGCCTCCCGCGATCTCATCGATGAACTCACCAGCGCCGACGAAGGCGATGTCACAACCCACAAACCCGACGGAAGCCACAACATCCTCAACGACATCGTCATTGACCGTGGTCCAAACGCGACTATGAGCAGCATCGAACTGTTCGGTGACGATGAGCACTTCACCACACTACAAGCCGATGGGATCTGTGTCGCGACGCCCACAGGCTCAACGGCCTACAACCTCGCAGCTGGCGGCAGTCTTTGCCACCCCGACAACCCTGTTATTCTCGTCACCGCCATCGCCCCGCATACGCTCAGCTTCCGACCGATTATCCTTCCGGACACGATTGTCCTACGTGTTGGTGTACCATATGATGGACGGGCAAGCTGTTGGGCGAGCTTCGACGGGAAAGAAAGGTAAGAAATACGAAACTTCCCTTCCGCCGTTGCTCCAACACTATGCCTTGCTGCATCGTCATGCCGTTCAATCCCACAACTTGCTGATTTAATGTTTGCCTCAGGTCCGAATTGTGTCCCGGGGACTATGTCACCATCTCCGCCAGTCGCTTCCCTTTCCCAAGCGTCTTGCCCCTGGATCGCCGGAGTGAAGACTGGGTAGAGAGCATCTCAAGGACGCTGAACTGGAATAACCGGCAACGCCAGAAAGCCTTTGATGAGAGTAACCAGAAGGAGGGAGGAGATGAATAGTTGTATCATTTGGCAGCTATCATTGTGACGGTAAAATTCTAGAGGATTGGACATTGAGGTTGGATCCAAAAAGGCTCGACTACGAGTTAAACGATACGAACCAAGCAGAGCATGAATCCATAGACCACTGGGTGCGCCAGCATATGTTGCACCCATGGATCTGACGTTTGAATGTGCAATGCACCACGTGCAATTGATTCGAGACTGTTGTGGCAAACCACGGCCCCGCCACGACTCCGACTACTTTCTTCATGTACATTCCTTCCAGTGATGTATGACGAATCCCCTGCATCACTGGCTGTCATCCTCCTCCGTGCTGCGATGCGCGGAAGAAACCGACAAGTCCCTAGTGGTATTCGGCGGCACCCAATCTTTCCCACCAGTCGCAAGGACCGCTTCAGCATTCAATTCCCCCACGAACCACTTCTCTCTACGTGTTGACGAGCGCTGGCCACCCTCCAATGCGCTCCTAGCCGCGCGGGTGGTACGCACTTTCTTCGCGGCACGGCCGTCCGACAGCAATGTATTCAGCTGGCCCCGATGCTCGGCTAGATCTTCATCGTAGCGAACGATGGAGCGGACGTAAGGGGCTATGTCCACGGCGATGGGTTTCAGAGGGCCGTCGAATACGGATTGGAGCATTGTCAATTGAGGTAGCGTGCTCTCGGGATCGTAGGCTAGGGTATCGAAGCAGGCGAAAGCGCGTCTGGTCATTGGCGTGTGGCCCTCCTGAGTCAATTTTCTTGACAGTATTGTATCTCGCATGGTGATTGGGTCGGTAAGAGCGATTGAGTCTAGCAGATCGCATGTGCGGGTAGCCGCAACGCTCATCGTTACAGCTAGATTGGATGTGAGAGTGGTAAAATCTGTATAGGCATCCGTTTGAAGTAGTCTGTGACCTTCGATGTATTGAGTGCGATGCTGATCTGTGAGAGGGCGTCGCGAGGGATCGCATAGGGGCGTATGGAACGGTTGCTTTGCGTGGATCACGTCCGAAGCACTGAGAGTATCCGCATATCGTGAGAATGACTTGAGATCTTGCAGCTTCTGAAGCGGTGATTGTGGAGAGTCACAGCCCAATGTAAGCTCATGCCAGCCAAGAGCCGTGGCTGGTTCAATATCGAGCTCCCGCCACGCCCACGCCACTCCGTCTTCGATAGGAAGGTCGCGACTAAGAGTCAGACTCATACCCTTGGTATATGTACCTTGGCTGACGACCCGTAGTTTTCTACCCTTGTCATCGACATCCGCGCCAGGAGGCCAACGTTGGTAAATCCAGGTAAGGCCTGATCGCGGGTCACCAACAGCCATCTGGCACCAGAAATCCAACTCTGTCAGACTTGCGCGCAGATCCTGATGGTGGTAGTCGTAAAGCCAACTGACGGCATCACGGTCGATGAGGTGCCCTTCTGCTGCAGCCACAGCTAGCATATAATCGGTGGCAAACTCACGAGAAGGAGGTTCAAAGCGCAGCATTGCGTGGAAGCTGATCGCTTGCATGGGCAGGAGCGTCTCATCATTGCAGGTCATGAGAAACGGACGCTTGGATGTCGAAATCAGCTTCAGAATTGTTGGCCAGAATTCTTTGTCATCCTTGAACATGATGTCAACTTCCTCAAGCAAGATCAGAGACTGCTGCTGGTCTTTGGAGGGTTTCTTCAAAACCTCCTGAACATCTTTGATCGCTTTTGCTGCAATCCGTCCTTTCGTAGGCAGCTTCTTGGGCTGCGCGGGATTGGTCTTGGGCTGAGGTTTGAAGAATGCGTTCATCTTGCCTTGTCGGCCACTCTCTAAATCTCTTTGAAAGGCTTCATCAAACCGTGCAGGCTCATCCACTGAGGCCGTGTCGATATGATCACCAGAAACAGCAGGGGCGGTGCCATGGTGCTTGACAAGGTGATTCTCCGCCATGTTGCCTATCTTGTCAAGCACATCTTTGCCACTTCGTCGCTCGCTGGAGCTGATTTCGAAAACTTTGAAGTTCAACTCCCTTGCGATGGCATAGGCGGCAGCCGTTTTACCGCAGCCTGATGGACCACTAATGACGACAGTGTTGTTCAATTTGTCGCCAGGGTTGATTGACCGTACGATGCTCTTTTGCGCGGATGTACCACCACCAGTCGGGCCATCCACGTCCTGATCATCGCATAAGTCATGCATCTCTGCATCATCCTCGTCACTCTCGACAAGAAAGTCGCCCATTTCAGCGTTTTTCTTCTTCCTCTTCTTCTTAGGCTTTTGTAGCAAGGGTGCGCCAACTTTACCAGTTGCAGCTCCGCTGACAGAATGCACGCCCATGGCTTTCAGCCAGTCTTTGAGCACAGCAATTTCTCGTTCGGGCTGCAGAACATCCGAAGCGAGTCTTGGCGCGTATTTTTGAGTCCACGGTAGTGTCTCGCCTTTCGACTCGTCATAAGCAGTCATTATTGATGGTACCTGGGAGAGTAAGTGTTGGACTGCAGGATGAGCCGGCGCCTGCGAAGAGGGCAATCCGAGCTCGTCCACTGTAAAGTCGTACTGCGAGGACATTTGTTTCGATACTCGCTGTGCGATGTCGGCGCCGCACAGTAGGAGACGCTGAGGCACTGTGAGGTCTCGGCTGGGTTCTAGGAAGCCATCTGGGCGTACACGACGATCGTCCTCGCAGGTAAGGTGTGATGCAAAATAAGCAGTGACGGACTCATTTTCGCTCAGGATTCGCTTGGCTTGCTTGCGCTTGCGGATGGTGAAATTTGATGGCACAGCGCCAAATTGCTCCTGAGGCACTGAAGCATCGATGCCGCGCACATGCATTTGCTCTCTATCAGGAAGAGCTGGCTCTTTTGCTCCAGGATGTTTGAACATGAGCCGGTCCTTTAGTAGGTCAGATCCGACGATATAAGTTGGCTCCCGACTATCGACTCGTGGACTGTCATTGAGTGCTTGCGCTCGCAATTTGCCAGGTGTTGTTGCAGATAACATCTTTCTGGGAGTAGATGGCTTTGGGCAGACCGGTGGGGTCGGTTTCACCTGAAAGAAGGGATGTGTGTCTGCGTCCTGTTCAGAGGCGGCCGCATTTTTCCGATTTCGAGACTTTGTTGCCTTGACGGTGGTTTTGATGCGCTCATCGCCCTGGAGTATCCTCGCTATCCTGAGTCCGAGTTGCGCTTCACCACTTGTGGCATAATGAAACTTCACGATCAGAGATAACGCCATACTTTTCTCGATAGACCTTTGAGGCTTGGGTCGAGTTTGACGCCCGGATGAGGACTTTGGCTCAGAATTGCCATGTTCTCTTATAACCGGGGAGCTGAATCTGCCGTTGGCATTAAGTCGAAGTGTCTTTTTCGGAGGCGTCTTCGAAAGCTGCTCTGGTTGGAGTATGACCGGCACAAGCTTCAGCAGCGAGTCTGCAGGAGCCTCCACGGTCTCTAAAGCCCCTTCGCTCTCATTTTCAGCTTCGGGGTCATGCTCCAGATTCATGAAATTGTCAACGCTAGTCTTGCGACGCTTGCGACTTATGGATTCGAATTCCGGATCCGTCCCGTCATCGCATGTGTCATTTTCTTGTCCCTTGGTATGAGGCCTAGGATTGATAATGTCGTTCAAGGTCCTTTGTGACTTGAAATCGTGATGTTCGTCTGATTTGGGCTTCCGCGTTCGAGGTCTGCCTCTCGAAGGCTTTCCGGGTGCCGGCTGTGTGGTTTGCTCGTCCTTGATATGATTATCTAGAATTATAGCAGCACCTCCAGATATGTTAGCGGATCAACCTTGAGGCAGTTGCAGGCTCATCTTACCGTCGACTTTCGTAAAGAATGGGTGTAAATTTTGCTTCTCATCCGTATTCATCACAGCAATTACATCCACTGCAGCCATTCAATCAAAAGTCAGAGTGCGGTTGAATTTATTTTAGAGCCAGTGTTGACGGTGAGCTGGAAGTGATATGCACACGATTGGTGAACAAGTGGACATTCATTCGATCTGTTCAACGCTCGAAATGTGGTGTTAATTTCGCGTTGCCATATTCCGTCGATGACGCGCCCCGCACGCGTCGTCGAGATGGCCGGACATGTTAATTGAGGCTCGGAGAATCCATCGGCTTTAGGGTCGGCACGGTCCAGCTATAGCGCCAAGATTTCGTTATGCCCGAAGAAATAATTTGTCGGCTTGCAGTTCGTCGATCGTATGGGCGAACAGAGGTATCACAGGTGTAGCAATCACATATTCACTTACGATCGCAAAAATGTCGCAAGGTGGCATTGAAGAGCCATACAACATCGCGACACTACCCAAGCCTCTCCATGGATTGCACGGTCGCATTTGTGCAGCACCGGTGTGGAGCCTTACAGCTTCCAGGAAGAGGAAACGCCATGAGGTGGTGGTAGGCGTCGATGGCGAGACGCTCAACATCTACAACGTTTGTCTAACAGGTCAAATCGCACATCTTGTCGCATCCCCTAACCAGTGATACAGATTCAAACCCAGACCAATACCAGTTCGTATGCAATTCCGCCTCAGACATTTCTTGCGACGTCACCATGCTCGGTCTACTACAAAACGCTCCAAACTCGTATCACTGTGAGGAGAACATATGTCGTGGTCCGGGACGGCCCCAAGGATAAGAAGTCACGCTTGTTAGCATTGACGGAAAAGTCCGGCAAGGCTGCACTTGAAGGGAAGGATACGCCTGGTACTACGCGAGTCGAAAAGAAGTTGCGGAACGGAACAATCGTCAATCTCTCGCTTCTACACGAGCTTCGCGAGCACGATGGAATCAGCACGGACGAAAGCGCTGTCCCGAATATACTAGTCGCTTACAAGGATGGTGGAGTGGACTGCATCGCGGGCGATCTATCTGCGGCTGTATGGGAGCACAGCGCCGCTGCGAGCGGCGAGACCGAGGTGGAGTATTCATCCGTGATTGACTCGTACGCTGCATCGAAAGGGCTGCTGAAGAATCGTGAAGACGTCCTGGCTCTACTGGGCCAAAGCATTGGTGACAAAGCTACTGCTGGGTCGGCATCACTCTTGCTTCAAATCTTGCGTACGGGAGAGCAAAAGCATCTGTGCGTGTCCGTCATCAAGAAGAGTTCCGGTGCCTCATTGCATCTTCGATCGTCGAACCTGACGGAAGTGATGAGAATGAAGCTATCACGGGATAGTTCTATGGCTGCTGATTATGATCTTCATCCGGCTTCTGGATTGCTGTACGAGCATCAGGGCACTCAGCTCAAGATATACGACCTGTCTGGCGCCACACCGAAATCAATATTTGAGCTTGGCAAGATGCGCTCATCGATCGTCAACAGCTTTGCGCGCATATCGCCATCCTGCCTGCTTACTTTTTCAGACGATACCGCTTCGATATACGAGACCAAGTTTGGATCCATTTTAGGATCACTTCCTCTCGCAGCGCCAGTACGCTCCGGTTCGAAGACCGATTCGAGTGATACCTCACTCGTGCAGCACTTCAACGTAGTGTCAAGCTTTTCAGATCTCGGTCTTGTTGTTGCTGTGTTGGAGAACAATCTAATCGCTTTGCGAACGAGCGAGGCTACTTCCGGCTTGAAACGGAGAAGACTGCGCGGACCGGCACTGCTGGATGTACTCGGCAAGGGCAATGCTGGTACTGGACTTGACGTGGTAGATCCCACGAAGAAACAGGAAGAAAAGCAAATACGATGGGAAGAATGGCAAAGACGAGTGGATGGTTTGGTCGAGACAGGTAATCTTATGGAGCTTGAGGCCCTGATCGCAAAAGATCTGAACCTGAGCCCAGCGTCGGCTGCCCCGTCTTCGGTCGGTCAGGCCTCCTCTAATGGGCACACAGATCAACCGGACGATGCTGAAGAGGAACTGTGGGAATTGCCCATGACAGCCTACGACCCACTGTACGCCGACAATCGCAAAGCGAGATATGTGCTCGGCAAAGCGTTCATATGGCGTCAACCTCCTAATCAGGGAACTTTGGAGCCACATCGCCTGGAGCTCGCATTCAAATCTCGAAACATCATGCGATGGTTGGGTCGAATGGGTTTGCTCAGCGCACCACATGTACAACAGATCTTGCCTCAACCTAATGAACACGAAGGAGCGCGACTCAAAGTGGCTCCCGGTGATATCATGGCGGCAGTGGAGAGGGTGGATCAAGGCTTTCTTCTCACCTGTGATCTCCTGTCTTTACCAATTCATTGGGACATTGCAGAGGTCATGCAAGGGCTGAGATTACTCATACAGTCACTCGAGGACGCACCGGCGCCGCAGGACGAGGATGCAGTCATGTGTGAAGGAGATGTCGAGACGAAGATTGAACATCAAGAGGCTGCTGCACAGCGTGACCTCGAACGGCTTGTCTCGTTCGTAGAGGATGGGCCCTTCTGGCGCAGCGAAGCACTGCGGCGACTGATTGCCCGTCTCCAGGCATTCCCTCTCGAGCACGTTACAAAGTCGATGCGAAGCTTTCTTTCTCAGCACCAGATCGTCTTTCTGATTCGGGTTCTCCTGATTGAACTTCATGAAGGCGGATGGACGTCTCTCTACTTCAACAAGTCTGCCCAACAGTATGAACAGGACATGGACTTGGATGCCGATGAGCCAGGAGATCTCAACGATCTGACCGATGGAGCTGCCGATCCGACACTGGAGAACAGCCACAACATCTGCTTGATCGCCAATCTCCTGATATGTGCCATCAATGCCGTCGGCAACAGTGGATGGATCGTGGGACTGAGCGGTGAACCCGACATCAGCGAAGACTTGATCGCTCGCCTTCGTGTGCAGATCAGCGCCGCCTTGACAGGCTGTTTCGAGGCGCAGCACATCGGTCTGTTCCTGAATGAAGTCTGCCGGACATCCGACTCAGCTCGTCAACGCAAACGGAAGAGACGCCAGGAAGCCAACGCCTCCATTGACCCTGTGTCCAACGAGGAAGGCATGCTTCCTGTTGGAGGCAGCTATGGACCTATGGTGTTGAAAACGCGGGAACGCAAGAAGCCTTCGGGATCGAAGAGAGTAGGCAAATACTCCTTTGAAAAGCTCCGCTGGTGATGTGATGGCCAACGAGTTTGTTCAAAATATCCGACCGTGGCAGCATCTGGCTTGAACGATCACCTTGGGAGGCTTTGGACCAGAACTTCCCAGGACAGCCTTCGAGCATGTACATGGAATGTCGTATTAATTGATATACCACGTGGGCTATGTTGAGTCAACGCCTCGCGTTCTTTTTCTCCCACAATTTCCTCCCCTTCGATGATATAGCACAGTACACACGAGCGTCGTGCCGTTCCAATGGCTCCTTTGCGGAGACCCCGAAAGAAATGGCGCTCCCATGTTTGCTTCTGCTTCACCTCGTCGCCACGTGTAATCCCTGCGCCTAACCTTTCAACAGAATACGACCGTGCCTAGATGCTTCTATTGCATTTATTTCTTTTTCTCTCGCAGCCTCGCGTGATTTTCCGCTCCAAGTCTGTACAGGACGTCCGCTCCACGCGCATTGCTGTCTTGGCGGTGGACAGCCACCCGATCGGATTTTGTCCTCTGCGGCGGGATCAACCGCGTCCATACAAAGCCATTGGATCTACCACGAGTTTGATGGACATCTGCTTGTTTTCGGGGGCAGCAGCCCTGGAATGTCTTGCTCCACATAACTTTTCTGGTTTCACTCGCCGCATTGGCAGGGAAGCTTTCCGCATCAGGCAAGACTCCGCTGCTTCCATCACCAACACCACCACCACCACCAACCACCACATATGATGACGATGAATGTAGTCTTGTCGTACGTCTCATGCGTCGATACACTGTCAACAACGTGGATATGCCCGACTAACTACATTCATATAGCTGTGTCTAGCTGTAGCTGCTGCAGGAACCAAACATAATAGGATCATATGGATACTAACTTACTACAGTAATAACAATCTGAAGCGAGAACAGCTCAATGTTGTATGTTGTATTGTGTGTCTACAGTACCAGTACCACCATCACCCTTGAACGTCTCTCATCACTGTCTGCTTGGTCCGTCCGCCGCCATTCGTCCCGTCTCTCACACACAAAAAAGTGTGATCCTCCAACCGTCCGTGTGTCTCTCTGTCGCATTTGCATTCCCGCTAGCGAGGTGTAGTGCCGATGCAGCAGTCTTCTACTTCCTTTCTAGAGTGGGGACCTCATCGCCGAGAGCTGTAGGGCCATAGGAAGGAAGGCCAATGTATATAAGACGGCCTGCCGTGTTGTTGATAATCTCGGTGTCGGTCTTCTTCTGCGTCTGCCTCTCTATCCTTTTCTTGTATCAAAGTCGCAGCTTTCGGTTCGCGTGGGAACAGCCAGGCCATACCGCCACGATGCACGCGACGTCCTCTACTCAAGCATTCGTGCTGGCTCTCGCCGCCACCAGCTTGACTGCCGCCGCTCCAGCACCGACTGCGGCTCCGGCCAACATCGGCTCCTACTGGGGATTCTGGTCTCCTCGGCCATGGTCGTCGCCCAAGGCTTCGGGCATCAATGTCCAGCTCGGTCCACGGCCTTACTACCTCGTCGACAACATGGCCCCGAGCGCGCTCAAGACTAAGCTCCAGTCGTGCTCGGAGGGCCCTTTCAAGACATCTGGCTTCTCCATCTCTCACCGTGGCGCGCCATTACAATTCCCAGAGCACAGCCGACAGGGCTATGAGGCTGCTATCCGCATGGGTGCTGGTAAGTGTAACCATTGATTCAGATCGAGATTATTAGACGCGCGTGAAGAAGAGAGCAATTTGCTGACTCCTATCTCCGCTACAAGGCATCATCGAGTGCGATGTCTCCTTCACCTCGGACCGCGAGCTCGTCTGCCGTCACTCCAACTGCGACTTGCACTACACCACCGACATCCTCTCCCGACCCGAGCTGGCCAAGAAGTGTAGCCAACCCTTCCGCCCGGCCAACGCCACCTCGCCAGCGACCGCCAAGTGCTGCACCAGCGACATCACGCTCAAAGAGTTCAAAAGCCTCTGCGCCGAAATGGAAGGCAACACCTTCAACGCCATGAACACCTCCCAATACATGGGCCGGATCGGCGGCACGCCGGACTGGCGCACCAACCTCTACGCCTACACCTGCGCAGAGCCCATGAGCCTGAAGGACCAGATCTCCCTCGTGAACCGCTACCCGCAGCTCGGCTTCACCCCGGAAGCCAAGACCCCGGAGATCCCCATGCCCTTCCAGGGCAACTACACGCAGACCGACTTCATCCAGCAGATCATCGACACCTTCCGCGCGGCCAACATCGCGCCCAGCCGCGTCTGGCTGCAGTCCTTCCTGCCGGACGACATCTTCTACTGGATCCGCACGAGCCCCGACTTCGCCAGACAGGCCATCTACCTCGACGAGCGCGCGGACAACGGCACGCAAGGCTACGCCGACGCCGTGGCGTCCCTGCCCGGCCTCGCGGCCAAGGGCGTCAAGATCATCGCGCCGTCCATCTGGCAATTGGTGCGCCCGGACAACGCGACCGGGAGCATCGTGCCCTCGTCGTACGCGATCGCGGCGAAGAAGGCCGGGTTGGAGATCATCACCTGGAGTTTCGATCGGTCCGGTCCGCTTTACAAGGGCGGTGGGTACTACTACACTGGCGTGAACGATTTGATCAAGAGGGATGGCGACGAGTATGTCGTGATGGATGTGGTCGCGCGCCAGGTTGGCGCGTCGAGGATCTTTTGCGATTGGCCCGCTGTGGCGACGTATTATGCCAATTGCTTTGGACTTTGATTCGCGAAGGTGTTGCGCGCTCTCTCTCTCTCTCTAGAGGATGGAGTTGGTGGGAATATGATATGATGTGGAATCGGAATGATGATCTGCGAGACGAAAAATTTATCATAGAGAAGGTCGAACAGGGGGCGAAAAGATAGATTTGAATGAATATATGCAACATTTCGAGAAAGACGGAAAGGAAGGAGAATCCTCAAATTTTCTTGCTTTTTATCGCTTCTGGTTTCATCATCTAGATGCAGTTATGACGTACACGGAAGATGGAAGGATGTAAAGCCAATGTAGAGCAATGTTTGGGGATTTCGATATGAAAAAAATGTATAAATAAGTGTCGGGATACGGTACACATACATACATATACATGTAATCCAAAAATAACCCAAAAAGATAAGAAAGAAAGGAAATGAGATCAAAGAACAAAACAGGACGCACGCCAAGAGGACATTGTGCATATGATGACAAGAAATAGTCAAGAAAGGGGGTATAAGAAGGGTGGCGTCTGTTTCTCTCTCAAATATGCAAAGCGAGACGGACCAAAAAGTATTTCTCTTCAAAGCGGAGGGTAGTCGTAGTAGTTCGATGAGAGAGTAGGGTAGAAAGTCAGGAGTCTAGGGAATATTCGGAGCATCGTCGGAGACATAGGAAGTGTGGGTATAAAGGCCGCAAGGAGGGTCCATTCCCTAGCGGCCTTGAAAGCAACTTTGCAGAAGAGGCGGACAGGTAAAGGGGAAGACCACTGCGGTCGCACCTTATGGATCCAAGGAAGAGAAAGTAGGATGCGGCCTCGCTCGATGCGGTGAACGTCGAATATAAGAATCATGCGTTCATTGCCACAGGAGGGTTCTTCGCCCATTGTCTGTGATACGACTTCAAGAGGTGCACGACCGCGCGATGAGTAAGCGCGTCCTCGCAAGCGGCTTGGATGGTGGTGCCGCTGACGTTGTGCTGGAGATGATTCTCATCGCCGTCGCCGTTCTGTTCGCCACCGTCGTCTCCATCGTGATGACTGCCGTCCACGAATTCGAGGACGACGGAGTAGGGGAGTTCTTGGTGCTCGGCGTCAGGGACCGCAGGTGGGAGGAAGGCTGAGAGGTGGTGGCGGCGGATGGCGACGGCTTTGTGGATATCGAGGGCTTGGGCGATGCTGAATTGGAGGTAGCCGGCGGCGTCGATAGTGACTATGCGACGTTTCCAAAGCTAGCAGTTGTGTCAGCATAGATGTTCCCAATGTTTTCAAACACTCTCTATTGGATCAAAAAGACCGTGTTGATCACAGACGTGATGACCACAATGTGGACTTACCAATGCTTCTGGAAACTGCACATTCAAATCTCCAACGACCACTGCTGGCGGCATGTCAGGATGATCGGCAGGGAGTGACTTGCCGCTTGAGACATCCACCTTTGAACCACCGAAGCTGCGGGATCCACTGGCAACTGGAGTCGATGGCGAGCTCAAGCTCTCCCGCGAAGCTCGCAATGACGGCTTACTACCTTTCCTCAGACCTCCAGTCGCGACCGTGCCAATGTTGCTCATGCGGCGAAGGAACCGGCTTGCGCGGCTACTGTTGCTTGCACTTCCGCTGTCCCGAACAACAGAACCATTGTCATCCGTGCCCGTGGTCGAGGCTACAGAGTGGGCACGTGAAGCGGGGTGAGAAGATCCGCTTGGGTTGGTATAGTCATCCAGCAGAGCTGACGAGAACGTGCCGGGGTTCTTGTAGTGGTGGGGAAAGTGATGTCGGCCAAAGCGGGTAGTGACCGCGGAATGCATAACCCGGCCTTCATTCGGGGACGGTCGGGATGTGTTGGTGGGAGAAAGTGATTGCATAGATGACGAGGAGGCGCCCCGGCTGCGCATGGAGAGCTGACTTGTGTTGAGTGGCGGAAGATCTGTGTGGGATGGTGAAGATAGACTCTCCGATGCTAGCTGCACATCCGGGTCCAGCTGCGGCTCAGCCATCGTCGGCTCAGCAGCATTCGCCATCGAAGGAGCCGGTCGAATTATCCGCGTCGTGACCGAGACGGAATTTCGGTTGGTGATCGGATCATGCTGGAAGCTCAACACCGGTGCATTGTCAGAAACATTGCTCGGCGTTGAGCCATGACTGAAGCTGGAGCGATTGCTGCTTCTTTTGTAATGGGATGAGCGGGTTGGCTGAACAGAACGTTGCACCAGCTTGCGCTGGTCATGCCCAAGGAACGACGTCTCCGGGGTGAGAGACCGGGTTGATGCAGGAGTGTAGCCAGATGGAGATGGCGTCTCGCGATTGGACAGTTCAGCGAGCGCCTGGATGCGACGAGAGATGCCTGACGAGACATTCCGGGAGTACCCTGCCAGCGCATCGCTCTTGTCTGTAGGTGCACTGGGAGCTGCACCAGTCGGCGTGTAGGTCAGAGGGACTTTGTTGTTCTCGAATGCGAGCATGTCCGGCATGAGCAGGTCCGGCATCATATCCGGCATTAGAATATCTGTCGTCTCTGGCGTCTTTTCGGCCGGCACGCCCGACGGCTTCGAGATGCTAATGGATCTCACAGATAGTGCACCTTCTGAGTGACCCGATATGGATGCAACGCTAGGCTGGCGCGGCAACCCCATGTACGCCACCGCTCCTGAAGAACGGGAGGTCGGCGACACAAGCATGGGCTTCGCCTCGTGGACAGTCGCACTTTGTAGCTCCTCCAAGAAATCTTCATCCTCGGAGGCGAAGTCGTCGGGATTTCCAGAAGTCGCAAGGTCAGTTTGGAGAGGCTCCACGAACCCCTTTCGGCGGTTGACCATAGTATGCCTTGATACGTCGACGGCGTCCTCGAATTCATCCTCTGAATCGATCAGCTCACTTGTTACAAATGATGGTTCCCTTGACGGTTCCTTCGTTGCTCCTAATGTATTGGCATCCATCCCCTCCCTAGGACTATCCGCTGTATCGAGCTGCTGTCCATCAGCAACAACGATGACAGGAATAGTGTCGTCCAAAATGGGGATTTCGTCGGCCGTGTCATCCTGTTTCTCGGCGTCTATCGCTGCATCAGGCGACGGCTCAGTAGACACTGGCAACGATGACACATCTGCCACGGCCGGCTGAACCGTGGCTTGAGCAGGCGATTCCTCGGGTGAATCAACAACGGCTCCACCCTTTGCCGCTTCGGCCCCAGCAATTTGTGTCTCGTGAGACTCTCCACCTGATGTTGCTGCAGCAGGATCTCCCGATGCAGGCTTTTCATAACCAATGCCTGAGTCCGCTTTTGATGTATGTGTTCTGCTTCCTTCCTCTTCCAACACATTATCAAGCAGGCTCTTCCCAAGCTCTTTCGCGGGTGCCTGTATTGGTGCTTCTGAAGATTTGTGTTCCGCGATCGAGTTTCGCTCTACTGGTGGAGTGGCAGTCTGCGCCATGTTCCGTTTCTGCTTCTTCCGCAGTTCCATGGCTTTGATCAAACGAGCCTTGTCTGCTGTACTTGCCGACTTGTGGGTCGAAACAGATCTGACACTGCCACGTGAAACTGGCCGCGCCTGGTAATCTGGAGTATCCGGAATCGGAGGCAGTGGAAGAGGTGCATTTGTGATCGTAGGGGCCGGCTTTTTCTGCTCAGCAGGCTCCGCACGAGTCGGCTCTGCGCGAGTCGGTTCGGGCTTTCTGGCAATGTTCTGTCTGATGTTCGCTGGAAGCCCTGAGACGGTGGCAGCGGTAGGTCGCTTGACCTTCTCTGCATCGGCCACAGGTCGCGGTCCAAGCTTAACCTTCGGTTTCCAAAGATGGTCGAACCTGCTGAAGTCATAATCATCCTCGTAAGATTGCTTGGCTGATGAGGTCTCGGGGGCCGTCGGGGCAGAGGGCCGCCGCGAATCGACTGAGCCTCGTACCGGCGGCTCCCCATTGGTCGTCTGTTTCTCCTGCACCGCAACAGGATCTTTGTCCGGTAGCTCTGGTAACGGATCATCCTTTGAGCGAGCGGCCAGTGAGGAGATCCTTCGTGCTGCCGCGATCGATTGATTTGATATCCCAAGAAACGAAGGGTCCAGGCTAGCCGATCGGGGAGTTTCTTCAGCTTGTGACATTGATATTGACGATGATGGTTGCTCTAAAGATGTGATAGACGCCTTCCTGGATGCTTCGGCGAGAAGGAACTGCGCCAGTGAAGTTCTCGACGGAGCAGTCGGCGAAAGCGATAGACCATCTCCAGACCCATCACTCACCCGACTAGCGCGTTCTAGCCGCTCTATTCGCGGAATGTCCGATCTCCTGTCCATCCTCACGCGCGAAGAACTGTGTTTGCTGCTTGAACGGCCACTCGCTGGTGATGGTGCTACGAGGCCACCCGGGTCTTCCGCATCTTCGCTAATCTCCTGCAATCGATTTGATGTCGTCGGCATCGGTGAGGCGGTGTGTAGAGGGAACGAGGCGGCGAGAGAAGTGTCATTCAGGGCTTCGCTGGTTGCGATTTCGAGAAGGGTGTCGTGAGGTGAGAATCGTTCTATCACATCCTGAAAATGGACAGCAGTGCGCGCTACGATATCGTCAGCCAGTTTCAATCAAGGCATCTTCCATGCTGTAACGCTCACCCTGCAACAGCCGGGACGTGCCCGTCGGTATATACTTTATTAGGACCTTGCGCCTGCGATAGATGATCAGGCCATAGAGCGGCGAAGGCTCGAGATAGTCGGTAATGGCATTTCGGGCTTCAGAGACGCCCAATTTTCCTTTCCCGAGCAGATCGACTTCGTCTCGTGTAGTATATTTGAGAAGTAGCCTATTTCTTGGGTCAGCTGGTTACTGTAAGGAGACTGCGCGAGGCGGTGTAGCATCTTTTGCAATCGCCGGCCATATTGACCCACCATCCTGCAGCTTCCGCGACAGCCTGCTGATAGGCATCTTGGATCTCGGGCGTATCGAGTCCATTAAGCGACATGATGGCGAATGAGCCGCTGCTGTGAGTGCAAAGGTTGCGAACCGATCCTGGTCAAGGTGTGAGGTACTGTGTGCGGCCAATGCGAACGAATTCGAAATCAGCGACATGGATGCAATGGCGGCGGCGTCGCTTTCATGTCGCGGTGCTGACCAGCAGCAGCATTAATTGGAGTGAGGACGATCAGTGAGCGTCAGTGTCGTGGGAGCGGAGGAGGAAATAGAGGCGGTGGTGGCGGCGACGGCGCTTAGTGAGTTCGGCGAAGAAATGTTCCTGACGAGGTGGTCGCGGGACAAATTGCGCGTGAGTGAAGCAAGTGGACGACACGGGCGGAGGAGAATGGTGCCGAAGTGATGACCAGGCGGCGCTGGAGCGTCACAGCGTTAGAAGAGCCTTTGTCCTTCGGCGTCGTCGCTATCGCCTCTGTGCGATCTGGAAAAAGAGTGGGTGGTGCAAATGTGTGCAGTGAAACCGGTTGGGGGTAATAATGAGCGTGAGGGTCGATGGAGGGACAGCTGGGGAGCACCAACAGACAGGGCAGGAACAAGGCGGCGATGAGAGATCGGACCGGCCAGAGTCGGGATCGAGGCTGGCCGATTGCAGGGCGATTTCAGGGCGAGGGAACCATGGAGGAACAGGTACAGCGCTGTCCACGGGTACTACTACCACCCGCACGCACTGTAATTATAATAACTCTATTACTCTGAGAGAACCTTTGGGTGTTCCATCACTGCGCGCAACGTTAAGTTTATCACAGTACATGAATCATTCATGAAACAGCACAATTAAATCCTCAGACTGATGTCGATATGCTCATCTTACACAACAACTTCTTATTTGCGTATGATCACCCTGGGATAATGAATGCCCAGGTGATGCTGTAGTCGGAATGAGGTGCGGTGGATGAGATGAGTGGGACAGGACTGGACTGGACTGGGCTCTAGGACTGAGCCGAGCCTAATTTCAAGATTATGCGCTGTCAAGCCTGCGGGAGGACGCTGCAAGATGATGACACCAAAGGACACACGCATTCCGACACCGACATTGGCCAGCTGTTCGGCCGCGGCTCTCCCATGTAATCCTGCTGCTGCTGCTGTCCGGTACACACCTAGGTAAATACCGGAGTGTATACCGCACGAACTGATCCTGCCACCGATGCAGTACAGCACGGAATTGTAAACTCAAAGTCGAGCCGGGACATCTTCAACTCACTCTGACATATGCACGAAATGCATCTATCGCTAAGGTTCGTGCAGGCCAAAATGAGGTTGGCATCGTGACAGACTGCCGAATGGCTAGATCAGGGATCGGTTGCGACTCGTTCTGCAATCTCTCCTCACCACCCATCTTCATCCAACACCTACCTGGGCATACAAGGTATATGATCTTCATATGTAGTTGTACATATCATAATGATACGAACCCTGGACACTGATGCAGCCCGGTCATCTGCTAGAAAGAAAAACCTACGCGAGACAGGGCATCCACCTTCTCCTTTCGCAACAAATTCTATCTCTCCAGGGCTCTCATTTAGAGATGAGATGAAGATTTGCCTAACGCAGAGGAGGTAGTGCAGGGGAATGCCGGGCTTGCGCGCACGTGCTCCAGCTGCACATCACCGCGTAGCAGCAGCAGCAGCAGAAGAAGAAGAAGAAGAAGAAGCAGGGGAAGAAGAGCAGATAGACTTTCGGCTGTTTCGTCTCTCATCTCATCTCCATCATTTCCCCTCCATCTACACGTCAGGGATCCATACTCTATCTCTCCCCCTTCACAACGGAGGCGGCTTGCGGCTCGGACCATCATCAATTTGTCTTACTTACCACGGTTGGATTGCTATCCGAAGGTCCCTGTTGATGGCGTATACGGTGACATAGCTTGAAAGAGAACCGCTGTTCGAGGAATGCTGTCGAGATTGGTGACATTGCATCAATGGACAGCAATCAAGTAATATTCTGCATCACGAGAATCACTGAGACGGATGTGATGACTCGGAGAATTCCACAACTTCCGGGTCGTGTGCGCACTCACATCGCGGTCTGTCTCTCGCTCACGTGTAGGACATAACAATGAGACATTCACTGTTAATGCATTCACGCGAATGTGAGACATTTGCAGGCGGCACATGCAAGTCATTGCCGATACGGGAAGAAGGAATAGATCGGCAATTGGTGTTGAAAATCTCTCGTATTTCCTCACGCGATACCGCCTATCCATCTCCCTCCTCGTATGTCAACCAGCGTAGATATGACACGCATCAGAGGCGAACCCCTTTTTCCGCTGCAAGACTTCCAAGCTTGGTACGTATGGACAAGTGATCTCGATTTAATTGCGGGTTCGCTGTGATGGGCTTTTGCTCGTGTAGCACGCTCTCGCTACAAGACTCAACAGATGAATCAATTTTTGCTTTTTGCTACAATACTTGAACTATCAAACCAACATGAAAGAGCTCAACCGAATTTCTTTTCTATACACAAAATGAACGCTTTTACATGAGAGCGCATGCCATCATGTTCCAAGGTTTCTTCTTAACGTTTCCATCAGCAGCAGCCTGGATCTGTGCAGTGGCAGCGGCAGCCGTCGCCGATGATGCCTCAACGATGGGCAGTGACGGAACAGCACGCAGACGTGCCATCAACTCCTTCACCGAGAGTGTTTCCGCGCCCGTCAACAACCGCATAGTCATGACAAAGGCTCTTCCGACCGCATCGAGCTCCTGCAGACTATACAACGACTTCATACATCGCAGTTCGATATACAGCTCGCTGGAGCTTGCAGACTCGGTGCACAGATCAAAGTCGTAGTCCAAGTCACCCTCCCAGTCCGAGTGTTCGAGGTGCACGTACCCGAGATCTCCAACGGGGATATGTGCAGGCGATGAGATGTTTTTGTGGTGCACGAGACTGCTGTAGTAGCCGCTTGTGGGCGGTTTGGTGGTGGTCGATGGCCACTGCGTGCATTTCGCTGCGATGGTTGCGGAGCCTAGTTGGACGTGTGGCGAGGAATGCAGAATTTGGTTATGGGTGGTGTTGATGAGCTCGGCGGTACTCGTGCCGTTGAGAATCTGTAGGCGTAGAGGCACTTCGCTCGCGCAGCAGCCGATGATCGCATCGCTGCCATCGACGTCTTCGTCTCGCCCGTGAGCCAGATATCGAAAGATGACGTCGGAGCGAGTGGAGAGAACGGCGAGGACCAACCCCCAGGCGCTGTGCACGATCGAAGACATCGGAGTGTTAGTCTGATCCGGGTGTGATCTGTCCAGGTAGATGAACCGTCTAAGGCTGAGGTCGCCCAAATGCGGCAAAGTCTGTCTGGGTGTTGGATCCATTGCACCAAGTTGACCTCGCAGATCGGTGGGTGAAGAGTCACGGAGCAGCGAGGTCCAGTAGCTTAGATCCTCGACTGATCGTCTTAATAATCTCTGGCTCAGGTAGGTCGTGAAATTCGGTCGCGACGGTACATTGGTACCCAGGGATAGATCGACTAGATCGTGGAGCATGTGCTGAAAAGAGCTGCCGTCAAGAATGCTATGGCTGATGTGAAGCGTGACGCGCGCCCGGTCCGATGGGACATGTGATTTCCGATGCACGACTGCAAGAACTGGGTGCTGGAAGAAGTCATGGCTTGAAGATAAAGCGTCGGTTTGCTGTATTTCGATTCCTAAATGTATACGCGCTCGCCAAGCGCTGTCGTGGGACGGTATCACTTTCTGCACGACATCGCCCTTGGCAGTTTTGAGAAATGTCAATCGCAATGCCTCAGTCCTCTCGATCCATGCCGACAGAGCACGGCCCAGCTGGTTTTCGTCTGTGGCTGCTGGAAAGGCAAATAGAAACTTGCACAGCAGACCGCGATGAGTACCTTCAGGACTCGGCATGTATTCTACTTGGAAATCAGTGAGCGACAGTGAATCGTTTACCGGCGCCACAGGCTTTGATTCTTCGAGCTTGTCCGCTACCCGTCTTCTAGGATCAACCTGTCCACACATGCTGATAAGCGTTTGACCAGACATGACTTGCACCGTCGTCAAATACAAGCCAGCCTTACGGCCTTCAGCGACAAGGCGCATTGCAGTAATCGAGTCGCCGCCCAGCGCGACCCAGGACCTGAGTGGACGGATTCGCTGCTCTTCTACGTTGAGTATCGCGCTAGCGAGTGGACGCAATTTTGCAAAGTCGTTCTGGGCAGACGCCGAATGCCACTTGAGCTCTGTCTCAAGATCATCTCCTGTTGACCCAAGATTCGTAGGTGACGTGACACGCGCTTCTATGGCCACGGCGTTAGTTCTCTTCAATGCCCGTCGGTCAAGCTTCCCGGTAGCTGTCCGAGGCATGGCCGACATGGTGATAACTTTATTGGGGATCATCCATGATTGTATGTGCCCCTCTAAGCGCTGCACCATCTCTCCACGAAGTCGCTGATTCGGACTTTCGCCGCTGCCATGCTTTTCAGCTTCCACGTACGCCGGTTGCAGTGTCACAAAAGCGACGAGCAATTTCTTCTCTTCAAATTCGATCTGGTCAACAACCACCTGTTGTATCTCATCACGGAAAGCTTCGGCGATGTGATGTTCAATCTCCGCGGCTTCTACGCGCTGGCCGTGAATTTTGAAACGAGCGTCTCCGCGGCCAAATAAGAACAATTCGCCATTTTCCTGATACTGTGCAAGGTCTCCTGTTCGGTACCAGCGACGTCCATCTAGGCCCGCGCTGAAGCTGTTCGCCCATCTTGGCGACTTGATAAATGTCGCGGCAGTCTTCTCGGGCTCATTGATATAGCCGCTTGCGAGACTATGTCCCTCGAGCAGCAATTCTCCCACAGCACCCACCGGCAAGAGGCGGTCAGGATTTTGGGGATCGACAATCCAGCGCCTCAGCCACTCTCCGTGACCGATGCTCCTGTAGTTGGCCTCTCGATACGACAGAATGGCAGTGCTGTTGATGCCACAACCTTCGCTTTGACCATAACCATTTCGCAGTGTAATAGTAGGTGCTGCCAGCCAGGTTTCTGCGACTGATGCGGGAATAGGCTCACCGACCAAGCTGATTGTCTTGATACTCGGAATTCTCTCAGGACGAAGACCTTTCGCCACAGAAGACGTCATGTAAACAAAATCAGGCTGAAATCGACGGATGGCGCTCTCGAGGTCGTTCATTCGCTCTCCAGGGTCTGGAATGCAGATTGTGCCGCCTAGTATCAGGGCTGACAACATGTCAAACACAGAGGCAGAATAGTTGTACGAGGCATACTGGAAAATTCGCGTTGAATTTGTTATTCCGGATTTCGACGCCTGAACACAAGACGTCACCCAAGCGGCATGGCTAGCTATGACTGCCTTGGGAACCCCAGTGCTACCCGAAGTGAAGCTCACAAAGGCGGGATCTCCAGGAGAGACTGTCAGCAGACCTGGACCAGGGGAGAGTATGGGGCCTCCGCTACCATCAGAATCTGCTTCAGAGTCCACCTCGAAGAACTGTTCACCATATTCGAAATCGCCATGGACGATCACGTTCGGGAAGAGGCTGCGGGCTAATGCGACATGACATTGTGTTGTCACGACCTGTGTCGCTTGTGCCTTCTCAACCATGAGCTTGAGTCTCTCACCTGGCAGCGATGGCTCAAGCAGAAAGAACGCTGCGCCGCTTTCTAGCACCGCCAGCATCGCTACCGGCACCCACTTAGACTTTTCGTGGAGAATGGCAACCGCCGATCCTTTCCGGGGTCCTGAACGAAGTAGCATCGCAGTCAGCGGACGTGCTTCATGCTGCAGCTGAGTATAGCTGAGCTGGCCATCCCACGCGTCGACTGCAAGTCCGACGGGGTCGCGGTCTGCATTCGTGGCAATACTTTCGTGTATGGTTCTGTTGTCGAGGTCTTGGATGTTCCTATTTGAGCGTGACAGAAATTCTTTGTCATTCTCCGTAAGAGAGTCGAGACTTTCTAGTCGATCCTCAGCATTTGCCTGCCACAATACACAGGCAAAGTCCGCCAGGTGTTGGACGTACGTCGCGATATGGAAGCTATTGACGAAGGCGGAGTCGAACCAGACCATGAGCTGGACATGAGAATCGAGCGAAGGTCGATTGTAAAATATCTGAACTGAGATCTCGGCTTCCTGCCAGCGTTTCGAATTCGAGAAGATGTCCGCGTTGAGCTTTTCAGTCGAATGTACTAAGACACATGGCGACACACGACCCGAGTGGGCAAACGGGGCCCGAGATTGCTGCAGAGCTTCATGTGCACTTCGGATGGTCTGGTCAGGGATAGACACTATTTGCTTGCGATGACACACCGAGCCGTCGTCATTTAGGTTCCCGGTCAGAAAGGCTGCGGAGCCATCTCCAGTATATTGCCAGATCAAAAGAGCATAAGCCAACTCCAGGCAGGCAATCAGATCCTTCCCTGCCCAAAAAGACGAAGGACTTCCGAGTGCAAAGTCCAATGAGTGCGCTTTCCATCCCCGCGCTGATTGTGCTGACGGGTCGCCTCTACGACGAGGAAAGTCTGACAGCTCGTCCATCTTTGTGTGCAAGTCTCGGAGTTGCTTCCATGAGGCTATGGAGATTGCCTAAATACAAGTACTCCATGGTGATGATGATTTATTTGCCGGTTCGCTTACCGCAGACTGCATACGCCATTGGAGTGCATTTCACGTTTCGGGCTAGGGAAACGATCCGCTGTGGAGCCAATGCTGATGTGCAGGGTGCATCCAACCATCATCATCCGAACCTAGCGTGGGTGCTTGCAGTACCGCCGCCGACCTTGTTTTTCTCATCTCGGTAGCGACCTGGGGATCGTTCAGAACAAGCCCACAGGACTGTATCGTTCGACGGATCCATTGCCATTGTGGCATATCGCTTTGTGTGAACCTTGCCCGAGTGTTCGCATCACCAACAGTCGCGCGATAGAAGGAAAAGTGCCATAGCTCCTAGGGCTCGCGATCCGCCCTCGTAGGATGACGACGGCATCGACGTGGCCTTGCATGCAGTAGTAGTGAGTGATATCATCAAAGCACCGACTCACCTGTAGCCGTGGGCGCATATGTACTGGATCGTGTGGATGTGCAGTAATAAACTCGGTAGAAAAGACGGACTATTAGATGCAGGCACGCCGTGCATTTCACAACAGTGGACGAAGATGGTCAATTCTTATTATTATAGTACTCGATCCTGTTGGTACGCCTCCGACTTCCGGGTGCGGGCCGCCAAGCCAAGCCCATCGATGACCGGTCCACTCCTTCCGGACAGCGTTGAGAGGTACACAGACAGTCCTGGTGGCAATCAATATACACGCCGCATGTAACTACCGAAGTACGCATGTACAACCCATTTTGCCAAAGCATCTGCACGCCCACGACGCCTTCTCCCATCCGTTAAAGTCGTCAATGCTGCATATCGCACGTAAGCCCCAGATCGCTTGTGCCTTGTACACCTGAATATGCACGTGCAGAGACGCACTGATCAATACGACTGCCAGCCACGCAAGTCCTCAACACCCACCGCTGAGAAACAAGACAGCTCCATATGTTGGACATGGCATCATCAATGATGACCGCTTCTAGATTTGAAGAATCGCTCATGACAGCCTTCTCACCCAGTCGATGATACCTCTCCTTGACTCACATGGGCCTATGCCCAGCACGTAATCCAGTGCCGAGTGAACATGAATCTCTCCTTCCGCTAAAATCAGATCACATCGCGCGCCATTCTCTTCGGCCGCTTTCAAGCCATCGAACAGCTCGACGATGGAGTCCCTGAGACACTCTGCGTTGCCGCATGTCACAAGAAGGTTCTCCACAGGTAGATTGGCCCAGAAGCTTCTGTCGGCCGCGAGAGGCTCGGCCCAGACTTCGCCGAGTCGCGGACCGTATAGATCTATGAAATCGTGAACGCCTTCGATATTTATCATGTCGATGTGCTCGAACATCCGAAAGCTCGGCACATCTGCTCTCATATTAGGCCACGGAGAAATAAGCAATAGGCCCTTCAGTCGATTCTCATCCGGTCCCAGCTGAGCCATTGGTGTAACTCCTGGACACGGTTGCATGCCGTGAGCGAGTAATGTGAGCGCTAGATGGCCACCCGCGGAGTCACCGCCGAGAAGGATGCGTGCTGGCACGATCTCACGCTCGTTCAGCAGATAGTTCCATGCGAGCACAGCTTGTTGAAGTTGCGTCGGGTACTTTGCCCCGGGCGTCAAGGTATACTCCAAGAGGAACACCGACGATGCGCGCAGCTGTGTGCCAATCTCATATGCCCCCGGTACATGTGCTTGCTTGACGAGCGCATTGTGGTAGCCGCCGCCGTGGAAATAGACCACCACCGGGGCCGCGGTCGCCGCTTCATTCAGAACAATCTCATGTATAACCGCATCCGGGCCACTCGCGTTCGACAACACATGCGAGCCGTGTGTCCAGCCTTGCTGGCTGCATGAATCTCGAATGCAGACACCGGTCGGTGGAGTAAGATTGAGAAACCATGGTGCACGGTTGATAGCCTGGAAGCTACGCAGGAAAGAGATTCCAATTCCTCTCCAAACCTCCCAGCGATGCCGTTGAAAGAAAGACAAATTTGATATGAGTTCGATGGGAAGCCTGCCGACTATTGTCATGATATCGTCAGATCTTCACATTTAGAGATATATGTTAATCCTTGGCCATTCACTTGAGCCCAGAGCACACAAGTGACGTACTACCGCACGTAATATACCAGCAAATGCCGAGCCGTGGTAATTGCTGATGGCTAGCCATTGTCGCGAATGGTGCATTAATGTCGACATCAGCTGAAAGACGAGCTCACGATGTATTGCAGCTGCGGGTGGACATGTGGAGAGCATGCCTCACGAGTTTGAGCAACATATTTACTTAGTTCAAGCTCCTTCTGAAGTTGACGAGTCTGGATGCGTGAATCGACTCGGGAGTCGGCGATGGTTTTGCCCCGAGCGGAATTATCTTCGGCCGAAAAACCCGCCTTTCCGGGAAGCCGACGACATCTACCTCGATAGTTGGATTCAAGGACAATATTAAGGCGTGTTCAACCAATACGTCTAGTATTTCTCAATATCCAGATGCTGCATTTCACAGCAACCATTGTGGCACCGAAAATATGAGCATCAAGATGCCAGAGTTGGCGCACTGGGGCACGACGAAGTGATAAACTGCCCCGCAACGAACGCCTGTAGTCACTCCTAGTGCGGCCAATCGGAGCGCTTAGACACGACCCTTTCTCTCCACATGGCATGGCCCGTAGTAGGATTCAGGCTTGGAGCTGTATTACATCTAAAACAGGTGCCTGTTCGACGGAACGGAAGTCAATTCATAAACATGTCGTTCTCACGCGAATCTCTTCCCATCCCAGAGAGTCGCAGTCTCACGCCATCCTTCTCGACGGCGCGTACAACACCATGGCCTCCACAGAACCTGTCATCATTATCGGGGGTGGCCTGGCAGGCCTCGTCACGGCCCACGAGTTGATCAAAGCCAAGCAAAAAGTAATCATTGTCGATCAAGAGAATGAAGCCAATTTAGGTGGCCAAGCATTCTGGTCCCTAGGAGGCCTCTTCTGTGTGAATTCGTCCGATCAGCGGTGGCAGGGAATCAAAGACTCCCGTGAGCTTGCCCTTCGAGACTGGCTAAACACCGCGGGATTCCATCGCGAGGAAGATGAATGGCCTCGGAAATGGGCTCACGCCTTTGTCGACTTCGCCACCGACGGGATGGAGAAATATGTGAAGGATCTGGGTCTTAAGTTCTTGACGGTCGGATGGGCCGAGCGTGGCGCTGGTAGCGCCGAGGGTCACGGCAACAGCGTTCCTAGGTTTCATCTGTCATGGGGCACCGGTCCCGAGGTGGTACGAATCTTCGCTGAGCCTGTCCGTGCTGCAAAGAAAGGTCTCGTCGAATTTCGGTTTCGGCACGCGGTCGACGAGATCATCGTCGAGGATGGCGTCGCTGCCGGTGTCCGTGGCAAGGTTTTGGAGCCATCCACTCTGGACCGTGGCGTTGCCAGCTCACGGACGAGCATCGGCAACTTCGAGCTCCGCGGCCGTGCGGTCGTGATCGCGACCGGCGGTATCGGTGGTAATGTGGAAGCAATCAAGCAGAATTGGCCGCTCGACAGACTGGGTCCTTCGGCTCCGAAAACCGTCGTTTGCGGTGTGCCGGCGCATGTTGATGGCAAGATGGTGCAGACTGCGAAGCAACAGGGTGCGAACGTGATCAACATGGACCGTATGTGGCATTACACTGAAGGACTCCAGAACTGGAACCCGATCTGGCCTCTGCACGGCATCCGCATCATTCCCGGTCCGTCATCCCTCTGGCTAGATGCAAATGGCGATCGCATGCCGCCCTTCCTGTTTCCGGGCAACGATACATTGGCTACATTGCGCCACATCTCCGCAACTGGTCATGACTATTCCTTCTTCGTGCTCAACCGATCGATCATCGCGCGCGAGTTTGCTCTTTCGGGCTCGGAGCAGAATGACGATATCACCAGCAAGAGCTACTACAAGGCAGCATACCGCTACTTCTCGCGCTGGGGCACTAAGGAGGTTCAAGCGTTCCTCAAGAACGGGGCAGACTTTGTCACGGCCGACACTCTTCCAGAGCTGGTCGAGGGCATGAATCGATTAGCAGCCGAGCGCAACGGGCCGACTCTATTGCTCGACGCAATTCAACGACAGATCGAAGCCCGCGACGCGCAATGCGATAATATCTACACAAAGGACGCACAGCTCATGACTATCAAGACCACACGTGGGACCCGCAGCGACTCACTACGAGTCGCGCCACTTCACAAGCTACTCGACCAATCCGCCGGCCCCCTCATCGCTGTACGTCTCAATATCCTGACACGGAAGAGTCTGGGTGGGCTGCAGACGAACCTGGAGAGCCAGGTCCTACGGCCCGACGGCTCGGTCTTCACGGGCCTCTACGCGGCTGGCGAGGCGGCGGGTTTCGGAGGCGGTGGTGTACATGGATATTCGGTAAGTTATCCCCATTCCAGCACAAACATTATTGCGATCGTTCACATCCAATTGCTAATATCATGGTTCCTGCAACAGTCACTTGAAGGCACCTTTCTGGGCGGCTGCATCTTCACCGGACGAGCTGCTGGTCGCGCTTTAGCTGGTAAGCGATCACAGTTGTGAACACCCGCCGTTCCTCCCAGGGCCATGATTCGTCTTTGGTGAAGTGAGAGAATCGTTTCAGGATACACTTAGAGCAATTTACCTTCGCACACCGCGACTGGTGATGATGGACGACTCTGCTTTGGAAAGCGATCTACCATGAGCTTTTGATATTAGAGTTGGACTAGCACTTATCATGGCGAAACATAAAATCCGCACTCGCGCTGCATGAAGTCACAGGTGCCGGGGAAAGGCAGCAGGGTCGCTGTCGCGGGTGTTTTCAATCACACCTGTTCAACCGCGATCGCAAATTTGACAAAATGTGGAACCAATTCCCTTTCCACGTCATGGAAGAGTTTCAATCTCGTTATTTTCCCATCTCGTTGGATCATCAGGGATATATACATATATGCACATGCAACAAGATTGACATTCGAACAAACGATCATTTCATTCAACATGAACAACATGGGCCAAAACATGTTACCTCCTGTATTTCTCTCGATCAATTTGCCCAACTCAGACCGCCGTATCTCCGGCTTTCCTTTGCGTGTCATTTACAGCTCCAAATTGTCGCTTCTCATCGCCCTCCTCGCTGCTGCGGCCATCAGAGCTGCCGACCGCAGCGGCCTCGATGACCGGGCCGGTGTAGAATTTCCGGCCGCCGGCGTACCAGTAGATGGTGGAGAAGGCGATGATGCCCATGAGGTAGACGATGGCGTAGTTCATCTGTGTTCGGGGTTTGGTCAGCGATGCAACATTCTCGGGGTTTTGGCGGAGTTTTCGCGTCGTGGGAGAGATTTGAAGGAAGGGGTTTCTCTAAGTTGAGGTTGAGGAAGTAGATGGGGTTGTTACAGACTTCCGGGGGGGTTCAAACTCACATTTTGAGGCGTGGCGGGCATGATCGTCGGCAGGATGAAGATGATCGAAACAAACAAGGTCCAAACCAGCGCCCAGATGTTGATTGCTGCGCTGAACTTGCCCAGGTTCCAGGGGCCGGCGACGAAGTTCTGAGGCCAGATGAGCTTGCAGGCGATGGGGATGCAGTAGGACCAATCCAGTGCGATGGCGGTGGTGCTGAAGACGCCGCTGATGGCGATGTAGGAACCCAGGCCGATAAGGTTGATGGCGATGCACCAGAACACGGAGATCCAAACCGCGGCCACGGGGGTTCCGGTGCGCGACCAGATTTTGGTCCAGAGGTTGGGGAGCGGGAGGAGGCGGTCGCGGGAGAAGGCGAAGACTGTGCGGGCGAGGGATTGCATGGCGGTGAAACAGACAAATTTGATGATGAGGAAGGCGCATACGGTGAAGACGATGCCGCCGGTCTTGCCGAGGACATTGTAGAAGATTTGGGCGACTGGCTGGAACGTCGGCGTGGCGAGGAGCGTGGGGATATCATCTCCCATGACGAAGCATAGAACAATATTGAAGAGGAAACCTGCGAGGTAAGTGAAGAGCATAGCCATGGCAATTGCCCAGGGAGCTTTTTTCTCAGGATTCTTGATCTCTGTGGAAAACATCATGTCAGTATCGGTTTGAGAGAGGTTTTCCAGAGGAGTGACGAAGCTGTTGCAACAAATGTCGTTGCTTACCTTCGGTGATATGCGCGGTAGCGTCGTAGTCGGTCATAGTCCAGCTAACAGACAAGAATCCAAACAGGAACGACCATCCATCCGGAGTCCATCCTGAGGTATTTTGGACACTGGTAAAGACGTATTCGGCGCTGTTCTTCGGGGTGCCGTTCGCGGGTGTAGCCATGGCGAGCAGTGCAATACAGCAGGAGACCAACACGGCAATGTGGAATAGGACATAAGTTTTGGTCATACGCTCCATCCAGGCAGTAGAGAGTGAGTTGACTAAACCCGTGAGCACGGTCAAGGCGGCCATTACTCCAACGACGTGGTTGTTGTTCGGGATATACGTGAAATCAGAGCCAATGGAAACTGCAGCCAACAACAGCGATGCAGCACCCCATTCCGAGGAGGCGACTCCGCACATTTGTCCGAGGACGTTCAGCCATCCTGTGAGCCAGCTCAGACTGGGGACGTATCTGGGAGGTGACAAGCGGGAAATGGTATAATACCTACAGGGCAACGAACGAATCAGCACCATGCTTGCAACTCAAACCGCCATGTGTAGCAGGAGGCTGCCTCCTGGCAAGACCTGTGGGAAGGAAAGCAGTATGACTTACAGACCACCGCAGGTGGGATACGCAGAGACCAGCTCCGCGACGGAGAGGGCGATGCACATACAGCCCGATCCGGAGATCAGCCAACACCATACTGCCGACGCACTCCCGCCCGCCACGAGCGGAAACGAGAAGGTCGTGGCGACAGTGCTGAACAGACCGCTGATGCTGACGGCAAAGGAAAAGGTCGACAGATAACCGAATTCGCGCTTGAACACGGGTTTGTAACCGAACTCGGCTGCGAGGGCGCGGTCCGCCTCCGACTCGAGCTGGTCGATGGCCACGGTCTGCCGTTGACCGACGGCATCGGTGTAGGCGACGACGCTGGACTTGCGGCGACGAAAGTCCTCGTATGCCGCCGCCGTTGTCGGGGCGTTCAAGGACGACATGGTCTTACTCCTGTCTCTCAGTCACTCTCTACGTTGGAGATCAATGGTTGTCGAGCTCAGACTCGATGTTGGTGCTTTCGGCGACTGAGGTGAGCGAGATCCGAATTGTCTTCCGTCGATGAGAGTCGCTTTGGGTCAGGCAAAGGTTGCTGCTTCTGGGCTTCCACAACTACGCAGTGTTATCGGTCGATATTGAAGCTTTCCTGGTGCGATGGGTTCTGTGATTGCTCGAATTGGTGAGATGTCGAGCCTTGTCGCGTTGGGCCGAGCGCATGCGGGCTTTCGAATTGCTCGTTATCCGAAGTTATGTCGCAGTCGATTCGAGAAGTGCAAGGATTGTACACCGGGAGTATACGATGATTGGAAACTTGTTGATGTCAAGTCTAGCAAGCTAAGATAATGATGCGGGATAAGGAGGCGAGTCAGATCTTGGCGAAGGAGCTGCCAATGATGATCGCAGGTCAGTGTGTTCTCCAAGAGATGTATAGAATGTACGGAGGATGTGTTCCACAATGTCGCGCAAGCACTCAAGGAAACATACATGTAAGGTTCAACTAAGAGATGTAGGCGATGCGCGACTATATAGTAGTTGTTAGTGGTGGTGGTAATCGGTGGTGCAAAAGCAGAGACGATGGCACTCACACCACCACCATCACCACCACCACTCGTGTGTCATGAGTCCGCCTGCCCCACGAGAGGAGGCATGTACTGTAGATGCTGTACCATACAGTCCGTCTATACCCACCTAGGCCCTGTCGTGTTCTGTCTGATGGCAAGTGGCGCACGCAGGGAATGGAGAGGCGAGCTGATGGCCTCTCCGTGCAGGACGAGACCCCGTAAGTGTGTGCACCTGGGCATCAGAAGAAAAAGAAAAGGAAAACTTCTGTCGCCCCGCCTCCATCGCCCTCGCCCTCGGCCACCTGCAATCCCGAGGGTACAGAATATACCTACCTAGGTAGGTACTTAGGTAGGTGTTGAAGAATCCTGCCGCAAATCTCATCTGCTGCTCACGCGGACATGACCATAAAGCCATCAGACCTCTAACGGCCAGCATCTATTTCGGACATATCTCCCCATTGCGTCCTTTCCTCTCACTAGTCCGAAGCAACAGCCAATGAAAGGGACTGCGAGTGAAAGACGAAAGTCGCCCGCCGAATCGCCGAGACACAGAAGACGAGACGAACGCGCGCCATCGTCGCATGGGGAGCGGGACCTGCCGGAGCACGTTTGGCGGCAGTCGACTAGTCACCCATCGAGTAAAGTCGAACGGCAACCAACGGAGTATTCGCTGTATGCAATCCAGGCCAGTCAAAAGATTTGGTCACCGTCGTGGGGTTCCATATGGAAAAGAGTTTTCGGTGCAAGGCTTTAGAAAGCTTCGAGAACGACACCGATAGGCCTCTTGGCGTGGAACACCTCTAGGCCAGGCACAGCAGTACATTGCACCGAAACGCCATAGGGTCGGCAAGAGGCGCGTTTCGCTTGAAGACTCCGCTGGGTGATGAGCTAGCAATGGCAGTGCGAGAATGTCAGATACGATGCCTGAGGATTTGACTGCGAAATCAATGAAAGCTACCAATTGTACGGAGTCACGACCGGGCCCGCCTGCAGACCACTATAGCCGTGTCCCTGAGCAGCCCGCTTTGATATCTGCAAAACTTGTTACGTCGGCTAATTCATTCCGATCCGCTTGAAACAGGAGTGGCCACACGCCGCTGAAATCAACTTCCACCCACCCCGTACGGGCGGCAGCCTCCCCAAACATGATCAGAGCAGCGAGACTGCCGATCCCACGAGGTCCCGACAAAGCTCCGGTGCTGGCTTATCCGTTTGTACATGCGCAGCTCTTTTTGCTACACGATCTTAATCTTGACGTGTCATCAATCGTGCGGGTCCTGCCTGTATCATGTCTCGTCTCACATCCATTTGGGGCATCTCTGTAATACCTAGGTACCCTTCGGCTGTCGATCCCTGCTCCAGGCACGATCGTCTCGCACCGATCCTCATTGTAGCATGCTGAATTTCAAGGCCGATGGGTGACATTCGTGAGGTTTTCCTGAGCAACTCAGTCACGCTCGCACGTGTTTGTCGGAAGGATGCTCGGGTGCTACCTCTGCCTTCAGATATAGGCGAAATCATCCAACGGACTGGTAGAGCAAAAGGGGTTCTCCGACGTTCTCGATCTCGGGGATTGTGCAGCGCAGGTCGAATGCTTTTGAAAGGACGATTTTGAAAATCTGCAGAACGTCGCGTCGAGTCAGTGAGGCTCCTTTCTCCGTGACACAAAACCAACTTCTCACCTTTTGCACATTGATGCTGTGGCTTGTACTTGAAAAGATCAAGCTTGCCTTCATCGCTTTCGCAAACCGCTTGGCCTGTAACGATATCTCCTCCTGCTCTTCACGTGGAAAATTGACAAAGTGGTCGTATTTCGTGCCGACGAGAAACGGTATTGCTGTCTTGTTGAATCCTCGACCTTGCCGGTACCACTCCTTGATACTGTTCAGCGTCGATTTCCGTGTCAGATCGAACATGAATAGGATCGCGACGGCGTCGTTGCACACTAGAGGAAGCATATTGACGAATTCCCTCTGTCCGCCCAGATCCCAGATGGAGAATGTAATCTCTGTGTTGCGAATGCTAATCGTCTTTTCCATGAAATTGACACCTGCCATCGCCAGTATCCTGATTAGCTACTTTCAAGAGCTATGCTTCACCGTGGGATGCTGTTCCCAGATTAGCGCATCTGCACTGTATCGCTCACCTAATGTCTGGATATAATCCTCATCCCAGCTACCCTCAACATATTTCACCATAAGACTCGTCTTGCCGATCTGAGCATCGCCAACCATTCCAACCTTGATTACCACAGACGCATTTTTCTGGCCCTGTTGTCGCTGCCCATTCGCGTCATATTGTCCGGCGCTCTGCGTAGATGGCGGCCTACTTAATCCAGCGCCGTGCTGCATCGGATCTGTGATGGCATTGCTGAGATTGTTGTTGGCATCAATGGGTTGTGAATATGGACGTGAGAATCCCGTGTCGGAATATGAGGTTTGTGGTCGCGCATCGTAAATCGGATTCTGTAATGATGTTGCTGTGATTGTGTGCATTGACGCGTCGTCGATCGTGGATGGGTGCTTTTCGACATCATCGCTCATAACCTGGTCGACGTCCTCCATCGTGGCTAGTATTGACAAGGTATCGCTTGAAGTGAGATTCCTCCGGCGCGACCCTCACGAGGCAGTAGGAGACGCCCGCCGAGTGCCGAGACCGCCGTCAAGTGTTATATAGGCCGTGTGCAGGCCTCTTTCGGAGAGTATTTGTGGTCAAATTGGTGTCCAATGTGTTGACCAAAACGTCTCGTGCTGTTGGTGTTGTTCAACGTCCACTGGCGCTTCACACTGCAGAAGCCCCACCAACGGTCGTGTCACGGTCCAGAAATGACGCGCTTCCTGCCGGAAATATATGCTCGGGCCGATATCACTGAGTTGACTGTTGTAAATGACTTATGTTGACTCCAATGTGTGGTAAAGCGGGTAGCATAGCAAGAGAAGTAATGGTTGTCGGGGAAGAGCACGCAATGTCCACGCCGCCCGCGAGTTACTGTACGACGCGAGCCTGATAGATCGACAGTGGTGGTCGTGACCCTGACGCTTCCGCCCAAAATATGACCCCAACCCTATTGTGCTAGCACAGAAAAAAAGAGCTCATGGTATTTTTTTAAATGAAAAACGGAAGAACTTTCTCTTTATGATGAGTATATGAAAGGATACGTCTCTGCAGACCATTAGCGAGTCCTTGAATCAACTGTTGGCGTCAAAGACACACAGTCGAGTTCAAAATTCCCACAACGTTGCGACCATCACATTAAGCATTTTCAATTCACAAAATTTGACCCGAGAGACGTCATCCACAATCGACTAAGTTGACGAAAAACGATTGGAGACACAAGTGCGCACAACCTCATCGGTGTTCCGATACTCAGCAAATTTCAAGATGTCGAAGCGATCGGCCGAAGAACATGACGGTCCCCAATCATTGAAAGCTGGTGACCGCCCTGTGGCATCCACTACCGCTGAAGATGGCTTGGAATTCGAAGACGAATTTGAGGACGAGTTCGAGAGCGAAGACGAGCTTATCGAAGCCGGTGTCGATGGCCGACCCGACGAAGAGCGTGAAGCCGAGGAGCGAGCTTCAGGACGAGCTATGGACGTCGACCGCGAAACATTCATTCCGGGACGACACAAGCTTGATGCTGGCCAGACACTCGCACCAGATCTCACAGCTTATGAAATGTTACATACGCTCGAGACGACCTGGCCTTGTCTCTCGATAGATGTCATCAAAGACCAACTCGGCGACGACCGAAAGTCATATCCGGCCACAGTATATGCAGTAGCTGGCACACAAGCTGCCCGTGGACACGACAAGGAGAACCAATTGATGGTCATGAAACTCTCCGGTCTCGCCCGGAATGATCAAGCAGGCAACATCGACTCCGATGACGAAGATGAAGATGACGACGAAGCTGTGACCGATCCCATCTTGGAAACAAAGTCGATTCCGTTGACGTCTACGACGAACCGCATCCGCGCTTTCCAATGCCCGCAAGCTAACTCATCCTCGCTACCTACAACATATACCGCTGCGATGCAAGAGTCAGGTGACGTTCTGATCCACGATGTCACGCCCTACCTCACGGCATTTGATACTCCTGGCTTCCAGATCCCCGCCACCGCCTCGAAACCCGTCCACACCATCCGCGCTCACGGCAAGAACGAGGGCTACGCGGTAGACTGGTCTCCTCTGGCACCAGCAGGCAAACTCGCAACGGGTGACAGCACAGGAAAAATCTTCCTGACAACAGGCCGTGCAGACGGCGGAGGGGGTTTCACCACCGACAGCAACGCAGCCTTTATCGGCCACCAGTCAAGCGTAGAGGAGATCCAATGGTCGCCATCAGAACGTCACGTCTTCGCCTCCGCCTCCAGCGACGGCACCGTCGCCATCTGGGACGCACGCGCCAAAGCCCGCACCCCGGCCCTGTCCGTCCGGGTCTCCGAAACCGACGTGAATGTGCTCTCCTGGTCGCGGCAGACCGCCCATCTCCTCGCCTCAGGTCACGACGACGGAACCTGGTCAGTATGGGATTTCCGAGCATGGAAAGCCAGCGGAAACGCGAGTGCCACCCCGGCGCCCAAGCCCGTTGCGCATTTCGATTTCCACAAAGAGCAGATCACTAGCGTGGAATGGCACCCGACCGATGACAGCATCGTGGCGGTATGTGCAGGTGATAGCACACTGACGCTGTGGGATCTGGCGGTGGAATTGGACGACGAGGAATCTCGGTACACGGCAGACGTCAAGGATGTGCCGCCACAGTTGCTGTTCGTGCATTATATGGAGCAAGTCAAGGAGTGTCACTGGCACCCTCAGATTCCGGGGACGGTGGTGGCTACTGGTGGAGCAGGGTTGGGAGTGTTCAAGACGATCAGCGTATGATGGAATGAAACCAAGTCATGGGATGTAGCCTTCGAAAGAGGGTCAAGATTTGATGTTCGTCCGATAAGGGATCTACGTGATGGATAACACAGTTAAAGCGGGAATCTGGCCTTCAAAGATAGATTTGGAATGGAAGACGCTCGTGCGGAGCCTATGCACTAAGAAGTTTTCTTTATCATTGCATTGGCAAAGAGAAGTCCGAAATAGCAAACAGAAAAGCGGTCTCGAAGAAAAGTCAAAATAGTCTCGCCGGACTCGATCCCTTGTGTCAAATTGAAAGTCAAAAAGCGTGATAATCGTCACAGGCCAAAAAGGCAGAAACATTGACAAAAGAAGTGCAACCAAGATTCGAAGGAAAGTGTGAAAATGATGACCAGAGAGGTTGCTGATTGGTTGTAGGCTCGCAGCGACAAGTTTTGTTCGTCCAGCCTCGAAGTGATAAGAATCGGCTCACTAGAAAGCGAAATGTGATCGGGAAAAGTCAAGCCTCCGGGCTAGGCAATGCGCCTGATCAAAGGACGCCTCCAGGAATGGCCTGCAAGGGAAAAAAATGTCAGCGCAACAGTCCAACTGTACAAGTGCAGTGATGCGCTCGTTTAGAGATTCACATTCAACTTACCCGAGTCTGACCACTGACACCAGCCGCGTCAAATTGTGGTTGCTGGCCACCTGTATTCGCTGCTCCGGCCGCTGCTGCCGCCGCCGCCGAATTGGCGGTACTGCTGCTCCAACCCTCTTGAGGCGAAGCATGCCGTCGCAGCATGAACATTGGCTTACGCCCTTCGCGGTCGAGCTGCTTGAACAGCATAAGCGGCTTCTCGTCGAGACCCAAACATCGCTCCATATCCCCGTGCACAATGTAAAGCGCATATTGGCGCCAGTCGTCGGTAATGTTATATCGTTTGAGCGCGACGGGTAGCACAACACGACAAGGATCGTCGATGCTGACCCTGAAAGATTTGAATATTTCGACTTGAGGGTTATCTTTTTCAGGTGCACTCGTGCTCGCGGCATTTGCAGTCGACGATGATCCGTATGATGTGGGTGCTCTGTCGGTCGAAATCTGAGTCAGCAATGTTCACGTATCAAAAATAGAGGATACAAGGGGCGGTTGGTGGGCTATCTTACCGGCTTGATTGCGATTCATCCTCGCGTGGGCTGGGAGTAGGCTGTCGCCGTGATGAGGTGGGGGGAAGTCGCGCACTGTGTGGTACATCGTGAATCAGATTATTTGCACTCCATTGACCGCTACCGTTGGAATCGTCGTTATGAGAAAAGAAAGTTTGCTGGTTTGGTCGCGCAGATTGTGTGCCGTCGCGAGGGAAAGTTCGTTGCATGGCTGTAGGAGGTTGATAATATGAGGCGCTAGGCGGAGGTTGTGGAAGCGGAATGGTGTAAGCGGGACTTGTAGGGCTCAATTGTTGTTGATTCGGGCTTGATGAATTCGTCATGCTTGCTGTCAGATGAGAGCTGGCTGCGAGGGCGGCGGCTGATGCTTCTAGATGAGGCTGGCCGTCATCACGGATCCCAGGCGAATGGGACATTATTGGCGAGTTCTGCTTGGAGACGTCTTTGGACATTGGGTTGATCCGTTTGGAGAATTTCCTACTGAGCGAGCTTCCCTTTCCGGGATCCTGGAGTTGTAAGGACTGATGTTGCAGCTGTTGCAACTGTTGCAGTTGTTGCGATGGAGGTTGTGGCAGTTGTTGTTGCAATCTTGGCGCATCAGGTTCACGAGGTGACGAAGTCGATGGATCCGGTAGAGGTGTACGTTGATCCTTCATCAAGCGCATGACAGGCAGAGTCTCTTCCCTCAGCTTTTTGTTCTCCTCTGACAGGCGGTCAAGATCTTGTCGCATGGCACGAAGCTCGGCCTCGGCCGCAATGATACGCTGGTCACGTAGTCGAATAGACTCGATGATCCGTGTGATATCCTCCTGTGTGGCTGTCGTCTCTGACTTCTCTCCTTCAGTGGACAACGGCGCGTAATCACCCTCCTCCAGCCGCACCCCTGACCTTGTCTTGTGCTCGTATACAGCCTTCAGTATGGTCAATCGGTGTCCAGCACTTGCGACGCCCAGTTCCCGAAGTTCTTCATGACCAATGGAAACAAGAACTTCCCCGCTCACACCTTCTTCGACAAACCGCTCAACATATTGCTTCAGAGGAGAGGATAACCCGGACAGATATTCGGCAACGTCTTCTTCGGTCCATTCCGTCATCTTGCCAGACGGCCCATGGCCCTCACGATCTCCCCACCCTTGTGTCGTCGGAGTATCTTCCCCTCCTAGAGAGTCACGCTCATCATCGTCCTCATCCTCGTCCGACGGATGATCACTAACATCGTCATCATCCTCGTCGTCCTCATCGTCGTATCCTTCTGGAATTGACGACGAGTTGAACATGCCACGTTCGAACTCATCGTCAGCATCAGCTTCACTGTCATAGCCGTCATTGCCTCCATGCGTAGCATATTTGTCCATTTTCTCCTCAGAGTCGTTGCGCGAAATGTCGCTCTGGGTCACGGTCCCGCGGCGTGTGGTCCTTTGTCTGGGCTGTGACACGGCGCGATCGTTGTGTGCAGGTGATTGAGTGCGGTCGCCAAATGTGGGATCTATGGGAGTGGCGGAGAACTCGGTCTCAGCGGGACTGTCAGGACCGATGGGGGATGTCGGATAGCTGGCGGTCCTTTGAGGCACTGGGAGTTGATCAGGCGCGACAAATCCGGCAGTTCCTGGGGTCCGCAATGGCAATGAATCCCTCGAGGCACCTCCGGGACCTTTGATCGGATGATTTGGGATATGGCTGGCACGGTGGGACACGCGGGCAAGCCAGGAGCCTTTGGATGGATTAGCCGGTTGGGAACCGTACGCCTCTGTAAAGGTTGGCTGTGCCATGGACCAGCGATGTTAGGTTGCAGGCTGCGAATGCAGACCCGCTACGGCAGCGTCACACCAACGCTGTGTAAAGTCCAAAAGATCGTCCAGGTCCGAGTGGAAGTCCTCCGAAGGCAAGTGGCACGAATGAGCAATTATGGTCCAAAGCCAAAGATAATTGAGGGCGCGTAGGATGCCGTTATCGAGATCAAACGTTCCGACAACGTCGCTGGGGTCCGATATGGAGCGGAGCCGATATCACTGATTTGTCGGCTTGCCGAGGTTTCCTGCTCATCGACGCCCGGTATAATGATGTTCAGGCTGGCGATATCGTCGAGGGAGAGCGATGTGTGCAGATGTGCACCCGCACGCACGACGTCGATCGAAGAACGGGACTCGGGGCTAGAGAATTAGTGCCCGCCCCGTGCCTGACACCCTGATGATGACTCATCATGGCTGTCCCACCTGGGCACCTCGAATTGAATGCTTAGGTCCGTACATGGTTGCCGACCGATGTATTTTCTGCACGATATCTAATATTGTGACCTCCTTATCACGGTGGAACTGACACCATTGGGTTTCATTGTATTCACACTCGTCAGGTGTATTGGCACTCATTTCGACGGCGCGTACGAACGTATTCAACCAGAAATTTTGCAAAGATAGACCTCGACATGTTCTAGTCGTATTGGATTCCCATGTTCAGAGATCCCTAACAACTTCACGCACAGCCCGGGCAGCCAGACGCTTTCGCTCCTCCTCGGGTAGACCTACACTCTGCTCCTTGACGGCTAGCAGCCGTCCCATCAAGCGATCGAGATCGTCAACTTGACCCTCTCTGGCTGCATTGTCATCGTTTTCGCCAGCGACATCGGTCTCGTCGTCTAGTTCGGACTGTTGCAACAGTGCTGCCTTGACAGCGAACATCTCTGCGGTCCATTCTGCCTCTTCGCGATCAGTCCCCAACATGCCGCTGCTCTCACCTTCGAATGCCTTCAACATGGCCGTGATATCATCTTCATCTTCTTCACCAGCCTCGTGTTCAATTTCAGGATCCGAAGACGTCCACTCGATGGTTTGAAGGGCTTCTTGTAGCCGAGCGAACCCGACTTTCTCGCCAAATGCATTATGACCTGTAGCCGAATAGTCGACAAACTCAAAGCCAAATTCTTGACATATTTCCTCCTCGGCTTCGTGGTCAAGTGCAATCACGTCGTGGTTCATGTCGTTGTCTGTGCGAGCAGTAGTATGGGACTTCGCAGGATCTTGTTTACCAGTACCCTTTGCGATAGCAAGCTTCACGACACTGCTGATCCCATCTTCATCATATCCTGCGTGCTTCTCCACCACATCCTGGATAGCTTTCATGACCGCTCGTGTTTCATCTGTGATGATTGTCTCTGTGGTCGGCGCCGAAGTACCGACAGCTGGGCTGGGCTTGGGAAACACGTAGACCCATGCACCCACAACTCTCACAACATCGCACGCCTCGTCACGGAGAAACTCCTTTTGCCAGTCCAGGACACCCGCAGTCGCACCATCACTGGTGCTAGAAGACGGGAACTCATCGATCCAGACTGGGACCAACGCAGAGTAATAAGGCGTAGTAGCTCGCCATTCGTGAGAGAGACCTGCTATTGAGCCAGAGGCATCGACCGGCGATGGCGATGAGCCTGTCAGGTCTATACTATTCGAATGCGTGGTGAGCTGGACGTGTACTTGAGATTGCCTTTCGATGCAGCGCTTCAACATGAGTTGGCGATTTCGTGCTGCTCTGCAGACTTACCGCGAACGACATCTAAGATGCCTGCTCCCCTTGTTCCAATGAATAGGATACGCTTGGAGGCATTTCTGATGGTAGCAACCTCTGAAGTGGATGGTACTACAGCTGCGTCCATGGTTACACCTCGACGTCTTCCGAACAAGATTCCGTCTTACTGGGTTGGCTTGATGATGTTTTGGTTCGAATTATAGCATTCTTTCTTAAGCATAATGTCCGTGACTGGCGTCGAATGCATAAAATTCCGTGCCTGCAAAGGTGTTGGTGACGTGTGGGGGGCTATTCCTCGATCTCGAGATTTTGGCCATTGCCCTATACTGTGATACTGAGCTACCCAAGCATTTTCTTGTGTGGCTGGTTGGTGCAATCGAGCATACTCGCGTCGACAGTCAAGGCACACCGAGATTCTCGAGGTCTGCCAATGAGGGAGAAAATATACTCTGAAATGACCTTCAGGACTATGACATCACTTTGGAGCAAAACGTCGAACGTTCAGACAATTTCGCCCAGAAATTATTATGAGGTGCGCCGGCAGTGTCAAACGAAATGAGCCTCATACATGTCGCCAAAAGAAACGTAGTAGTCACTGTTCGGGATCACGACGAGGATTTCTATTTCAAAACTCTGCTCCCATTGACGTGCATTCCACATGGGTACATGTAGCCTTCTGGCGGTCAGCGAACTTGGTGCTCTGTTGCGAGTACTTCGGCATATGCTGCCATTCCGCAGGGCATTGTTCGTCGGTGCCAAATATCCTGTCTCCTGCAACTGCCCGTCAACCCCCCCGAGGAATTGGTGACCGCGCCGGATGTCGTCGCGAAGATATTGGTCCAATCGTCCAGTACTAGACTTCTTTGCCGCTGTCAAGAGATTTTGTGAGGTGGCTCTTGCCGCTCGTTCATGCTTCGTGATCCGGGCTCCAACAACAAATTTAGGCTTTCCACCTTTTCAACCTGCTCGGGGTCGCCCTTGTCCTCGGGCACGATTCACTGTCGCCCTTCCTCTCGCTAGACCGACACCGCGACCACGGACTCCTCGCGATCGGAACATTGGCGCATTCCTGTGACGAAATCTTGTCAGTTCCGGCACGACAAATGTATGTGGCAATGCTGGCCCCGGTGCCATAAAAAAATGTCTCTTACCGAAGCATGTCGGGTACCACAAATAGTCGAACGTGTGATCCGCGGATATAGACACGGTCCAGGTGGGTGACGCGACCATCGCGCTGGGTGACATTGATGTTTTCGAGTTGGCAGTTCATGTTATCCTCGACTAGAAAGAGAAGAATGTTAGCCAAGCTTTCGAACACATAACTTTTCTTCCGTTGCATTGCATGACAAACCTTCGATCAACTTCCCACGATATGTCTGGCCAGATGCGAGTTCGACTGTGACTTGATGGCCCTATATTTGAAGAATCCCATCATCAGCTACCCAAAGGTTCTTTGTGTAAGCGCAGGATCGCCGTGAGCTGCTGCAAGGTGAAGATAACTTACAGTGGCCTCATTGAGAAGCTTGATCGGAATACCGATCGTGGACGTCATGGTAGCGAAGGTTCAGTTTGAGCACGTCTTTCCTGCACGATGAGCAGATTGGCGCGCTGGAGAAGGTATGCTGGAGAAGCAACGGTGCCAGTGATGAGCAGAGACAATGCGACAGCGTATTCGTATGGGCACGATTCGCGACAACAGTCGGTAGGTACTGAGGCATCCAGGGCTTTCTGCTTCGGAAGTTCTGACTCTCCTGCGCGCCTGTGCAATCCGACGGGCTTGGCGCATTGTCATTGTGAAAGCCCCAGGCCTACCTGGGTAGAGAGCAAAAGCTCGGGTCGCGTACCCACGTGCGTCTTTCGTGCTTTCAACGTGCACAATTCACATGACGATCTATTCCTCATTATTCCTCGTTGTGAAGAGAGCATATCCTAATTCTCCGTCGACGCCAACCACAGGTGAATGTTATTACACACTCGAGCATATGCCGCGCTCTGATATACACTGAGATCGTCACGGGTATTACTCATGTCGAGACGCTGGCTTTGATGTGTGACAGAATAGCTAGAATAGCTAGAATTACAAGTATTTAACTTATTATTGCGCTGTAGCCGGCTGCCGTCGTATCCCATATCACCCGCGAGTGAGGCGAAAAGAAAAGGGTTCATCAGATTCGTGTCGGACAGTCTATTCTTGGGGCGGTGGCATGCATGCACTCTTTTCTGGTTCCTCTAGCCACATCTGGGCCAAGCGTGAATTACGACTCCCCTATGCGACAACCCGCCTAACTTTCCTTCGCCATTTTACCTGGGCTCTCGATATACCCGTGCACACTTGGGTCACAACACGATCGCTCACTCACTCGCTACTGTCCCTCCTCACAGTGTCCGATGCGCACATACACGCTGCACCACGAATACTCACAGCAGTGCACATGAATACAACTCCGCCGATTTCAAACAACATCAAAATCATCTCTTCTTGATCCTCCACACTCGCTTCAGCGCCATCGACCGCATCACTGCTCCATCCGTTGCGACACATATACAATACTACCAACGAATACCCATCAAATCACCTTGAATCAACTCCTTGGACACACTGCTTCGCCGCCATCATGGGCTTCGGCGACTTCGTCTCCATCTGCCAGCGCACTGCTTTACCGCTCTGTCCCCTCGTCGGACCGGTCTCACCCATCACCGGCAGCAATGGCGTGCAGACTAATTGCTATGCGCGCTCAATCGAACTTGCCAACACCATCATTTTCCAAGGCGCGGCCGGATTCGCGCATATCCTTGCTCTGATCATGACTGTAATCATGATCTTTCATGTTCGCAGCAAGTTCACCGCTGTCGGTACGTTCCGATGAAGAGTCGCCACGGGAGGCAGGGCATGGGCACGACTGGAGAGTCGCCCGCAGAAGTGAACATTTTACTGACATACTATTCTTCGGGATATAGGTCGCAAGGAAATCACCTCATTCTTCTACGCCTACGCCCTGCTCACTGTCTGCTCGCTGATTGTCGACTGTGGTGTCGTTCCGCCCGGCAGCAATGTCTTCCCTTACTTCGTTGCTGGACAATTGGGCCTCGCGGCTGCCACTTGTGTCTGCTTGATGATCAACGGATTCGTCGGCTTCCAGCTCTATGAGGATGGAACTACACTTTCGGTATCATTGGTCCGCGGAGCCAGCGCCGCCATGTTCGCCATTGCCTTCCTCATCTCCATCCTGACGTTCAAGAATATTGGCGGTCTTGGCCCGCAGAACACTATCGGTTTGTTTGTGGTGGTCTACATCATTGGCGCGATCGCCATCGCTGTATACGTTGTCTTGCAGATCCTCCTCATCATCGGAACTCTGCAGGAGCGCTGGCCGTTGTGGCACATCGGATTCGGTGTTGTTGGATTCGTGCTCGGTCAGGTCATTCTATACGCGCTCAGCGAGCCCATCTGCGATGGAGTGCAGCACTACATGGATGGCTTGTTCTTCGCCACAATTCTTAACTTACTGGCGGTCATGATGGTGTACAAGGTAAGTCCAAAATCGGGCTTTCCCCACTTCGTTGGAGTCATAGCTGACCTGCTTTATTTGCAGTACTGGGATTCCATCACCAAGGAAGATCTCGAATTCTCCGTCGGCCAAAAGATGAACAACTGGGAGGTCAAGGACCATAAGACCATGTTCGAGGATGACCGGAGAAACACTGGATATGACAGCGATTACGGCAACAGCAGTAGCATATTCCATCCCAACAACCAGCGCGGCTCGACGTATGCATACTAGGCGTGAATTAGGATGCTTGTTGCGCTCGAGCAGTACGATCATACACTGTTTCATGATAATGGCGGGAATATATATACATTTGCATTTCAGCACGGCGAGATAGGCGTTTGGGTCAGATCGAGGGACGGCACTGGCAGTGTGTCGGGATTTACAATACCAAGGGGCGGAGTTTTCCTTTGGAAAAAAGCATAATACTTTCGATCTTGATTTTTATATTCCGCCAGACATTTTTTGACCATCTTTTCCACCAAAGCTTGATTTCACTGCTTTCGAATCATCCAAAAATTTGTTTTGCAGCATCACCAGAGACATGTTTCTCACGCCCCCCAAAATTGCCGCTATGCCACTTTCTGCTTCACAAGGTCATTTATAATCATATACCGCGAGATTGCGATCCAGCCCCACCGGAACCACCGCATCTGGCTCTTATGCGCGGTTGTCATTGCCCGCTGTCCTTTCCGATAGTCCTCCACCCCACTGACCATCAGCAGCGGCGAGGGAAACTCCCCTCGCTCCTTCCGCCGCCAAAGCATCACCGTCATGGTGGCCACTGCGTCGAGTAGGCTGCTGTACTTGCGTACAGCGGAAGTCGTCGTTAGCGTATAAAGTTGCATCTCTGAGGATGGCGATACTGATCCAGCTTGCCGCCGAGCCTTCCTCAATCCGCGAACATATCCGAGCGCGCCGTGATAGAGCGAGATGTGATTCGGATGGCTCGAGACGCCGTGTTGGTCGAACGTGATCAAGACATCCACATTGGGAGTCTTGTCCCCCTTCTTCCTGCCTGCCGAAGGAGCAGAACTCGAGCCGCCATTCTCACCCGAGACCGCGGGCGGCAACACATACAACCCCAACGTCTGCGCGACGCGCTCCGCGTCCCACACCGCCGTCATCGAATCCGGGAAATCCTCCGGCTGGTCCAGACAGATCACATGTTGCGCCTCGCGCACCCCAAGTTGTAGCGCGCTCTCCGTGAGTTCCTTCCGGCGGATGGCGCCGAGGCCGTCGGCGTCGCCGGTACTGAAGCAGAGTATCAACACGATGTTGCCGAGCTCGGGCGCGGTCAGGCGACGGAGTGTCGGGGAGAAGAACATTGCCTCATCGTCCGGGTGTGCGATCACGAGACAGATCGTCTTGCCGCCGATGATGGGGAAGGTTCGTGTCATGTAGGCTGTGAAGAGCCATAATGTTCCGATGAATGTGGCTATCTGGATAGGGAGGTACCACTCCATAATCGATGACCGATATGCTTGAGGTTGTTCAGTCAGGTGGCTTCTTGATAGATTTGTCTCAGTATCGGTTTTCAGCGTTCAGGAAGCGTTGTTCTTGTTTTCTGTCTTGTGGTCCGGATGACTGGCTGAGTGAAGGAGCGTTGACGTTGTGGTCTAGATAGACACAGAGGATCGGTCGTGACACTGATTGACACTCCCGAATATGTAAGAACAAGAGAGAATCAATTCGATGTCGCCAAATCAACCATCTGTCCCAATATGTCCAATATCTACATCATATTGGGCGATCTAGAATCGCATTTGGTCAACGCCATTGAATACCAATGCTCCGCGGAGGACAAAGTACATTACCCAAACCCTACCAGATCACCACACATAACCCTAACATCACGATTGGTCTGGGCCCCTGGGGTTATCAACAATCACACATCTATTTCTTGACCATTTTGGAGAAAAAGTTGAAATCAGTGAAAAGACTATGCATCCGCTTTGCGATCGTCAGTGCATTCATGGACTGTATGATAAGTGTTGCCCGGCTCATGCTGATAATTTCTTCGCCCGGTCTGCTGCAATCTCGCACATAGCCTAAACAAGAGCAGTGTATGTTTAGCATGATGGTATCAACGAGCATGAGAACGGTCCGCCCAGGACAGGGCAGGAAATCAGGATCTCGATTGTCGGATATCACCTACATTGATCGCCGCTAATCGCTCAGCATACAAATTCCCGCGAGCGATGCGCTGGCGCATATCATCCATGATCACGGACCGGCCACGACCATTGACGAAAACCACATAGCGCAAGCCCGGAAAGGTCTGCTCGTACTCATCATTCAGTGCCTTTAGCATCTCCGCCTCTGCCTCGCCAGAACTTCCATTTTGCTGAAGTTGTGCCTGCTCAGCACGCGATTGTGCGCTCTCGACCTTCTTTGCCCCTAATCGCGGATGGGAACCTAGGATATGGTCGAGCTGGACCCGTGCAGAGGCCGATGTAGATTCCGCCAGCGAGGTGAGGAGCTGACGCACGACACGAATCAACTCGTCGTATGATGTGAAATCCCACGTGTGGAAGTAAGGCAGTAAAACAGTATGTAGTGCGGGACTGGGCTCAAACAGTAGATCGAGGACACCCGTGAAGACGCCTTCGTCCGTTGTCGAGGACAGTGCCGACACTGGTGGTAAAAGGGCCGATGACGATGACGGCGGAGTTGACATGTTTCCTAAGTGCGAGTTCAGTGGTGGTGTCTGCCAGGATTTGTGAACGTATTCTCAGCTCCTTCTGATCTGGGCGCAGGTAATTTAATATTTATCAGATACGCGCGTAGAGCTGGCTGCTGTACGTTCACGCCCTTCCACCTGATTGACGAACAGATGTCGATAAGGAATTCGGGAATTGACGGCGTAGACCACGTGAGCTAGACATACACCGACGACAACCAGGGATCACCACCGGAGGTTACATTGCACCCGAGCCGCCGGACTGTATCCTCCGACCTAAGCAAATCATCATTGGCACCGTTCATTAATATTAGAGTCGAGCGCTGGATTTTTTTACTACGGTATGTTGCTTCATCTACGCCTTACCAAACGATGCCGAATCTAATGCGCAATCTAGCATGGCCGCTGTGGCTGCGACGGGCAGGCTGGGAGTACTTGATCGTCTTCCGCTGCTGTTGCGCGTTGTTCGGCTGCATTTTGTTATTGATTATACAGCCGTCACTGGAACTACTCACATTCCTAGCATTTCTTCCCGTTATCATATTCTACGTCAAGCCTCCTGCGGACCTGGTCGTGATATGGATCACCCACACTCTCGTCGGCGGTGTGGTGCTAATGACGACATGGGCATGGTGTACCCTCGGGTTCAAGGCGGCTGACCTGGTCCGCGATCATGATCTTGACAGACAGATCGCCACTCAACTGGTCGGCGCGCAAAATTTGACAACGCAACCAAGTCAAGCACAGATCTTTGCTATCCTTACGCCATACGCGTTTCAAGGCGTTTTCGTCCAGCCGAGACCGTCAGCCATCTGGGGAGCCTTCATTTTTGTCAATGTTTTCTGGGTCTGGTTGATTCGTGCATATCGGATCCGCTACTTCTTCGTCATGGTCCTGGCGGGAATTCTAGTGCTGATTTACGGCACCATCGGACCGTTGGTCCCATCTTTCGCTCCGATCGACATTGGAAGGCTTTACCTGATCCCGCTTGGACAGTATTTGGCGATCGGAACTTTCTGCGCATGTTTTATCCTGCCGACTTCTGTCTCAGGAACGGTACTTCGTAGCTCGGAAGCCCTTTTCGACCACAAGATAAGCCTGCTCAACCATGTTGTGGGCACTCTATCGGCAGTGGAGAACATCCGCGATACAGAGGCTCTGCAGCTTCACGTTGACGAACGACATACGGAGCTCATTGATCTTCGTCTGACTGGCGAGCCACTACTATTGAAGCTTGAGCCTTTGACTAACTATCTGGTCCTCGAGCCCGCTTTCACCCGCATCGCACCATTTCATGTGCTACAGTTCTGGCGCGTGCAGTCAGCCATTAGCATTTCCCTCCAATCGATTGTCCTCTTCTCCAATGCACGCAACCAAAGTTTCAAAGGCGATCAATGGGATAGAATGGCCGAAGACAAGATTCTGATGCAAGAGTTTGCCGAGGTTCGTCGAACTGCGACTCACTTGATCAAGACCATTATTGTTGGCTTGGAAGTCGGCCGAGATTTTTGCAATTCAGCTTCGCCATTCATTTTACATTCGACCCTGAGCCATGCCAAACGAGAAGACCTTCTCTCGCGCGCAGTGGAGGCCCGAACTTACATCCATGCGCAAGTTGCAGGTGTGCAAAAGGCGATCACTGAGCTCGAAGATCCTGTCGAAGCCTCGACGACACCCGTCGGCACTAGAGTGGAGACGCACGAAGCCACAAATGCGACCCTCGTCAACTCAGCGGATGCAAATGGAATCACGGGCTCCGACCGAGAAATGAGCGTCACCGACGACACAAGCCTTAGTGAGGACATGGGCGTGACTGAAAAGATAAGCTCTAGCGAGGAAACGAGCGCGAGTGAACCCACAGATCTCGGCGAAAAGACCAGCGCAAAAATTCATATTGCAGATCTCCTCAATCGTCGTGCAATGGACCGAGTACACCTTCGTGGTCTACTAACGATCTGCGCAGATGTAGAGAGTTCTCTTGTAGTCATTCAACATTTGCTCGAGCAGCCAATACGCCTGCACTGGAACATCTTCAATATCGGCGCCACCTCTACTTTAGCAGAGCTCGCCTCGAATGGATCATATACCGCTTCAAACAGCCAATCTGTCATCCCCAGACTGCTACGCGTACTTTTCTCCTTAGAGAGGACAGGCAGTGAACCGACCTTCAGAGATCTGAGCAAGTCTCGACATAGTACGGAGCTGTTGACTGATCCTGAAAGCTCTTCACCATCACAGTTTGACTACCCTCCTCATGGCGTTAAGCCGTCTATCTTGCGGCGCATATCTCCACGTTCAAGTCTACTGCAGCATTTGACAAGTCCCCAAATCATACTGTCCTTCAAAGTCGCTGTCCTCGCTGTAGCACTGTCCATCCCGGCCTTCATCAAATCGAATAACAGCGCCAAGTTCTACTACGAGCAGAAGGGAATTTGGGCCGCCGTGACAGCTATATTTGCGACACACATGTTCGCCGGCGAGACTCTCTTCGGTTTTGTGGCCAGGGTCGTAGGTACCTTTATTGGCGCCTTGCTCGGACTTGTCTGCTGGTATATCTCGGCGGGTAGCGGCACCGCAAATCCCTATGGACTTACCGCAATTGTCACAGTTGTCTTCTCTATCCTGGTACCGTACCGACTCTATTCATCGAATTTCATCGTCGCAGTCACTGTCACTACGACTGCGACTTTGGTAGTCGGATATAGCTATATCGACGCGAAGCTCAATCCCTCGCTCAATCCCGGCTATGGATGGGATGTGACTTGGAAGCGATTAGTTGTCTCCTTCATAGGTCTTCTGGCTGCATTTCTTGTCGGGTCTTTGCCACAGCCAACATCGGTACACAAGCATGTTTGCCGCGTTCTTTCTTCGACGAGTAATGAGTTGGGTCATCTACTGTCCCTCTCATCAACCCTAGCGGAACACATCACAAGTGGTGCCGGCCTCAATGAGATGAATGGAAATAACGAAGAGGGTACAGTCCCCGCAACGGGAGGTATGCGTGTCATGATGCAGCAGGATACCTATCCAGAGCTCTTTGCAGAACGTACACTTTTCCAAGGTTTCAACATTGTCTTGAGCATTCGACGGAAGCTGGGCTATAACCGACAGAGACTCGCACTCACGAAGCTCGAGTACACACGGCATGCTTCGATACTCCCGGGACACGATCAGCTAAAGATGGTGATGGACCTCCAAGTCGAAGCGTGCGACCTTCTGGGACTATTCTTGTTCCAGTTGCAGTCATGTGGTCCTGATGACGCCGCCCTTGTTCTCGAGCAAGTCCGGAGATGCAGCAGCAAAGGCCGTACTGCCATCAACGCGGCGCTTCAGTTAACTTTGAGAACGTCCTTCAGCCTCCGCAGCCGGAAAGCTTACCGCGATACGATTTTCAACGACAGCAGCAACCCGAATGCAATTTCGCCTGAAGAATGCGAGCGTATTCTAGTTGATTTCACCCTTGATCGGAAGTCCCTGACGCCTGTAGTATTGGAGTCCAAACTATCAGAGCAAGTCGAGAAACCAATGTTGCTGTCTGTTGCGGCAGAGGCAAGTCTTTCGGCCCTCACTTCGGCTCTTCGATGTATCGGAAAGATTGAGGACTTGACCCATGTCGACCTCACATGATGTTTCGGGAACCTAGCGCACTAAGATTTTCTTTCTATTCTTGACTCTTAGCCCCAGTATGAATAGAACTTATACAATAGAGCATATGTAAATTCATAATCAAATCGGCGCTGCCTATCCGTATCACCCATCGCTTTTCAAGGGCCAAGACTACAGCGAGGTGATAAATGATCTTTGGCGATAATAGTCATATTCACACATACATAAATACACAGAATCAAGGCGCTAGAACCTCCCTACTGAATCACACCCTCCGTCTCTCTCATTACTCGCAGGCGGAGGCACACGTAGGTCTTGACGCAAGATCTCCCGCGGGAATAATGTTCCGATCGTAATGACCTTTGCGTGATGAATAAAGGCTTCCATCACAGCGACGCAAAACATCACTATCGAAAAACCAGACTCTCACCGTAGCCGCAAACAGACAACACTAATCTGCTCTAGTAGCTACCCGGCGGGCCCTGCGGCCGTCGACCACCATCGTACTCGCTTCGCGAATCGCCTCCCGCGGTGCTGCGGCCACCCTCCTGGTACTTGCGACGCAGAGCCTGCAGACGCTTCTTCTTGGTGTGAGCGTTGACGTACGTTCCGATGACGAAGCTGATGAAGTTGAAGAACGGCACCCAAGTCTCGTGGGGGAGGAAGGCTTGGGCGAAGGCCAACGCGAGTGGGGACACCACCCAGGAGACCTTCATCACGGGCATGAAGCCGGCTTTGACGGTGGCGCGGACTTGGTGGAAGGTGCGGGCGCCGGCGATGATGGCCATGGAGGTGAGATAGACGACGTTTTGGATGGGTGAGATCTGGGACAGGAAGCTTTTCGTTAGTTGAATTGATCATCGCTGGGTATGTGTGTGGTCTGGGTTGTGAGACTTACGACCAAGTTGGAAACCAGAATCTGGAGAATCTTGGCCTTCAAGCTAGTCCTACCGGCGAAGACGCGCTGGAGGATGGCGATCATCACATGGCCGAGAGGTGCGCTGACGAAGGCGCCGTACACGGCCATCTTAGGCACGCGGCTGGTGAAGTAATGGCCGTTCTTGCTTCGGTCCTTGGCGATCCATGAAGCCAGGAATTCTTGCAGACCTGCTAGAGCACCCGAGGTGACCATCTTGGTGCGAAGCGGGTCTTTGTGAAGTTTCTCGAGGTACCACTGTATTGTCAAGCGATCAGTATTTGTCCATATATCTGCCCGTGTCGAACGCTGTGCGTCTCCCAAATGTAAGACAAGCTGCGTACCGCAAGATATCCATTGGGCCCTGCGCCCTGAGTGAGCGCATTTCCGATCTCATGAGCCAGGTCTTCCTTTTGAGCGGGCGGAGGAGGAGCGACACCAGCGCGCGGTGAAGGTGCGGCATTGGTGGTGCGAACGGTCTCCCGGCGCTCTTCGAATTTGACTTGCGACATCTTTGTGCGATATTTCTGCTCTTATGCTATCGTTATATTTCGTAAAGGCTCGAGGGTCGGCGAGGCGATGGCTTATCGGCGGCAAAAGCGATGGATATATATCAATGTAGCCGACGATGCTGTCGTGCAACTAAGATGCCGAGCGGCGCGCTCCGAAAGTGTCGCCGGGAATGTCGCGACAGGAGTGTGTTGTAGAACAGCACAATTCGGGATCATCAATCGGACGTGGTTGTATTGTCCTCGTTATGAACGTCTGTCGATGATGACAGCCGGATGCGATTGTCGTGGATCGTGTGTATGTAGCAACACGCGAGCGAGAGGGGGTCAACAATAAAACGTGGGACTGGCCGGCCGAGTGAGCGTGTTGTGGTGACGGCAACACACGCCTTTTCCAATGTTTTGGCCGCGGCCGTTGTCCCAGAGAAGGCGGGATTACCCGCAAGCCGGCGCAGGGGTCCACCATTGGTGGTTGTGCGAGCACCTTTGAGTCTGTCAGCAGAACTTTTGAGCTCGCCCTCTCTGCTTGTACGATTAGTACTATCATGATTAGTCTCACCATGAATCCAATGCTTCGTATTCGACGATTGGGACATTTGTGGACATCATGGAAGCAGACATCGATTGTGCCCGTGAAACTCGTGTACGGCATCACCCTCGCCAAGCGGGAAGACGGGCCAAAAGATGCCCACTGGGACTTCTCCGTCTGGACACCTGCCGGAGCGCCTTCGTAAACAACGAGGCCCAAGTCATTTTGCAATCGCAAGCCGTGAGAATACAAGCGAGATCTGACGATTGCTTCGAATTCAAGAATAATACACATTTGACCAGGACCTGGCCAACCTCAAAGATGTAACAAACAGAAAGGCGGAATGTGCTCTACGGATTGTCTTGCTCCTCGGTATAATCTTCTCCGCCCTGCAACCAGTCCTCGAAACCTCTTCCTCTTCTCATCGGTATCGTCTGTCCTTCCTTCGGCGGACGATATATGTTGGGAGTTTGTGCGACTGTACTGTACCCCTGGATCAATTTTCGCAGGTAGCATGACTGGGCTGCTGGTGCTAGATACCGATTCCGGAACGTCGCCACCGAGTTTTGCACGACATGCTCCGCTTCATCGGGATGCTCAAGATAGTATTGGACTTTGTCCTCGAGGTCACTGAAATCACGCCGCACCGCGACATAATTCTGGTTGGGTCCTTCTTTCTCCAGGAGGTGATAGAAATACGTCCGCCAGGTCAGATCGTGAATGACGGTGAGTGAATCGCAATTCAGCAGGAATTTCAATCGCCCGGAATAGCTTCCGCCTTCGGTATGTGCTGTCATGGCATACCGGCACATCTCATCCACAGTCATGTAGTTGTCTTTGGTACTCCAGTCCATGGCACTGACGTCAGCCCAGGACTTGCCCTTTGCTGCCTCGGTTAAACCGCCCCGGATGGCCTGGTTGTACCAGACTGTGCCACGCCATACAATTTGCGGGATCTTGCTGGTCCAATGCGAATCATGTGCCATGGCTCGTCGACGTGTCTGCTGGTAAGAGCCGATGTTGCCTGGGAAACTGAATCGTCAGTGTCGCGTCGCCGAAGCACCAACTTAAGTTGAAATGAAGAGACACGTACCTGCGCCAAAGAAGTCGAAATTCGGAATTAACCAGTGTCTGTCATGCGTAGGATCAGACATGTTCGAGGTCCATGTCCAAAGTGAGTGAGTGCCGTCGGGCGTCGGGTAATCGACTATGTCCTCCAAAACGATTGCAGCTTCGATGGTGGGCAGCTTTTCGCCGCCCGCTGTGGCACTCTTGACCGCCGAGTTGAGCAGGCTCAGCAGCGATATTCCACGCGCACGAAATGCTGGATTTCCGTGGGACATTCGAGACTCAACAACGCGAAGCTCGTTGTCGTGGATAAGGACTCGAAGAGCGCCGCCTTCACTTGGAAACTTGAGTTCACTGCGCCAGCTCACGTCAAGATCTCGGGCCGAAATCTGGTGACCTCGCGCTCGCCAGTACGCTGTCGCTCGATCGACTTCGAAGTAAAGCCTCGGGAATTCGTCGCTACACTGCCTCTCGGTCAGGCTATCCGCGATCTCGCCATGAAGATCGATCTTGATGCTTTGGCGTGACTGCCGAATCACTCGACCATGAGTCTGCTCAGATAAGGCTTGCGAATGGCTATGGTCGACTTTCAACAGTAGATGCGTAGACACAAATTGAATCACAATGATGGCAAAGGAGAGATAGCAGCATCGCTGCCAACTCCAAGTGTGCTTGCCCGTCATGTCAGCGGATAGAGTGCCGCGAAGGAAAACAAATCAGCTTGGTGTTCGCCGACCATTGGGAGTGCAATAATCATAATGAAATAGAAAGGATTGGCACGAGCAAAAGCAAGCACATCTCCGCATGAACGGAGTCTCGATGAGGGAATTGTCGCCTAACTTGGTCCACACCCAATGACGCCTCTAGGTCGCGGAGCCCAGTCGGAGGGAGGCGTGGTGGGAATGTGCCAGGGGAGAATTGCGCACGCCTTTCCAATGCGCCACATTGCAATCACGTTCTTGAAGCGAGGTGTGCAGCTGGGCTCATGCATGCGCAACGCGCCGTGACCCATGTATGCGAGAAACAAGCATACTAAGGTTAATGCGCGCCGGATAGCTCTGTTGTCGGCGATGACTTCGGCTTCGAGGTTTCGTATGTCCTGAACAGAGCCGGCTCAGGTTCTCAAGCGCCCACATGAATTAGTGATTGGACAGCCAAGTACCGGAAACGTCGAATCTACTAGATTTCATGCGCGGCGCGGTCAGATCTAATGCGGCACTGCGATGCAACTATTAATACGAGCACGCTGCGGACGGCGTTGCTGGAGCTTATCTTTTTATAGGGCTCAGTTCTCAGCCTCAAGCTTCAGCAATTCATAATACAGCGCTTAGTAGTCTGTATGTATGAAAATAGGATACATTATTGTGAAACACGTCGCTGTACTCAATCAAAAACACCCTTTACACCATAAGGATGAAGAGTGATGAATATCTTTTGTCTCATGGAATTCCCCTGTGTTGGAGTTCCCCGTCCGGCGGAGGTTAAGGCATGGCGTGATCTTTCAGTCTCTGATCTGGAAAAGCTTATCATGCGGAATCAGCCGCTGATCTGATGTGTGAAGAATTAGCCAATCATAGTAACACTAGCGCGGGATCCGCCCAATTCGGTCGCCCTTCAGACACGAGAGCCAAGAACATTCTGCATGAACTGTGTCTATGTGCATGAGATGTTGCCATTTATGAAGCCTTCCAACTCAAAGTCTGCACTCCATATCGCATTTGGATTCGGTGAGGACCCTGGATCAAATGTCCTTCCCCGCCTCGACGTGCTCCTCCATTGTGCGATGCAATGCTTGGAGCACCCCTGCCTCCTGGTTCCTCGCTTGAGCAGATCCTGGTGATCTCGCTTCTGTAGATTTGAAACCAAAGATACCATGAGTGGGCGGATCGCGATGGCTTTGGGCAATACCTGAGGCATCCTCGCAAATGAGGGATTGGGCGACGAGTCTCTTGATGTAATCGATTGTCCACTCTTGGCATCTCCTAGCAAGGATCTGTTCTAATTAGAACCCTGCATATCACGATTCTACAATAAGTGCACCTACTCCGTCGATTGGAACTCGGAGGTTCTGACCCCGTGGAGGCGGATTGACCAGAAGAGCTTCTCGCTCCAGTCTTGCTCGAGGAGTTCCCTCTCGGCAGAACGTTGAATTCGTTGGCTCAAAGATATTCGCCTCGTTGACATAGCTGAGGAACACTAATTCTTGGATGTCGTGCATCGTGACGCAGTCGTAGTTCCGCTTGAACTCGTGGGCATATCCACTCATCAAAGGTTCGCCACCTACGTGAATGACGCATCTATGGCAGGGCGCCGTCTTGAAGCTTGTCGCTAGATCATGTCGATCGCAAATAACGTTTGGGATGAATATGGCAAAATGTGCACGCTGGCTGGCAGTGGTGCGGCATTTGGCTAGGTAGACCGAGCGTTTAGCCATGACGACGAGACAAATGATGCCCCTCGATGCAGGGGGAAGACGCCTGTGAAGCTTTAGTTCATTATGACCAAAGTGAAATTCTTAAGGGTGCCTAGCATGATGCCAAGGCAGTCGGATAAGCACGTCAAATAAACATGTTGCCTTTCGCGCCGGTTGTTACCGAAATTTGGTCCCTGGCTATCTTCCTCACATTTTCCCTAAGTGCAATCAACTGACACTCCAGTTGGCAATGCCGAATTGATCGCTCGGGTTAGGTCATAGGTGAGGTAGGATTGCGATTGATACATGAAAATAGCTCAGGCGAAATCTAATTTGACCGGGCGGTTGAGCATTTTGACAGAGCAATGTTACGAGCGAAATTGGATCGTGTAAGACTGCTTCGAATTGATCTTTAGATCGAAACTAATGGCAAGATTCGGTAGCGAACCAGCACTTCTCATATATGTCAGATTGTTCTGCCGCCAGCGTAATTTGTCACAGCGACGGAAGGGGTGCTCGGTGGCTGGGGCATTCATTCTCCTCGACCGCTTGCTTGACCATCCAAGAGTCCAAATAAGCTCTCACTTCCACAATCTGACCGCCCTGATCGAAACGAATAACCCAAGCGTAGGTATTGTCGAACTTCAGTCCTGCGAGAATCATCAGGTATACCGCAATTCACCAGATCGCGTTCAAACATACCACTTTTGCATTCCGCAACAGCGATAAGTTCAACTACAGCCCACTCTTGGTCGCTACCACCAATGATATTTCTCACTTTGAGCTTCAGGCCTGGTGGTTTCATGATTTTGCCCAGACGTGAGAATGTGGCTTCTTGAAACTCCTTCAAGCTTCTGTAGCGACCTGCACAAGGATGTGTGCCCATGACGGTCCAGTCGACATCAGGCGACACTCTTTTGAAGGTCTCGGCCGAATTTCCGTCTTCCAAAGGTTTGAAAATCGAGAAAATCTCATCTCGAGAAGGATATTGAGTTGAAGTAGCCATTTGAGGTTGCGTATTGTTGATGGGTGGTTGATTGATTGGGGACGATGCCTTCTCCGAATGTTCCATACGATCTGTGAGCACCACCTATATACTGTGTGATAATGATACAACATGTCGCTGAAGGAAAACCTCATATCGATGCGCGGCGCCGAAGTCGGCTCCCAACATAAAGTTCACATCGAACAGAGACGCATGCGGCGGAGATGCAACGGGGCTCGGAGATGGAGTAAGCACATGGTAAGGCAGTTGGCATGATTGGCCGCGACAGACGATGGTCGTACAAAAGGGTCGGACATAAGCACGGTCTGATGATTGCGATCTCGCAACAACTTTTTGATCGTCAACACATTACGTCATCGCCGCAATTGCCGAGAGTGTACGTCTGCTCGAATCTGCGGAAGACCCTTGACACATGGCCATGCTGACTATATACATGTCTGTATGATGAACGCAGACGCATAAAAACGCGCTGAATGCGGTACAGGTATCACGAGAGAATTATGTTGGAGACTGTGACCTGCGGAGAAGTTTAGGGACATTTACACGCTACCAAGGTAGCTCTGGTGTAGGTGGCTGTCGAATTTGAGTACAACTAGCACGGCAGGCTACCTCCGATGAGGGTGAATTCCTGGACCCTTGCCATCGAGGTTCTGCTTTACAAACGCCGATTCGAACAAGCAGCCAACCCTGTACTTTATTGTTCTTTCCAATCGGTCGCCCCGGAAATGGTTGGAAATGTCTTCATGCACGGCAATGGAATGAAGCATAACGTTATTGTTTAGCCGTTGTACTAGAGCGGCAAAGACGAGGTCGGCGGAGACCATGGCTCCGGCGGGGAGGATTTATCTGTGGACCATGCGTCTCACGACAAGCGTCCCTCGGAGCTTGTCGCGAAAGGCTCGTCCTCGATGTTCGACGCGCTAGAGTCAAAATGTTTTGCACTGTCCATCGTGCGAGTGGTCATGGAGTGTCAGACTAGGGCAGCTTGCTGATAAAGTGACAATACCTCATTTATGGATCTATCTTTCGAAGAACAAGTTCAAACGCTGCTTCAAGACCCATCTTCACGCCATGGTTTTGTACGTAATTTCTGTCGTCTTCAACCCCTGTCCCCAGAACGAATACTGATCCCAAGGCTCACTGACAACCGGCTTCACGACATTCGCACCCCGGACATGCGCGAGCGTCGACGTGATCAATTCAGTCAAGTACGAACTACCCCGATGGAAGATAATTCGATGCGTCCAGTCGCGCTGCGTCGGCAGCACAATCGACGACTGTACCACGAGTCGCGGCGAGATCGTGCTATTCGACGTGCTGAGATCCAAGGTGACGGCGTACACTGCGTCCAGGCAGTCAGGACATGTGATTGAAGAACCAAAAAGCCACAGGCGGGTAGGGTCCGTGGCGTCGAAGGCGAGGTGGATCAGCGGGGCATGGGCGCCGACTTTGCTGGTGAGACTGAGCCAGCTGATGGAGGCATCGGCGTTGATGCGACCAAAAGTTACCGTACCACCCGTGGAGTTGCCTAGAAGAACTACCCAGGCATTTCCGTCAGGCCCTGCAATCAACCCGACGGGAATTGTGCCCTTGGCCGCAGGCACCGCAATCTCCTCGCCTGCGCTCCCGTCGTTCTTGTATCTCCAGATTTTGCTGCTGAGATCGAGGCCCGAGTATACATCCCCGCTGGTTGGGTGTACATCAACAACAATCGGTCGGCCGCTGACGGCCCAGACTTGGTGATTCGATGGATTTGAGCGACTCACGCGCACGACGTGCGAGCTATCTTTGCAAGCGGCCCAGACGTCGTCGCCGTGAACGAGGACGCCGTGAAGTCCGAAGGCCGGTGAGAGGATCGGAATGGTCTGCAAGATTTTTGGCTTGACGTTGATGTCGTCGCCGTTGGGGTCGATTTGGAGGAGGAAGTTCTCAAACTGCGCGGTCGCCCAGACAATAGGGGAGCCGCTGGCGTTGTTTGTCGCCGAGCTGGAGGTTTGAAGAGTCAGGCCGTGCAGGCCGGAGTCGACACCTGTCAGGGCCCAGGAGCGCACGGCGATGGGCTCGCCATGGGAGTTGAGAGCGACCTTGAGAAGGGCGCTGTTTGTTTGTCAATCTGTCACGTCGAAACTTCTCGGAATTGACTATCTGTAGGCGACGAGTTCAGCACGGTCGCGGAAGGGCTATCATGGAGGATAATGGTGATGGCCAATGCCCTCAGCTCTGAAGACACTTCGCTTGGGCTTTATTTAACAACTGATTCGCGGGAAAACCGATTCGGTCCAGTTTATCAAACCTCAGGTATCTTTCAAGAAAAATCCAAACAGCAGTACGGTTACAGGTAGAGCTGATATTGCAGTAAGAAGTGCTGGGGTAAAACAACGATAATAATACCTAGGGAACCTTGGAAGTAGAGCACCTGCAGCTTCGATTCTTCAAAAGGTTTCCTCCCCGCTGGAATCAATGCCCTAAAACCTTTCCGCAGTACCTGCACGTGACATGATACAGTAAATGGCACGTGTTTCCGCCCTCATCGCGGGATCTCTAGTCACTAGAAAAAGATGCTCATGTGGGTTGGAGCCTCCAAGCACTATGAGATTCTCCACCACCACTCTCTACAATCGCCACGATCCCCATATCATCCAAAGAATCACTGCAGCCACCGATACGATCACCGCGAAAGCCCTGTGATCTCCGAGCCTCACAATGCCGCATTTCACGATCGTATGTGGCTTCGATGCCGACATTTCCGACACTCTGACCATGAGGGTTGAGAAAGTCCTTGACCACGCAAAGCGCTATCACAAACCATCGCTCTTCGAACTCACCCGACTAGCCCGTTGATCAGTTCCTATGAAGTAGAAGATGAGTACGCTCGTATGGCCGTTCTTGGATATGGAGAATGGCACTTTCAAGGCCGGTGGTTTAACGATGAAGATGTTCTGCTTCGTCACGGCGGGTTCGGTGACCTTTGCGACCGTCTCTGATGCGCGTATGACAACGATCCAACATATAGGCATGCACGTGACATCACTTTGTAGTGTCGAGTCGACATCATCGACACCATAAAAGTCTTTGGTGGACACTTCAGCAAAGATTTTCTGTGCGCAAGCGTCGAGCTGTGCACGTACGTGGCCCTCTTCTGCTTTGACGAGTTCATCTGGAATACAAATGACGCGATTATTGTCAAGGTGAAAAGCTCCCTGTGACCTGCTCACCTCCATTTGCCTCGTTACGGCTTCCATTATATCGATCGAGTAGGTGGACAGTTGCGCAACGTCCGTTATGTAAACCCTGGGTGATGGTGATAAATAAAGCCGTCGCGGTGGAATTGCTCTTGCGGAATCCTTTGCCCACTTCTCAGCTGCAGTAAAGCCCTGGGGCCTTGGTCAATCATGCACGGTGAGGCGCTCATCGTCGATCGATAATGGCTCCACAGGTCGCAGAGGCATGGTTTGGGTGTTGTTTGACCGTGCTGTGGAATGTCGCTGAAGGTTACCATCCTGCTTCGCAGGTCTATGCCTCCTCTGCGTGTTCTCTGCCGGTCAGGAGATCTTTTCTCTGGCTGACCACGTTATCTTGGCATTAGGGTATCGCAAGGTCTAATTGCAAGCTCTCAAAAGGTTTCTTGGTAGGCGTAGCGTGGCATGTCATCGCCGGCTGAGCTAGGGATTTTAATGTGTTAAATAAGCGAATTGGTCCCCTCCAGGCCGCAGGCTCCCTCTCACCGCACGTGGAATCCGGGAACCGAGTCGCCGCGTTGGCGTTCCATTAATGGGGGAAAACTCGACTGCATCTCCCTCGTGGCAGTGCACGCACCTCACGCCAAGCGACCAACCTAAACCAACAGTCCAGCCTTTCGGTAACTTCTCTTCGCGCGCGCGGGTCTCGTCAATCTCGCCAATGACCTCAACAAGACGACTTCTCCTTGGACGAACACAGCTGGAGCCGCATAGCACCATTCTGGTCATGGCTTGAATTGATTACTTGAAGTCATCTCCTGACCACACGCTAAAATTTCAACGATAAGCGACCGCGAGATTTGCCAAGCAACCAATAGTTCAGTGGCATGGACCCATTTCGCTGCCATTATGACCACAGAAGAAGATACACGGCATCAGGATGCTGGCCAGATACATATACCACGCCGCTGGCCTACTTAATCGGATCATGACATTCGTGCTATCACTATCTATACATTGGTCTCGAACACATTTCGGAAAACATTGCACAGTGGCCTCAATCCAAAAGGCAGTGATCAGGCTTCAGCTTCAGCATGCGTTCCGCATTTCTTGCATCGGCCATCATCGGTCTGGTCGCGGCCCTTCCGTCACCTCAAGACATTGATTTCGATCTAGCATATGCCTTGCCGAATCCTACCTACACGGAAGCCGTAGGAGTTACGGCCCAGACGGTCGCATACAATCCGAGCACGGTATATGCGGCAGCTGCAGCACAAGTTACTCAAAGCGTCACCGAATCCGCTGCTGCTGTCGCTGCCACGGATGTTACTCCTGTTGAGAAACGAGCAGCTGCTTGTGCTTTACAACCTGTAGGTTATGGTCCAGTGCCGAGCCCGGATACTGTGTCCGCATTCCTTGCCTTGCCAGCATTCTCCGAAGCTGCCGTTGCGGCTTCTGTTCCAGGCGGATATGTCCAGCAATTTTCTAATCTTCAAGCTTCCAACAACGCGTGAGTGGAACCGACTTTGCTACGTGTGTGGCCGGGTAGTACTGATTAGCATCACAGGTACGGATACCTTGGTTACACTACCCTGAAATCATATGACGTGAACCTTTGCGCGGCCAAGTGTAACGCCATCAATGGATGTAAGTTATCCTCACAGTCTCGTCTCGGAAGCTTTTTCTAATATATCATCCAGGTATCTCGATAAACATTCTTTACGAACGCGCGCCATCCCTTGAGCCCGGTTCAGGCGACTCGGGCTGTGCTAATCCAGCGAGCACGACCCTGATCAAGTGTGTCTTCTGGGGAGGGCCGGTTTCAACCGGAAATGCTGTAAATCGTGGGCAATGGCGCAACAAGTTCCAGGTCGTCATCGCCGGCTCGAATGGCTACACCAATGCTTCGGTCGCCTCAGTACCTGGCTACAGCCCAGCAACACCTCTTGGCAACGCTGCCATCAATGCTCCATACGACAAGTTCGGCTACAGCTCTTACCTAGGCGTGGCCATGTTCGTTGGTTCATTTGACGCTGCACTATGCGCCAAAGCCTGCTCAGAGAAGAGTGCTTATGCTATCGCTCATCCACCCACGGACGGCACCCCGGTTCAGACTTGCCAATTTTTTAACACCTACATCTTGTACATTAACACTACAAGCAACGTCCAAGGCCAATACTGTGCTATGTATGCACAGTCCTGGGGCTCACAATACGCCACCAATGTTGGACAATACCGCGGCAATGACCACTTCAAGATTCAATACAGCTTCTCGTATAGCAACAGCACCAACCCTGGTACGCCGAACCCTCTAGCTGCCGTCTATCAAGCTCGTAACGACATTCAGTGGCCTAGCAACTCGGCTCAACCTTACTGTTCGTCCATTCTCGGCTATACTACTCCCGTGGTCACCACCACTATTGTTGCCACCTCAACTCCTCTCACCACGACCACGACCACGGCGATTCAGACCGACCTGACCACCACCACCGTTATCAAGCCTACAACAACGACTGTTACGTCAACCAGAGTCACCGCTGCCAAGCGTGACATTGGTGCGATGCCGACTGAATGGACGACCATTGGCGGCGTCCGAGCCAAGGTCCTACCGACCGTTTTAGGACCGTCTACTACTGAGGCGGTCAAGAGACGTGACATTGCGCTTCCACAAGTCTTGAGCAAGTATCCCGCAAGTATCATCAGCTCGGCCTGTGTTTTAGCCGCCACCCCTGTGACCGTCACCAGCACAGCTACTAGCCTCGTCACCTCGACTGTAGCTACGGTCTACTCCACTGAGATTCAGTACACCACGACAACCACCACCGCCAGTGTTACGACGGAGCCAATCGTCATAGAAACCGCTATCGCGACCTGTACAGCATCTAGCTACAGATTCAAAATGGTTGGCGGCCACCACGATGGCGAATATGTCTTGGGAAGCGAGCCTTACGGGTATAACGAATATGACTACGGGTACTTATTTTCCAGCACTTCGCAAGAGGCTGCCCCGATCTACAGTCTTCGTGCCGATTGCCGTGTCTTCAGTCTTTCTCGGCCGTATGGCTGGACTGTATACAATGGTGCCTGGTTGAGTAACATTCTTACTATGACCGACTCCGTTGCCGACTACTATAGATGGAACTTCCTCCGCTGCTCAATCGACACCAGCACGACAGTCGCACCGGGAGCGGTAGGCATCCTGTCGTGTAGACAGAGCGATGGAAACCCATCCAGCTTTGTGACTTGTGCAAGCGCGGGCTACAGTGTATACGCGTCGGCGGACCTCTCACCTTTGGATTACTATCAATATGGCTGCTTGGAGGTAAAACTGGCTGCTATCCCGGCCAACGCGTGAGCATGGTTCGGTCACACAATTATTGCTGGTACATGCCAAGGTGGAAGTGCGGGAATTATCTGCGATGGAATTCTAGGTCGCGAAATGAAAATCTTCCTCTCGTTGTTTGTCTCTGCTGTGGTTAGCTGGTATCAAGCTGTTCGCAATCATCAGCAGCAGTCTATGTATAGTCCTCGCTTGCTGGAGGCTTGACATCGCTTGGTGATGAGCACATAATTGTCAGAAGCAATTATGTATAGCTATCACCGACGGGATTGCCTCTTTAGAGGTTTGCTTGTGAACGATGTGAAGAGCAGCAACGTGATGTTGGAGGTCGTGGTAGTACGAGGACAGGAAGATAGGAATGTACTTCAATCCTTGGAAAAGCTTCGAAACGCAGTACTGCGCTCCATTGCGAATCAAGACAAGAATATGACTTCAATGTTTGTGTGCTAGCAGAAGATTTGAAGTCCCCTCGAAGACGGTGGGCACGGTCTTTCAGCGGTCGTAAAAGCATGCTTTGCATTTCCCACCAGTTCTCTGCGTATCGACTAGGGACCGGCCTTTCCCTGCAAGGGACAAATTTATCCATGAGAGCATCGTACCTAAGCTTGATCTCCGGAGAAATCTTCGCGCTATAGAAAGGGTGCCAAAGAGGCGGAACGTGAGATTTCCATGCATGCCCAGGCGTCCACGAATTTGCCGCACATCACGACGCAGCACCCTTCATGTCCCGTGGAGCGTCTGTCTGATGGCCTGAACGCCTTCCTGTGTTATCATGCTGCGATCCTCGAATTCTCGTATATGTGAGAAAAGCCCAAGTCGCATATCCGCCGAGGACCATGTTGTAGAGCAAGGTGGAGCTCGTGAAGAACACGTCAATCATGATTTCAAGAGACGGTTCTTTGTTGTATGAAATTACTGCCTGAACCCAGTCCGTCAATTGAGGCTTGCCAACCATTGATATGACCACGAGGATTATGAGCATCCATTTAAATTGGCGTGAGATTCTTGGAGGTGACGTTGGCCGTTGATCATGAGAATTCGCTGCCGGAGCATCCGTGGTGGGCAGGTTGGAATTCATGATACCAAATTCCCAAAGTGACGGTGAGGTTGAGTGAACGAAATGGTCAACGAATCGCAAAGATGGAAGGTTTCCATTTTCGCAGCGACTAGGAATAGCAACAAACAACCACTAAAAGGTGCTAAACAGAGGGGCCGGGCGAAGATCGCGACCATGTCCGGCAATCACATCCGAGAATCAATGCACTGTACTCCAGTGCCCTCATTATTCATCGAACGCCGATTGTCTTGACGATGTCTGATGCCGTTCGTGGACAGGCCATCAAGTTGCACGGCCGCGCGCGAGCTGATCGCAGTCATCGATAGACAGCCGTCAACGGGCAGCACGCGGTAGCTTTGCCTCGCTTGATGGGGAGGAATATTGTTGTACAGTGTACAGCATAAATGACACGTGTGTAAATGTGTCGCATCGATTCCACGGTGTCTACACAACATCAGTGCCGAGAGACACACACTTCGACACAACGAAGTTTATCACACCGTCACTTCATCACATACTTCGCTTGCATTGTCGTAGGGACGTCACCTTTTTCCCTTGAACGATATACTAAACATTGCGGGACGGGATTCCTACATTCTGTTACGTCCCATTCTCACACGTACTTTACTAGCTTTTTATGCTCCCTTCCTCTCTCGCTCTAAAGTCTCCATCGGCGCGTGGGGTCAGACCATGGACGTCGCCAACCAGAGGAGCTGGAGTCAGAAGGCAAGCGAGTGAGCGTTTGGAAACGAGCCAGGGCTCTGTGGTCGGTACTCAACCATGAACGAATCGTGCATCTCGGCCGATGGACATTTCTCCACTAATTATTAATGCGTACTGGGCTTCCGAAAGAGCGAACATGGCCACGGTGCTGTTTCCTATCAGGGAGTCCATTAATGCTGTCTTCGCAGTCCAGACTCGTAACGATTTCCGAAAATGGATTGTGGTGGTTAAGCAGGAAAATGCACCATCTCCGATGCTTCCAATTTGGGTCTGTTTTTCGGGCACGCAGCCAATCAGCGTTCGGAGAGATTTACTCGAAGACACAATATCGCTCATGCAAAGACAAAACGATATAATCAAGTGGGCAGCCGCGAGGTTTGTGGAGCGTTGGTGGTTTAGTGGTAAAATCCATCGTTGCCATGGTCAATAGACGTGAACACTCGATGGGCCCCGGGTTAGTGCATCCGCGATGCCAGAACGAGAGACCTCGACTTCTGACATTATTCTAATCTAGGTTCGATTCCCGGCCGACGCAGATTATTTTTGGAAGTCGCGGCCCCGTGTTCGAGCGAAGTCGCTCGGCACTACGAGCTTCCGGCCCAAACATAAATTATGCACATTTCCCTCTTTTTGGTAATAGGCGCCCGACTCTATTTGGGATCCGGGAAGCACGAATGAGTCACGCTGCTTATGAGTCACAACGCCGCCTTTTCGCGAGTTCATATCCAGGATGCTGAGCGTGCACACGCAATCAGCCGCATCCTCGAAAGCACTCACTGCACTGTATCGACCAATCGGACAAGAGTTAGTAGCGCCGCACGGGCAACACACGGAAGGGCTGCCTGCAGACAGAGGTGAAATTGTATTGAAAGATCCCTCCCTATCCTCTATGTAGAAAGAATCCACGTACAGAAAGAAGAAGGGGAGAAGTGAATGCCTCAGGCATCACACCGGATCACGTCACCCAACGCGGCAGGTGACATAAGCACAGGCTCGTAACGCGGGCCACGTGAGCGCGGAACACACGGGGGCGCGGAACACGCTTTTTCAATGCGCTGCATTCAACAATTAATATCTTAATGAACAATGA